TTCGACGTGCAGCGCTCTCTGAAGCTTTGAATTCGTTTAGGTCTGTAACAGTTCCAAGGGTCCTTTTGTGCCTTTCTGCCGATTGCTGATATGACGGACAATATTGCTCCAAAGGTCGTACTGGACGGTCCTAACGCGGCTTCGAACCGAATCCTCTTCGATTTTGGCGATCTGCGCGAGGAGATGGAGATGAACACCAAGCATCTGCAGATTGGCGTCCACAGCCAGCCAAACTTGCCCGAAGAGGGCCAGATTACTCCTTCGAGAAGCCTTCGAGAGATGGGCGTTCAGACTGGACAGACTGGCGTACACACGCCACCCGGGTCAAAAGCGTCCAGCGTCGCGCGCTCATCATGGCCGACTACGAGGGGTCCAGTGAGGTGGTCCTGTAGGACCCCTGAAAGGAACGGCATACACATTCAAGCTGAGATTGCCAGGCTAACTAGTCAGAAATGCGTATGACTGGCACAGCAGCACACAAGTGTGGCAGGGTATGCATGCCCTTAGACTGAATACAAACTTTAAGATGCATCATATACGAGAGGGTGTCATGGCAAAATGCCAGGAGAGCATGGTCACACAGAGTGCCTCTTTTAGGCCAAGGCAGGCCACCTGGTTTAAGCCAAGGCAGGCCACCTGATTCAGGCCAAGGCAGGCAACCTATTTTAGGCCAAGGCAGGCCACCTGTTTTAGGCCAAGGCAGGCCGGGTACGATGTGTGGTGGAGGTAGGCATCAAGCGGGCAGCGGCACTGGGTGCTGTGCGCTCCAGCGGATGACTAGCTGTGCGTCCGGCAGGGCGTCCACTGTGCAGAGGACTCCGCGGTGGCACCAGCGCGCTGTGAACTCTTCCCGGCTGAGTGTGGGGCCGCGTCCCCGGAGCCAGTCGCTGAGCATGCCCGCTGACAGCCGGATAATGGCGGTGGCAAGTCGCCAATCGGCCAGGAGAGCCTTCCTGCAGGAAGACAAGATGCGGGCTGGGAGCTGCCCGGACGATGTGTGGGCGTCCGGCTGATGACGGCCGCGCTGGTAGGCGGCCCAGAGCTGGCCGATGGTAGCTAAGCGGAGGCGCTGCCAGAGAGGCCTGAGTTGCCGCGGCGGCTCCCACACCCTCGTGTCATCTGCCAGCAGCAGTCTGTGCTGCGAGGCGGCGCGGTCTCCCCTGTGACGGCTGCCCATGTCGCTGCATGCCAGTCCCACACTCCTGCTGCCAAGGGGCAAGTGATGAAGACGTGGGTGAGTGTGGCGGGCTGACTCTCGCAGCCGCTATGCGGGCAGCTGTTTCCTGCTGGATCTGCACGGCGGATGTGTTGTGAGAAGGCGCCGACGAAGAGCTTGCCGTGAAGTAGCCGCCAGGCCGTGATGCGCTGCCCCCGGTCGAGATGGGAAGTGTAAATGCGCGGCACCACAATGGCGGCAACTGTGGCCTGTGCTGCACTCTGCGCGGTGCGGGCAGCAGCAGATATGGACCCGAAGCCTAGCAGGGGGACTGCCCTGTTGGCGTCCAAGGAATGTTGGGCCGCGAATGGCTCGTCGCTGTACAGCTGTCGTTCGCGCACGACGCTGTCCCTCATGGAGAGGTGAAGGCAGCGTGGTGGCCTCCCTGACCACGAACTCATGTGCCAGCCGCAGTCCGAGTCCCCATGCTTGGGGATCCACGACTTGGCTGCCCCAGAGACCGAAGAGGTACAACGTGGGTGCTGTGGGCGGGGGCACCAATGCGTCCTCCTCCTGCTCCTGTGCTCCGGGCTGATGGCGCTTCCCGGTGCGCGGGTGCCAGGGCCTAGTGATGTCCCAGTGCTGCACCAACGCCGGCTGCGCGGTCGCAGGGGGCAACGAGTGCTGACCAGCCTGTGCTCCGTCATCTGCTGGCACGAGGGCGTCTGTGCTGCTGACTGTATATGGCTGAGCTGGTAGCGCCCTGCAGCTGTGCGCGACCAGACCCGGCGCTTTACCGGATCAGGACACGTGAAGGCAAACCGCTGACAGGCTAGACCTAGCAGTGAACATGTCCCAAGCACCAGGGGGTAATCTCATCCCCCAAGGCGCACTCCAGCCCGCCGGCAACGCAGCACCCATCGGGGACGTTGGAGGACCCACGGGGCAAGCCTACGGCATGCATCTGGAGGCAGGGGGCACAGCAACTCAGGCAAGCAACAATCACAGGCAAGCAATCACGTGCACTGCAGGCAACCAATAAAGGATCAATCATGGAAGGCAAAGCTGTACATGGAGGCTTGGCTGCCAGTCGAGAAACTTGCGTCCGGCACATGAGTTCGTGGTCACGGAGGCCACCACGCTGCCTTCACCTCTCCATGAGGGACAGCGTCGTGCGCGATACGACAGCTGTACAGCGACGAGCCATTCGCGGCCCAACATTACTTGGCCGCCAACAGGGCAGTCCCCCTGCTAGGCTTCGGGTCCATATCTGCTGCTGCCCGCACCGCGCAGAGTGCAGCGCAGGCCACAGTTGCCGCCATTGTGGTGCCGCGCATTTACAATGGGGCCTTGTCAGGCAGTAATCCACAGAGTGGTGGCGGCATCTGTACCGTGACAGCGGCTCCTCGCTGCAGAACTCGTCATCGCCCTCCCTGAGCCCTCTCAGCAATGCAAGTTGTACCAAGGACGAGAGTTGTCTTTGCCCGGGGAGAGCGCCGGAGAGCGCCGGCAAACTGGCCTCTCCCTTGCTGATCCTGTGACGCATGCGCAGATGATTCCCACTTCCTGGATTGCCGCCGGAGGCTGGCTACTGGTGGTTGTGCATCTGTGCCTGTGCCTGGCAAGTTGCAGCTCGCTGGATGGACATCTGCAGCTCGCTGAGGAGGGCAGTCCATCAGCGAGCTGGTAGAAAACGCGCGCCGGTCCTTAACGGTCTAAACGTCAACCGGCCGTAAGGTCTGTCATCATCCGGTGTCTGGATGCAGGTCAAGCACTCCTTGCCGCTACCCACCAGCTCTCCGCTGGAGGCCAGCCCGCCGTACAGATTGTCAAGATGGAATTTGCCGCGAAGTTGAAACATTTCCCTACGACAGCCGGTGTAATGTAGGACAATTTCCTATATCCTATGGGGCCAATCTTTTGGTGCCCTGAGTATATCTCATACAGCAGCCCGAACTTGATGATGCAGGAATGTTGGAAGTACAGACGGCCGCTGGCAGCAACACTGGCACCTCCTGCCCGATTGCGCTTGCAGCCTTATCAGCTGATTCTTAATCGCCGCGACGGGCGACGCTGCAAAGTGAGCCATACATTAAGTGAGATCTGCATCTTCAACTGCAATTCCTTAAGCTCAAGGTGGCCCAAGGCAGCTTACAGGAGTGCTTCACTGTCATCCACCGGCTTGGCGGCGGCTGGAAGAGGCCCTAGGGTCTGCAAAGCGTATGGACGTCGGTGGCTCGCTGGGGGTCTGACTGCCATGACCGGATAGCCTGAAACGAGCTGAGCAGGCTGGCCAGAAGGCAGCGAAGGTGGTTGTAGTGCAATGTCCCTGGGCAGCAGCTGCTCTTGTGTCCTTCTGTGTGCTGGCCGCTGCGCTCAATGCCCCCAGCCCCCTCTGGCTCTGATTGCCTGCCCTGGAAACCGGACCCCATTTGCGGAGGAGGTCTTCAGGGGTCTAGGAGCTCTGCTTTTGGCTCTGACAGCTTTTTGCGAACGGCCCCAAACATCCCTCGGGAAGCCTTTAAGCTCCTCTACAGCTGCTTTCTTTGCGCCTGTGCAAGAATGGCGAGGAGCCCTGTTTGTGCCAAAGACAGCAGCTTCGATGAACATGGCCGTTGGGTGCGCAACGAGCACGAAGTTACGGTAAGACTGGAAGACGTCCACTGAGAAGGCAATTGTGCTTCTGCCAGTTCTCTGCGGCAGGCACTACACTTTTGGAGCATTGCTAGCCAGTAGCGCTTCTTGGTAGACTTGTGCTAGCGAGGGGGCCGAATTTTTCATAGCTGGCTATCTGCTGAGGTGATCAGAGACTCTGCTTGTGCCTTGCTGATCTGCCACTTGAATGACTGAACACTTCATTTCTTTCATACGTTGGTTTGATTGCCTTGGTGCTTTGCGAAGGGCTTGCTTGCAATTGGCCGAGACTGCGCGTGCGTGTGCTGCGCCATTCCTATTCATTCCAATAAGAAATATAGTTCAGAGAGTTGTTGAGATTGCCATGCATATTACTATACATGCATACGGTACAAATAGCAGAAGAAAACCCGTTCAAGCCGACGCGCGTCCTATATTGCTGGAGTCTGCACATCTTGCAGGGTGAGAAGTGCACCCAGCGCTTCTATCCGGAGTCCAAGCGGGGAGTACGGCGGGAGTACCACCGTGCATTCGCAGCGGGGAGGGCCCTCGATCCGGGCCCTCGATCCGTGCCCCTCTCTAAATTCCCAAATGAGAAACAAGGAAGCTGACCAGCAAGTTGCTATGCGGCTGGCCAGCTGCTGCGGCGCGTTGCCTGCGAAATTACAAGGGCACCAGCAAGAAAAGCAGGCTGCTGGCAAGCATGCAATGTAGATTTCTTCTCTCCTTACAAAAAATCGATAAGAAGGTATGCTGGAAGATGGCCAGGACGATGTGTTAAACAGCTATCTGTACCGAGTGCAGGGTACTCCACATTGGGACAGCTGGTCCGAAGAAATTTCAATTAAAGTATTGTGATCGTCAAATTGTGTGGTACACCATTCTGCTGACCCTCCAGCCATACCAGAGAAACACCTCTATTATACCCATGCCAGTCATAATCGCTTTCCTGGTTGGCATCATTATATTGTATACCAGGTTGGTGCCCAAGAACTTGATGCAGGTAAAAACAAAGACGTTAATATCTACTGACAAAACTTGTGGAGATCAATATCACTGTGCTCGAGCACTATGACAAGGACGATCGCGCAGTAGAGGACATGCAAGCGCTGGGGACACTCGACCAAGTGTGATCAAAAGTCAGCAAAAGTACAGTACGGGCAAATCTCTGAACTGGTAAGGATAGGCGAGAACAGTCAGAAATTCCCTTTCAGCAACATCCAGCAGTTGCTGCTTCCAGAAACTTTGGTTCAAGGGCTTCCTCGCACATCTCTGCAAGATCAGCAACTATTCTTAGTAATGCCCCTCTCCACCGCTCACCAAACTTCCTGGCCTGCTCAGCAATTTGCAGGAACTCCTCCCTTGAGTCTCCAAACCAGCCTTCTAGGATGCGCGCTATCCGTTCAGGCTTTCGCTCGAATCTGCCCAGCTTGTTGTCCACCACAAAAGGCACATTACCTTCTTCCTGCAGGGTCATCCGTGATGCCTCAGTATGGTTGGCAATCCAATCAATGAACGGTGATTGAATATTACTGCAAGAGGCTGCCCATGGTGGGGCTTGCTTTACCAACCTGGCAGGGGATGAAGCCATTGAGGACGAGTGGCAAGCCGCAGATGAGCGCCTCGGCGATCGTGCCAGGCCCAGCCTTGGTGATGGTAGCATCGCAGGCTGACATCCACTCGGCCATGTTGGTCACAAAGCCACAAAGCTTCACTTTCAACCCGCCGGGAAAGTCCCTGCGCCGACCAAAAAGCCTTTAGCGCTAGCAGATTAATGCATCAAATGAGTGACACATGGCGTCAGAGACAACCATCCGGCAGAGACAACCGTTTGGGAACCGCACCTGTTCTGGAGCCGCTCTATGAGCGCCTTGTTGCGGCCGCAGATCGCGACCACCTGACAGGCCCCGCCCAGCCTGTCATCCAGGGCATCCAGCGTCTGCTCTATTGCGCCCATGCCCTCGCCGCCTCCTGGGCAATTGCAGCAAGGTATGTGATCGAGGGACATGCGGTTGTCTTATCACACACTGCGCAGCTGTGCCTCTGAAGCAGAATCAAGTGCACAGTGCCACCTGAGCCGCTCCAGCAACCCACCGATGAGCAGCGCTGTGGGCAGGTGCCTGTCCAGGCCCAGCTTCTTGCGCAGCGAGTTCTTGGACGCGATTTTGCCGCTGAAGGCCGGGCGGATGGGCAGGCCGTGCACGGTGATCTGGTCCTCCTTGAGGCCGTTCTTGAGGGCGCTGCGCTTGCAGTACTCGGTGGGCACAAAGCAGCGGTCCACCAGTGGGTGGAACCACGTGTTGTGGCAGGTGGTCAGGTCAGTCACCACCGTCGCAAAGGGCACAGGTGTGCGCCCGCCCTTCCTGCGTCATCACACATCCCCCCAGTTTTGCCTCGATGCAGAACATCTGCTAGACCAGTCCCAGACATCTTAGCAGGCAATGCAAAACTGACTGCAGCAGGCCCAGCACCAACGTGCGTATGGGCTGGAGAGTCCCATCTTTTGCAGCAAAGCAGCCAAAAAAAGAAGAAGGCGGTTCCAGTCAGCCCACCTGGCCTGCTGGCGGAGGACACGCAGGGGCACCAGCTGCATGAGGGGGTGCACGCTGACGACCAGGTCCGGCTGGTACTTGTCAAAGGCCGCGCTAACTTGCTTGGAGACAAAGAGCGAGGAGATGGTCTGTGTAGGCACGTGGATGAACCGTGGCTGCTGACCGTAGTAGCCAATGCGCCACATCAGGCTGTTCCGCACCATGAACGAGTACGTCTTTGGCAGCTGGTTGAAGGGGTAGGGCGTGTGGTTGCTCCAGATGTCCACATAGTCCACCTGGCAGGCACAGCAGGCTTCCTGGTCATCACTTTGTCTAGTCACCAGGTTAGTCGAGGTTCCAGATATGTGATCTGTGGACAGCCACAGAAAGTACTATATTTAAATTCTCAAGCAGGCTGTCCAGGTTGTCGCCGTTCGACGGCCTCACCTGGTACTCATCTCCGTAGAGCTGCTCGAACCCAGCCTGCAATGCCTCTGCACTTGCTCTGTGCCCGCCCCCCGTGTCTGACATAAGAACCATGACCCGCTTCCGTCTCTTGCCCGCTGCTCCGCGCCCTGTGCAGCACACCCTTAGATCTGCTGGTGATGGTCCATTAGGCAGCATCGCATGTCGCTGCAGGTAGCGTACCGCAGGTGAAGACAATGAAACTATGAATACACAACGTCTGCACAAGCATCGTGGTAACTCACTCCTGCCGAAGGAGAATGGCCACAAGAAGAACGCATGTGATGGCCCCCTATGGCCCTCCTGCAGAGCATCGTTCGAATTACGTGCAGAGTGAGATTGCTTGCTTGACTATGAGACTGCACAGCACAGAGAGAGGCAGAACTAACAGTTTTGGTTCCCTTGCTCAAACATCTTGGCTGAAGGTTTCTTCGCTCATACGATAGGCATTGCTGCATGCTCACCAGCCAATAGTCGCCACTCGATCCTGGCTGGCCTGCAGAGTTGTGGCATGATCCCCCAGTGCTGTCTCTACTCCTCTGCCTTCTGATACCGCGATTGCTGCTTGGTCCAAAGGGGAGCCTGCAGCTGACGGTGGGCTGTTTGAGTTCGCTATCCTTGTTGGCTGAAGTCCTTCTCTGTGACAGGGCACTTAGCGGGAGTACGTGGAAAAATTTTCCTGCACGCTCAAGCCCACAATTAGCAGCGGGTTGACCTTCCATAGCGAATGAATGGGGTTACAAATGCATTATTTCAATGCTGATCATGTTTCTCTTTGATTCTTCGGCAGCCGATTGCTGCCTATCCGCTGACGAGGACCCAGATGGAAGCCAGCGGGATATAGGGTTTCGAAGTGAGGGTTTTGGAGCCATTCCAACTCCACCCAAACCTTTTTCCATTCTCAACAGGGCTGAATGCAGGCCTGCCCTCGTGAATAATCAGAATTGCGGGACAATTGCCGGTAAAGCTTCAGGAGCAAAAGTTCGCCTATTTTCCATAAATTTTCCTGCTTTCCAGACCTGCCTGGTTGAGGGCAGCGATGGCGAGAGATAGAGACGAAAGGGACGACAGAAGGGACAGAGACAGGGATGATAGGGGCAGGGGACGGTCACAGATTGACCTGGAAAGAAGAAGAGACAGAGACCCTGGAGAACGTGATCGAGATCGGGAAAGAGAAAGAGAGCGCGAGCGAGAAAGAGAAAGAGAACGTGAGCGAGGGAAAGACAGGATGAGGGACAGGGACAGGGAGAAGGTCAGGGACAGGGACAGAGACAGAGACAGAGAAAGGGACAGAGAAAGGGACAGGGACAGGGACAGAGAAAGAGTCAACAGGCTTCCAAGCACCAGTCATGGAAGGTGCCTCTCAAGGACTCTCAAGAGCATTGTACTCATGCTTTAGCAAGCCAGGAGGATCTGCCAAGTTCTCAGCAAGTGCCTAGCGAGTAAAAGTGTATATTGGAATAAGCAGGTCGGCTGAGCGGGACAGCGGAAGGGAAAGACCACCCAGGGAGGATGACGGCCACAAACACCTGGAAGCTGCTCGCAAAAGGAGCCGAAGCAAGGACGCGCAAGCAGAGGGAGAGCATGTTGAGGATGACCGTGCCAAGCGCCAAAAGCCAGCAGAAAATGGGGTGAGCTTGCCAGAAGAGGTGAGCTTATCTGCAACAATTCATCAACATTCAGAGTTCCAAGCTCAAGCCCTGCACGTATGAAAATTGAATTTTTGTGAAGGGCCTCTGTCAATTCTCTCTTCTCATGAATGTTCAGGTGGGCCTCGATGCGGGCATTTCCTCAGAGGAAATGCAGATGATGGCAGCCATGGGCATCCCATTTGGATTTGAGTCGACGCAGGGAAAGCATGTTGAGGATGATGCAGTCAACGCTGGTGCCGTCAAAGCAAAGCAAACTCGTAAAGCACGGCAGTACATGAATCGCAAAGGCGGTTTCAACAGGCCGCTGCCCGCCGAGAGGACTGGAGAGGTGGTCCCCAGGGATTAGGCCCACCGTGTGTACATTCTTCTTTTCATTCTGTTGGCTTTAGAATATTTTTTAATGGCTACAAACAAGGTAGGCCACACTATGACACTCTTCTGTATTCTGTCACCTCAAGGAACTTCCTTTGAAAGCATGCAATCTTTGTTTATTGGTACAATTGTATGCATCCTCTCCTGGGCTACTTGTGATATCTGGAAGTTTTGCAGATATCCGTTTCAATCAAATAATTTGATGATGTTTACAGATTTTGTCACACTCAATATCGCTCATCTTGCATTGCAAACAGCTGATGCATGTGCAAAAACAGACCAACAAGCATCCTGCGCCAGCAGCTTTATGACATGTCCTTTGTTGTGCATTCCTAGTACACTTGATTCCTGATGTCCTCCAGCTTCTTGAGGATTTCTCCGGGCGTTCTCTCCAATTCGTCAGCAATGCTCTTCTGCTTGGCTGCTGGTAGCTGCGAGAAATGTTCGCACAGGTCTCCGTCAATGACATCCTTCACCTGTGATCGTAAGAGACACACGATTAATCACCGGCCAACTCCTTTGATGTCACCTTCATGGCTGCAAAATGAAAGCCAATGGTCTTGCTTGGTCATGCAGCAAGGCATCATAAGCTGAGAGAACTTACTGGGAAGTAGGAGCCACGGTAGCTCATGTGGTCACGTCCACCCATGGGAGGGTGTTCCTGCCGCAGGTGCATCTCCAAATGGCTGAAGAAATCCACATCCTCCCTGGAAGGAAAGGGTAGCATTGCACCTGCACAGACAGCCTCGCTATAACCCCGCTGCAAACACCTAGTGCAGGACAGCTGAGTCAGTAATTTAAATACAGACCTGCCCTGTATTACCCAAGTATCGATACACAGCTCACGCTGTCGTTGGTCACTTTCACAGCAGAAACGGGCAATGTGTACCTATTGCGCCCATGACCGTCGCATATAGCAGCACTTCTCTGCCACCCGGCTGCAGCACAGCCCGCTGCAGGGAGGTGACCAGATCGCCCACGTGGAAGTTGACAACATCCTCCAGCTTGTGGGGTGCGCCGTTCAGGAGGCCAGCCGCGCCCGCAAACTTGCCTCCTGTGGGGTCCTCCTCCACCTGCCCAGATGAGCAATCAAAGCATCAAGACCAGTGCATCAGGTCCAAAATAACCATATTGTAAAGCACTTGTGCTGCAGCCAGCACACAGCCAGGAAGGGCACCTGAGTGGAGACATCCCGGGGCAGGCGGGTGACGAAGATGTTGCAGAACTTGTCTGCGCCGGCAACTGTGTCGTAGTCCAGGGGCAACGCGGCCGTCAGATGCCTGGGCGCTATGTCATCCGCGTACTCGTACAGGGCGTTCTCATTCGCCTTGTACCGGAAGTAGTGCATGGACTCCTGGCAGCACCCCAACACGCGCGTCAGTGACACAGAGCCAACAGGCGGGCGCAACAGCAGATCGACAAGCTGCCAACGAAAACGCTTCAGTCTGGAAGAGCGCGCACCTGCAAGTCGCCCACAAAGATGCGGTCTCCGCTGGTGGCCAGCGTGGCGATGTGCGTGGGCAGCTTGCGGTGCTCACACTTGCGCAGAAGCTTCTTCTTGCCAGCCTCATAGATGCGCAGCGTGGGCCCCACGCCGGCCAGCAGCCGCCCCTTGAATGCGGCCAGCGCGCCCGGGATGCCCCCCGTGGGCGTCTTGTGTATGAGCTCCAGCTGCCGCCCGCTGTCCCTGAAGCGGTACAACCTGATGTAGCCCTCTGCGCAAACAAAGAGAACCACCGTCATGGCCCATGTGGGGTTGAAACTGCATGAGCAAAAGCATGCTGCGTTCATAGGAGACGCTGAGGACATTAGCAGAATGTAGGTAGCCAGCCATAATGCGTACCGTCTGCAGTGCGTGGGTAGAATGCCAGGCCTTGCACTGTGCCAACGGCAAGCACCATGCCTTCCTCCGGCCAGTTTGAGAAGCGCAGCAGGCAGAGGCTCACGGCAGCCTCGTTGCCATCCAACTCCAGCACACTGCAAGTGGTCGAAAGCTCAACAAAAGAATAGGAGCAGGCATTTAGGACCATAAGTTTTCCAGGACAGCAACTGCAGGCAGTCTGGAGACACACCATGCACAAGCGAGCCTGTATCTATCTAAGGCAGATGGGGGCTCACCTGGAGGTCTGCAGGGATGTGGGGTCGAGCACCCTGATGCATGAGGCCCATCTGCCAGTCGAGTTCTTGGGCGCACCATGCTGCTCCTCCTCCGCCGCCCTCTCCTCGTCAAACTCTATGCCCTGCACCGCAACGGGACGCTGTGAAAGTACCCAAGAACAGCCTTGAATGAATTGCAGGTGCAGGATCTGCAATTCTGGTGTTGTGAATTGCTGCGCCTACAAAACTCAAAAGTCCCATGATAGCTGATCATCAGCATCAGTGTTTAATGTCAAACACTGAAGCCCCCTTACTTCCGTGAGGGCGGCGTCCATCTCCATGCCGTCCTCCACGGCCCTGCGCTCAGCCAGGGGCACCGCCGCATGGTCCGCCTCCGCCACAATGAGCATGTTGGACTCCGGGTGCACCACAAACTTGCGCGGCGTGTATCGCAGCCGGGTCACCTGTCGCAAGACCATCCTCGTCTCCTGTCTGGATGTCGTATGCATGACAGTGGTGACCTCCCAACAGCTTAGATATCTTTCAAAGTTCCCTCAGACTGCTGGAGGGAGCGGAGACAGAAAGAAGGGTGCCCTTGCCTGCTGATTGAAGGCCTCCCCGAGGCGCTCCAGTGTGAGGATGCGCAGCATGCTCTTGGACACAGCACAGAAGCCCTCGGGGCACTGATCTGAGGCAAAGCCGGATGCATAGTCCAGCGCCTCATATGACAACGGCGCCAGCGTATACCTGCCCATGTCCGAGTACCCCTGCAGTGTGGGAAGAAACGACTATGTCAAGAACCAATCATCAACTTTCTCATCAAGGCAATAGATGGTTGCAGCAGCGGGGCATGCATGTGGTGGCAAAGAAATTCGGGTTGCGGCAGCAGGCAGGGAACGCACCAGCCAGGGCCTGGAGGACAGCGCGAGCATGGAGCGCTTGCCGCGCACAGACACTGCAAAGAGCTTGGGCGGCCGGGTGCCTAAGAAGCGCGTGCGCGTGTCGCTGAGCTGCCCCGTCACCTTGTCCACCTCCGTCCTCAACAGCACACCATTCAGCAGCCCTGCCACAACCATGCAGGAGGACGTGAGTTGCAGGGAGGAGCAGTGGTTTTTCACCTTCACCGTGCTGCCTCATCCAACACTCTGCGGAACTCCTTTCCTAACTGCCAAGAAAATGCAATGTCTCCCAGGAATTGCTGAAAGGGCAAGGGCACACCGATGTTCAAGAAGAGGCCCCCAGCGCCACTAGCATCCTCTCCCTTCCCTGCAATGTCGGCCGCGGGCGAGTCAATGAAGAGGAGGGACTCCGGCACGGCGCTCACCATTTGCACCGCCAGCGCGCTCATCATGTCCTCGGGATCCAGGCTCAATATGCGCACCTGCATGCACAACTCCTTCAGAACAGAGTCCATGCTCCCACAAAGGGAAACCCCTGCACTGACAAAGACAAACACGTGAAGGTGATGAGAGACATGGCGAGGAGGTGGGACAGCACCGAGGAGTCATAGGAAGCCACGGCAAGGAAACGTGAGCGCTGGCGGCCCTCTGGCACGGGCGCAATGTCTAGGCAGACCACGTCCCCGGCCATCTCCTTCTTCTCCACCTCCATCAGCTGCCCAGTTGGGCTCAGCTCAAAGTAGATGAGCTCGCCGCCGCTCAGTGCAATCACAACCTGCACAGCATGTAGTGGGTCCTTCTCCATCTGAACGTTCTCAGATACTTGAATGATACGAACATTTATATAAGATGCAGGGGACTGTAGAAAATTACAAAAATATGGATGATATTGTCAGAACAGCAGCTGTGTGGGGTGAAGAGCACCTGCTGCTCATTCGTGGCTGCCTTGACAATGGTCCGCCGCCCTGGAGCCCGCCACTCATTCACACGACGATCCGCTCGGATGTGCCGCAAGCCGCTCGGATGCACCTGCCACCGCGGTCACATTCACAATCATTGCTCCCAGGCAACATGTACGGCCAGGCAGGTACAATTGGCAGCTGCATTGCTTCTGTCTTGGAAATGTGTCACTTCCACTAACCTGCAGCATGCTGTCATCCGTGAGCAGCTGTGTGCGAAGCGTAGGCACGGTCCCCAGGAAGCCGCTGTCATTGACCTCCACCACAGTCTCTCCAATTGACAGCACCTGCAGAGCAAAGGGCAAATCATATATCTACAACCTGTCAGGTGACTTCACATTGCAGAGCAGACGCTCCTGCTGGCAGGAGAGGGAGGAACAGTAGGTGCACACTTTAGCTGGCGGCAACGTACCAGAGTGGCGTTTGTGAAAGAAACGATGATGTAGGCATCAAAGGGGTCGTTGACGCTGCGCTTCAGGGTCCACACAGCAGTGGGGTTCCCGGGCAGGGGGGACACTGCAATCTCCGTGGCCGCCAAGCCTGGCCGCAACACGCGCAGAGTGGACCGTGCACCACGGCCGCACATGGCATACAGCTGCGGAATCTCTTCCTTCAGCAGATTGGCCACCTGCGCTCAAAGCACTTTGACATCTGCTTCCTTGCAACAAAGTAAATGTATTCACCCAGCCTCGATTGCGCCCACTTTCAATAGGCATGGCGGCTATCCCAGAAATTCGGGTACCAGGCTGCAAGGCAGCTGCCGATAGCAGGACTGCTGGAAGAAGTTTCACAGGCAAGGTTGGCCCCACCTTGAAATCCATGATGGGACTCAGGCTTTCCACCTCGTCCACAAGCCGCAGGTTGCGCAGGGGACGAGGGTCGAAGAACACGGGCTGGAAGCCCTCCTGAGTCTCTGTCAGCTCTGCCGAGCTTGCCTCCACCGCATCATCGTCATCGCCTATGCTCTGCAGGACCAACACAAGATCTGTGAGCCACTGACAACATCCATGAGCAGTGCTGACGCTAGGACTCTAGAGATGAATGGAGAGAATGTGTTTGCAATAACACAAGGATCTTGATATGGCAGTGGTAAGGATTGCCGCACCAAGAACTGGTAGAGGGCGTGGTTGCCAAACTCTGACGCTGCAAAGAGGAATCCTGTCTTGAGGACGCAGATGCTGATGCAGGGCGGGATGGTGTCAAAGTACTTGATCTTGAGCTCGGTCACCGTGTCGCCCGAGTATGCCAGGGTGACCTTGTACAGATCGCCATACTCGCTCTGCAACACAATGATACCTCAGTAATCAGAGCACAGCCTCACAGATCCATCCAGTGGTATCTGAGATTCACAAGCAAGAGAAAACTGCACAGGAAGCAATGGGGCGCATACCTGCACAAGGAAGAAGAACAGGGACTTCTGCTTATGCATCGCATAGGACACAATGAGGACGCCCCTGTCAATCAACAGTGATGTGCGCCGGGGAATGACCGCCCGCACATCCGCATGATCCTGGACAAATCACCACACCATCAATGCTGTGTTGCCGCTCAGCTGTGTGCAATGTTTGCAGTCCCTCCAAATCAGACAGGCAGGCAGGCAGGACACCATGGACTCAGCGACAGCTCGCGCACCTGATTACTGTAGATGATGAAGTTCTCGGCGCACACAAGCACACCGCCAGGGCCATCAGCACCGCCCGGCACTGGGACAAGCAGGTTTGCGCCATTGTCCACCTCCTGGCTCCACTTTCTGGTCACGTGGTTCAGACCCAAGTCCAGCTCATACAGCGTCAGCTGCTTCTGAGCATTCCCCGCTGCCTCACCAGTGGGATCCTGCAAGCCAACAGATGCGTGCTTGTCCCCTGGTACCTCCAATGCTAAGAGCACCCCTGATCATGCTCTAAAGGAATACACAGCTCGATGCTACCAGCTGCCAGCGTCGCATACCTGATCCGCATCTGCATAGTCCAGCTCTATCGCTGCAAATACCGGGTTGTCGAAGCCCATGTCCAAGCCGATGACAGAGAACACAATGTTGTGCGACTTGTGGGCCTCCAGTGGCGATGAGATGGTCAGATTGGCTGCCTGATCGCGATTGAGCACATAGACCAGCTTCTGCTTCTCCATGGCCCCTACAGCAATGATTACCAGTGTTAGGCCCAAAACAATCAGTATTGCACTCTTCAACAAAGGGATCGTAAATTGTGACCCCATGGTAACCACATTGCAGTGCATGTCATGGCAGAACTTTGCAGAAAGATCAGACCAGCATATGCACCTATCAGGCAGGCACGCCCCTTGGGATCGACCGCCAGGTACTGTCCTGGCACTATGCGCCGGCATCCAGACTTGCCATATGTCTCCTGATGGATCTTCCTGAAGTAGTTCTGCTCCTTGATGTACTCCAGAATCACAATCCTCCCCGAGTCTGATCCCACAATGACGTAGTCCCTGGAGGCTCCCGTGAGGCGGAATGGTGCCAGAGATCGTATGCAGCCAAACACCTCTGTTGTGAAAATAGTCTGCACTCTTCCCGTGTCATCGGGGCGCAGCAGCTCCAATGTTTTGCCGCGAGACACCACGATTTCCTGAGCCTTTGGAGCCGAGAAATTTCCATATATAGCGCACTGCAGGACACAGATCAATTCTCAAAGCCATCATAGTAATAAGTGCCCAGATGGTCATGACAGTGATCGTTGAGTCTACGTCAACAATCTCCGCTACACCTTTCCAATACATTGCCGTTGCTGCTACCCTCCAGTTTCTCATCAAATTGGTTGCATAGGAGAACAAAAAAACAAGCACACTTCCACTCTATTACTATATGTGACAGGTATCAAAATACCTGGATTCCAGAGGCGCGACTCAGGGTCAGATTGTAAAGATACATAGTAACCCACGACGCTGCTTCTGGATTTCAAGTCCCACAACCGTGCTTGGGCGAGGTTGATTGCGTGAAGTGCTTCAAAACGGCGTCGCTAACACTTTGAGCCACGTTCATGTCCACTCATGGGATTTGCTGTTCTGGTGACCATTCTGAATAGAGAGGATTGCAGTTTCAGTGCCAAAGCATGTGTATCCGCATGGCATGTTGCGCCCACCGTGCACGTGCCTTCAAATTTGTGTAGGGGTAATTAATATTAATATACAACCCTGGGCCCCTCGCTGGCCTCGCTGGTTAGTCTATCGAGACACAAGTGAAACAAGGCGCAAAGATGCACCATGTTGAAAGGCAGTGAGAATAGATCTTGATATCAACGATGGTGCCCGACAATTCAGTAGTGCTCCCGACATCTACTTTGACAAAACCTGGTCTTGCTTAAGATTTAAAGTCTTTGGTCAAGCACAATACGCTCTCGTTCAAGTATCCGGGCTCAAAGTATCCGAGCTCAAAGCCTTCTCAGTGTGTGTATAGATCTCGTATGCTGAGAGTGAGGTGGCCACCCTTTTAAGCCAACCTTTCCTTTGGCTTGTTTTTCACTGCGCGGACTTATGTTGTGGGGTATAGGTTCTGTAATTCAATATGATCTCATCCAGCAACAAGTTCAAGGAGCTTTTTGACGACGAGGAGGAGGCGGGTCACGTGTGGGCAAAGCTCTTGACCATGCCGCCTGCTAGTAGATTGGACTACTTCTTGGATACTGACGATGCATATAGGGCTTTCTTACGCGTCTTGGCTGGTGGGAGACTGCTGCTGCATCCCTACTGTAACCTCAAGTCTTGCATCACGTCACTTGTGCAGCATGAGACAGGTGCAGCTGTACGTAACGGCCCCCAGATAACATGAGATACTCTGCCTTTGAGATAAAGGGGACGTTCAGAAGTGTAACATTCCAATGGCTGTGCAGGGCCGTACATTTATGTGAATTTAGAGGAGGAGCTTGCTAAACTGCAAAATCTCTTCGAAGACTCTGAAGAGCTTGGCCGCATCTGGTCGATCTTGACTGCCCAGCCGCCTCAAGATAGGGCGGGTATTTACAAAACAGTGACGCTGCATTGAAAGCTTCACTGCGCTCCTTGGCCAAGGGTAAATGCCCATACCGTCGCATGCAATTCTGTGTGGCTACCTGTGCCAATACGCAGGGTCTTATGGTCTACGTACTGCTGCCAAGCACCCGAGTGCTGCTTGCCCTTTTCTCTCGCAACTTTAGCACCTCTGCTTGAATTTTGAGACAATCAACAATAAACAGATTGCAACAACATTTTTTATACTTGCAGCCATTTTATTTACGGCTCTTCCCAAATCCTATGTCTTGGGAGGTGACTTTCGGGTATTCAGGCAAGTTTTGTCAACAAGGCAGAAAGTCTATTGCGAGTTATTGCTATTTTTTGGGGGCATTTTATGTCCACTACTGACCAATTTGCGATTTTGTGCAGGGGAGCTGGCATGCGGACATGCAAGCAAGTCTGATCATGACTTGCGTGATTACTTGCGTGTGCCACTGTATTCAGCTGTGCTTGCCAAGTACCTGGGCATGAAGGAGCCACCCCTATAGTATGGCTTTTTCTTAACAACAATTGGAAGCACCTTCTTTGCAGCCCAGGCTCTACAGAGCAAATGCCTTGTACGCAGAGAAGGCAGCAGCAAATCTTCCAGAGGAAGGAGAGAGGTTCGCTGAGCTTTCGGGTGTTGCGCCTTGACGATTGAGGAAAGCACAGATTTTGGCAGTTCGATTCCGCATGGAGGCTGTTGCTGTGGCGCTGGGGGTTCCCCTGCTGTGGCTAGCCTTCAGCCGTCCCCTCAATTAGCATTGAGTGTGTGAGGTAGTCCTCCCAGGAGTTGGGTACAGCGTCATGATTCGCAGCTACATGGGAGCAGCATCCAACCTTGCAAATAAAGTGCTTGTGCAGACAAGAGGGAACCAACAGTTACGTCACAATCCAAGCAGCGGGTGGTAATTTTTGTACTTGTTGGATGTACTTTATGTAGTGATCCTGCAAAGAGACTCGTCATTACACTCTGAGGTACAATGACAATGTTGCAAGTTGTGACACCTGCTTCTGCTTCCCGGGATAGTATGCCAGGCATTATTGGGACACCGAAGTGCATCTGCAGTCTACTTTGCAGCTGCGACGAGTTCATGTGTCTATAGTTCCTATGTTTATGGGCTTCTGGCATGAAAGCGCCATGTCTGGTGCAAAATTTTGAGTATAGGAAGCGCTGTACCGGACAGCTCGGAGGTTGCATCTGCTTGCACGCACCTTCCCCGGCTCCGGACGGTGTGTGGATTTCTTTTTATATCGTATCTTTTTATGCTGACTGTAGATAAAGCAAATGTTCTGAAGCTGACACTTTCCTCGAGTGTTGTTGCAAAAATTCGTCAGAGGGAATGATATGAGTGAAGTACTATAAGTTGCTGCGGGTCTGTTGACATGATCGGTGCACCCTTATGGCCATCAGTGCATGGTGAATGCTGCTAAGCAAAGCGCCATGTTTACTTTTGCAGGTTCTGCCTCAGAGTGCATGCGTGCTGGTCATCAAAGGAAGGCAGCGCCGCACTCCAGCGCCACCCATTTTGAAGCACAATTTTTTCCCGGGGAAGGGCTTGTCATGGATCTGTGACTATACAGACTAAACTAGGCGTAAATCGGTACCAGATGATTTTTCTGGGCTTGAAGTCCAGTCATTTGGGCCGTTCTGTGACAGCCTGAGGGCCAATCTGTGACAGACCAAAGATGGAAAATGAAAAAGGAAGTCTTACCCTGGGCACTTCTTGGGATCTGAACAGGATCGTGGCTCAGCCAAGACTAAAAAAGGCAAAAGGTGTCTTACTTAGGGAACTGAATAGATTACCTCTAGTGAGTAGACAGAAGTGATTCAGCACTATAGGAAAGCAAAAAAGGTGTGCGCTTGAAGTTTTGAACGGGCGCCCACCACGGCAAAACTTTCTCAGCTTTTGCATGCAGTGCAGCACAGAAACAGAATGCCTAGATTGATTGAACAGTTTGTCACTCTGTCTTCAATACCAAGAAGTCATGACTGCTCACTCACCTAAGCACGTGCTGACACGTGCATGCACCAATAAAACTCCTCATGCATCTTGACTTCGTTGCATTCGGGAATTCCAAAAAATGTACACACCCCGTGGCTGTTCAAGGCCACGTTGTTCACGATGTTGGTGCGATTTTCCTGTTGTGCTGGTTTAAGCTTGCCAAAACCATTATGATACTGTGTGTGATGATCATGATGCAGTGCTACTGATGATCTAGATACTGTGCACATGCTGTCTGCAAACAGATCAATGAAGGAGGCAAAACATGCAAGGCAGTAAGAGTGAGGAATGGCTGCCTCGCAATCTGAACAGGTCAAATGTACCTTGTACATTCTTACAAGATGTGCATTGCAGTTGTCAGCCGACACCTAGACCGTCCAGTGACTTGTGACTTGCTCATCAAGCTAACAATCAGTTGGACATCTTAGCCTCAGCTAGACTGTGTCCGACTTGGCAGGTCTGAGAAGGTCGTTGCCTTCGCAGGCATGGACAAACCCGGCAGCCGTCGAAAATTGACCGGCTGCAACACACAGGATGGCAGCGGCATAATCACTCCTAAAGCTCTGCAGCAGCTTGCTGTACTGACTTTCACTGGGGCTATCGAGTAATATGCCCACTGCTGGAACCTGCACTACTGCCTTGCACCATATGACTGCCAAGAGAGACTCACTCATGGAGAAATCACGCATGCAAGGTCTCGCAGCTTGAATTTGCAGACAAGATGGCGATCTGCTCAAGAACTTGGCATTGACCATTGTTCTGCTGCAACACTCTTGATAGCAGCATTACTGTATTGTAAGATGCACCGCGCATACTGTCTTCCTGCAGCACTCTTCTCATCCGCAAAGTTGCAGTTGCGTGCTTCCACCTTCTTGGTGAGGCTCTGCAATACGAATTCAAATGATGTTCACACACCCTCTGGCTCCATATCCCTTGCTGGGTGCGCTTGTGGTCTCGTCATCCAGGCACAATCGACACGATCGCTGTGAGGGCCACAGTAGACAGAGTTCCTTGCAACCCCTGCCCCTTGCAAAGCTTGCCGTGGTTGACGTATCAGCTGACCCACAATCCGATCCACCTGACAATCTTGATCCTCCCCTCATCCCGCATCACACTCTTCATGCGCCCTGTGGCAGCGGCACCCACGCTGTGACGGGGTTCGTCTGCCCACCGCGTGCGGCTCCACGAGCGCCTCTGGCGCGGCCTGTGCCGCGGCCCCGAACGCCGTCCCTGCCGCCAGATTCCTGGGGTGGCACGCCCTCTCCCGGGTGCCGCCGCGCCTGCGCTGGTCCCGTGCGCTGCTGCCCCGCGGCTGGTCCGCCCTCACGGCGGCGCTGGTGCTGGTGGCCGCCGCCGTCATTGCCGGCCGAAACGCCGTCCATGCCTCCCTCACGTCCGCGGCCGCGTGCGTAGCCGCCCCGGCCAGCGGGCACGCCCCTCATCGGTGGGCTGCCCATGCGGCCCCTGCCGCCGCGGCGGCCGCCGCCTGATGGTGGCCCACCCCGCATGGTAGGGACCACTGCCTCGACGGTCGCCCGGATATCCTCCGGGGTGAACACGTCGTCCGGCAGGCCGGCAGCAGTGTCATGCAGCGCTGCCGGCGCCTCGCCCGCCTTCCCAACAAACCCCTCTGGCAAGGTCTGACGATGCATCTCCATGTTGCCGTTGGACTGCGGCACGCCACCATTCCTGCAAATTGCCAGCATGTTGTGAGGTGGAGATCCTAGGGGAGGATGATGAACTATCCAGGCAAAGTACGCGGGGGTGCTGTGCATGAGCTGTATTGACTCGAGACCAGAAACAGAAGGAGGGTGCATAAGTCTCACCTGCTCAACGAGTCCAACGGTGGGTGCTGGCTCGTGTAAGGCGCCTGTCGCACAACCGAATCCAGGGCCCCGGGTCCAGGGTATGGTTGGGAAGCCGCCACTCGTGAAGTCTGGCCCAACGGACCAACGCTCCAGTCTGGCTGTCTGCCCAGAGGGCCTGTGCTCCAGTCAGGCTGCTTGCTGGCCGTGCCGGTGCTCCAGTCTGCTTGCTTGCCTGCGCATGACAGCGTTTGCATGACATCGATGCGTATAATAGAAAGCCAGGAACATGCAGATCTGGGATGCATAAGGAAAAGGATACACCTGAGCAACAAGCAACCCAAGTGCACACCTGTAGGAACGAATGGGGCTGTAAAGCCTGTGTGGAGCTGGCCGAATTGCAGGCCCGGAGGCACGCCCTGCCCAAACTGCGTGCTGCTGAAGGCGCCGAACTGGGGGTTGGAGTTGATGCCAGCGCTGCCACCGCCGTATGATGGCCCGCTGCCAAAGGACTGGTCGCCGGCAGCATTGTAGAACGGCTGCTTGGCGGCGCTCAGGTTGAAAGCGCCCTGGTCCTGCACGCCCTGCTGCTGAGCTGCACCGCCCTGCTGTGCGGTCGAGGTTTGCGGCTGCTTAAACTGCTGCCACATGTTGGCGCCCTGAGCCTGGCCTGGCAGCGAGAACAGCACGCCCGGGAACGCGGCGGGGCCGATCGGGGCAGCGGACACCGCGGAGGAGCGCTGGCCGCCAAAGCCGACAGGGCGAGACTCTGACGGCGCTGGCAGCGGGTCCAGAGAGAGGTCGGCAGGCAGCGCAGGGATGCCTTTTGGCAGCACATCCTGCCCAAGGCTGCTGCTCACGCCGGCGGCGGTGCTGGCGGAGCGCGGCCGTGAAACCGCGCCGACCACGCCGGCTGCGCTCTTGGGCCGCTCCACCGGGGGGTCGCTGCTCTCCGCGATTGGTGACTTGATGGCGATGGGGTCCAGCGACGGCGTAAACCGGCTGCTGCGGCTGTCCACCGCCAGCGGCAGGGAACCCTCGGCTGAAGACATGATGGGCAGGCCGCCTGTGACGGTCGTCCCCCAGCCGCCCAGCCCGGGCGGCTCCGAAATTGCGTCCCAGCCAAGGCCAGGCGGCACTGTGGCAATGATGGGCATGGCTTCTGCCTCAGGAGCTGACTGCTGCTTTTCCTGTGCCACCATCGGCGCCTCAACAGCGGCCGGAGGGGCTTCGGGTGGCAACTTGACAGCCGCTGCTTCAGGAGCATCTGGCGCGGGCGGAGCAACATGCGGAACCGGTGCTGGAGCGGCTGCACCGCGGCCAGCTGCCTTTGCGCCACGACCACGGCCGCGGGCCGACGCAGGAGCATCCCGCCCCCCACGCCCGCGCACATTGTCGCCACGCTGGCGGCCCCTCCTGCTGCCCGCGGCAGCGTCAACTCCGCTTGCGTCTGCACCCGTCTCTGCCGCAACGACCGTGCCCGGGCTGGTCGGCTCCGCCGGCTTGCGGGTAGCGACGCGTGCGGGCCGCTCGCCCCTGCCCCTCCCGCGGCCTCTGCCGCGTCCGCTGTCACCATCCCTCAGAGCTCCTGCATCCCTTGCATGCTGCCCGTCCCGCTCCGCACGGCCGCGACCGTCACGTCCGCGGCCACGCACGGGCCGTCCGCCATCCACGGTTCTTGGCTCGGGCTCCTCCTGGGCAGGCTCTTGAGGGGGCGTGCTGGGACCATCATCCCCTGCAGGTGATAGCAAAATATAACATCCTGATCGAGCACCCTGGCAGTTGCTGCTGAGGCAGGTCTGGAAATAGCTCTCAAGTGCATGTGAAGTCAAAGGATGACGAAGAGAACAGTACCGGCAAGGATCTTGCGCCAGGACACAGGAGGTCCCTTTGACTGGACGATGACAGGTGGAGCCACAGGGGCGGCGGCTGCATTGCTTGTGCCGTTTGCATCTACAGAGACAGGTCCGCTGCCATCAGCGCTGCTGACTCCGTGCACTGCCACCGCCTTCTTTGCTGCTGCAGGCTGCCTCTCCGGCTTGCTGACCGTCATGACCTTCTTGTCAGACACCTCCTGCTCGGCGCCTACCCTAGAGGGCTCCATGCTGCGCTTGGGGCCTCTCGGCGGTGGAGCGGGGGCGATTTTCTCTTCCCATGCATCAGGTGTGCCGTTTGGCAGGCGCGCCCTCTTCCAGGCATTGGGCAACGGCGCTGCAACATCCTGGGCTGAGCTCACCACGCTCACATCTCTGTCATCATCGCTCAGGGCATCCTGGGCGACACTGCTATTTGCCTGCACAAAATCCACACTGTCCGTCAGCAAAGACACCACATGATAGGCCGACCATGCACGTAATCTGCCAGAGCAATTAAACTAATTCATCCTAATTCACGCTCAGCATTGGCACTGCTTTACAGGGCAGTATGGGCATTTGTGCAGAATTACACGCATGAAGGAGTGATATGCATGAGAGGGTGTTTGTTTGTCGACAGGCTGCATAATGGGGCTACGGACCTGGACGTCGATGGAGGAGCCGTGCACGCTGCCCTCTTGATCCTGGTCAATAGCTGCCCTCTCTGACACGCTGCTCGAAAGTGGTCTTGCAGGCATTGCTGCTGCCTCTCGCTGTTCCTCTTCTAGCGTCAGCGCAGCAAGCTCTGTCTCAGCCTTCTCATGCGCAATGGCTGCTGCTTCTGCGGCTGCCCTAGCAGCCTTTGCCTCCTCTTCTGCACGTTTCTCTGCGGCATCCTTGGCAGCTAGCTCTTCCAATGCAAGCCTGCAGACACCCAACAAACACGATGTCCGATTGTGATGCGACAGCATGACAGACAGGCCATCAACAGTGTCTGACAATAGGACAGCATCACTACAGGTGGAGAAATTTGGAGGGCACCTTTCAGCTTCACGAGCAGCAATGGCTTCATCCAAAGCCTTCAGCTTGGCAGCTGCAGCCTCCTTTCTCTTACGCTCTGCTTCTTCCTCCTCAAGCTCACGCTGCCTCCGAGCCATCTTGGCATTCTGGGGAACCTGCACAAATGATATCAACCATCAGCTTTATTCGACGTTCGATCGCTTGATGCACATTGCTGTTCATATTTGCGGACAGAGGCAGAAGCAAAGGCAGGCGAACACACCACAGGCTCTGAAGGCTCATCGACCTCAGTGACATTGGCTGCTGCAACTTGCGCCAGTGTGAGGGGGCCTGAGGGCTCCTTCACCGGGGGTGCCGATTCTACTACCTCGGGGAGCAGCTCCTCTTCTGCAACAACGACCTCCTGCTCCAGCTTGCGTTGCCGTTCCTGCAGACGAATGAGCAAGTCTCAGAACTACCTCAAGGTTGTGCTTGTATGAATAATGGTGCTACTTGCACACCGGCAAGGAAGAGAGGAAAGGAAAGAGCGGCTGCAGCTTTTGGTGGGAAGCGCACCTTCTCCAAATCCTGGGCCACCCTGTCGAGCTCGGCCAGGAACGCCTCGCGCTCAGGATCCACCTCCATGCTCCTGCCTCCGTTGGCGGAGTCTCCGGCCGCGTCTGTGCGCGGCGGTGGGGGAGGCTGCCTGGAGGGGGGCGGTGGGGGCGGAAAGAGAGCGGCATCATCGGCGAAGGGAGGGAACTCGCCAAACCGGTCCTGACTGCCGAAGCGGCCAGTAGGTGGCCGGCCATAGGGTCTCTGTGGTGGCGGCGGGTTGCCCTGTCCACCACGGATCCACCGCTCATCATCAAACCCTCGCGCAGCAACCCCGTAGCCGTCTGCCGGGCCCCTGCCGCCATAACCATCGCCCCTGTCCTCCCATGGAGGCCTGAAGGCACGGTCCTCCTCCGCCCTGCATCAGCAAAGTCCTCACTCACACTGAAAGAATGCAGCCCTCAGGGTGCATGTGCAGCTCTCTGCAGTGGACAGCATGAGGGTCTGCACAACAAACCATAATGGTGATCAGGCTGTGCAAGTTCAGTAGAAGGGAACAATCCTTTACCTATCAGGTGGAGCTGGCTGGCTTGGTCCAGCTGCTGGCAGACGACGTTCGTCCTCGTCCCAGTTGGCTACTCCCTGTTTAAAACCAAGAACAGATTAGAATTACATGCCACACCTTTGCTGTGCAACCAGCATACTGGGCATAATGGGCAAGCAAGCACTCCTTTGGCAGCAACTAATTTACCACATCATCCCCCAAAAAGTACAGAGCTAGGTCAGGCAAAGACAGTGGTGCACCTGACTGTCTGGTACGGAAGGGACCCGCTGTTTTGGGAGGTTGAGCTGCCGAGGTGTGGCGGCCGCTGAAAGAGTAGGATATTCGTGTGGATTGAGGCGACGAGATCCCGGACGAGGAGGGGGGAGCGCCTGCAACTGCGGGGCAGGCGGCTGCCAGCCAGAGTCTCGACTGTGCGTGGACGCCCAAGTTGAGCCCGCGGAAAGAGCAGTCTGCCGCAGATCGGCCGGCGTCGGCGCTGGCTCCTCTACTTTCTGCCAGCTAGTACCGCTTCCCGACGGCACTATCTGGGTGTTAGGATCGTTGCCGGCGTTTTCCTGCAGGAAGTCCTTTCAGCTCAGTGTTGCAAGGCTCAGTAATAAAGTCTGGCCAAGACAGCCCAGATATCAGGTAAATGCTGCGATGCAATCAGTCGGCCCTACCTTTCTCAAGGATGGAAGATTGACGGGCTTGGGCACGGCAAGCTTGGCCGCTGAGTTGGACGCAGGCAATCTGGCCTTCTGCATAGCAACAGCGCAGATCAGAGGCTGTGTTTCAGGTGTTAGACTCTTGATGGATCCCACGCATGCGGAGCGCGACATCTGAATGCAAAAAAAGGAAACCAACGCATTGCTCCGTCTGGATTAAATCAGGACACAACGCCATTGGCCAGCCAGCCAGTCTGCCTCTTCAAGGATCAGACAACCCCCCCACTTTACCTTGCTTGACCCCAGAGAAACCAGGCCAGATCCATATCTTGTGGGCTGCGAGTAGGGCTGGGAGAAGCCAGATCCAGACTTCTGAGACGACAGCACGCCATTCAAGTTACTGTTCGCATATTTGTTGCGTTGAGACATCTTCTAGCGCAGCACTCTCCAATGAAAGTGCTGGGCGGTACATCGAGCTTCCGTGGCCTCGACTGGCTACGTGAACGCCCGCCAAGCACTAAAGGAGCTGGTGCTCTAGCGTTTTCGCCCAATCCTGCAGAATTGGTCCACAGCAGGACGGTGGCAAATGTCACGCGGCGTTCCTGCCTGAGCGGGACTCTGACTGGCACGGTCATGTGGCTTCGTCATGCAATCTTCTGAAAAATGAAAAACAAAAGTTAGAAAAGCTGATCTATGTGAAGCACTGAAGGCTTCGTGCATGTTCCCTTCTTTTCGTGTTATTCACACACTGGACTACATCTAGGAAGGCTTTATGGTGTCATTTAATTGGCAGTTTGCCATTTCATTAATCTAGATTGACTATTTTACTAACCTCACAGGCCATGAGATGGTGTCACTGACTTCTGAGTCGACATTTGTGGCTACTCCAATATGCTTATGAGAGCATTGGGAGATCATGCCGCAACCCTCCTGATCATAGCGGTATCTCTGTTGATACGGCTTGGTGTTGGATTACATTCCTACTCTGGTGACACCCCTTATCCTCTTCGGGGGACAGCACCTTGTCTTCAACTTGATGCTGTTGCCTTCATATATATAACTACAGCAAGCTTGCAGGTGCAGGTTTGCCACCCAGATACGGTGACTATGAGGCACAACGTCACTGGATGGAAGTCACAGTCCACCTTCCAATCCAGGATTGGTGGGCGCGCCTCACCAACTCAAGTCTAGTGATGAATGCACAGCACTTTGCATGACGGGACAGGGCAATGAGGGTGCGATATACACACCAGGTACAAGAACACCACTGACAACAACTTGGACTATTGGGGCCTCGACTACCCTCCAATCAGCGCCTACCAGGCAAGGGGCCCTTCTTCCAGACCAGACTACTTCTGATCAGCACTGCACACCCCTCAAAATTGGCACGGAGTGATGCCCGTCAGATTGTGCAACTTTGCAGAGCTGGCTGTATGGGAAAGCCATTCAGCATGCCGAGCCTGAGGCCATTGCTTTGCTCATATCTCGAGGATACGAGACTTCTTCCAGCAAAACAACGATGCGCTGGAGTGTTGTGATATCTGACATATTGGGTGAGCGCATGCTGTTTTTGGCTCTGCGTGAAGCACAAGCACAAGCACTTGTGAAGAGTACACAAGTGAGAGCACATGCCGGTAAAGCGTCTGAACAAAAGTTGTTCTATTGTGCAGTGTACATTCCCGCTGTGCTGGCCTGTCGACGTGCATTCTTAAAGGATGCAACAGCAGAGCAACGGGCATGGATGCTTTTTGCTGCCCTGTTACAGCCAGCTGCCGTCCTGATAGACCATGGTCACTTTCAGTACAACGGCATCAGCCTCGGCTTTGCAGTGCGTCTCTACTGCATCATTTGGTCAGCGTGACACGGAGGGTGGTGGGCCCCTCCTTGGGGCCAAGTTCAAATCTGATCTGCCGACGCCCCTTCACAGCAGAGCACTGTGTTTTTTTGTAGGCAGGGGCAGCGGCGGCGGTGGCCACTGGGAAGGAGATGCTGGGCAGCGCGCTATTTTGCCTTTCCCTTAATCACAAGCAGATGAGCATGTACTATGCACCTGCGTTCTTTGCACACTTGCTGGGCAGATGCCTTCAGCGGCCGACATTCCTCAGCAAGGTGCTCGTTAGGCAATCCTTCTCGTAGTACCATGGCAAATGCTGCACGGTGTAGTCAGTCATATATCTTGGATGCGACTTCATCAGCTCCTGTTCACGATGTTGTGATCTGTCGACATTCCATTCGTCAGGCGGGCAGACTGCATCTCAGCATCTATTCTAGCGCAGGTGGGAGCTGTGGCACGTCTGGGCTTCGTGGTGTGTGCAACCTTTGCCTGTGTGTGGGGGCCATTCTTGGTGCCGCCTTCCAGAGCTGTTGGAGTGTTGAGCAGGCTAGCGCCCCTGCGCCGGGGCCTATTTGAGGACTATGTCGCAAATTTCTGGTGTGCTACATCTCCTTTGATCAAATGGAAGCAGCTCTTTACCCAGCAGGTGTGCTCAAAGCCAACTGATCTCCAAACTTCTTGCCTCTTTTAGCCACACAATGCCTGTTGTCACACGTGTGCATCCATTGGAGATATAGAGAAGCTGTAAGGCAATGCAGCCTGTCAACTCTCAAATTGACATGTGCAGGAACTAGTACGCCTCTGCGCGGGTGCCACACTGCTCACTTTGCTGCCGGCAGTGGTGCAGCAGATCAGGAGCCCATCTGAGAAGGGTCTGCTGCTGTGCATGGCCAGCAGCGCATTCTCGTTCTTCTTGTTTTCCTACCAGGTCCACGAGAAGTCCATCCTGCTGGCGCTGCTGCCAGTCACACTGCTGGCACCAGAGCTGCCAGCGCTGGCCGCATGGTTGCCGGCTGTTGCAGCTTTCTCCGTGTATCCGCTGCTGAAGAAGGACGGCCTGTCTCTGGCATATGTGGCGCTGCTGCTACTCTGGGCAGCCTTCACGCTGCCTGCTCAGGCAAACAGAACAGCTGTCACTGGAAGGACATGGATGCATGGTCTGACGTCTTGTGGCCTACCCCTGATTTTCAGAACGTCCGTGGGCCTGGCTCTGGGTGTCCATGCTGCAGCTGCTGTCCTGGAGCCACCCAAGCGGCTGCCTTACATCTTTGATGCGCTCATCACGGCCCTGAGCTTCTTGCACTTTGCTGCTGCTGCGCTGTATGTCCAGATTTTGATGTGGAGGCAGGGCCATGAGAAGAGCCAGTGAAAACGGCTTTTTCAGTCCGACGTGTAATTCTATTGTGCCAATAAAATCTTGTTTCGCCTCGAATGCGCCATGTGCCTTCAAAAATTTTCGACAGCCTTTTGATGTAAATTCGCGACGGACTTTAGAGAACAATTGGCTATCCAAACGTATATTGGTCGTCGACTGCGCTGCGCTTTGCTACTGTGAAGCAGTTTCTCGCTGTGTTGGTACATCACTGAGTTATACCGTTACCACAGGTCATACACCGTCGTTCTTTGTCGCAAAATTTCTTCTGAGGAGCGTGGAAAGTGTGCACTTCAACAATGGCGGCCATCGACAAGCAGGCCCTCAAGGACGCGGTCACAAGGAGGAGTTCATACATCCTAGCAAACAAGGAGTGCGTCACTGATGATTTCTCAACTTGTTGCACCTCACGGCATGCAGGCCATCGCTGGATTGACAAGAACTCTTTCATGACATGTTGCAGGACCATCACCATGAATCAGTGTCGGAAGCTGCTCGAGGAGGACATGGGTCTTCCTGAGAAGAGTTTGAAGAGCGAAAAGGAATATGTGAAGGAGCTGATTGACAAGGTGGGCCCAGTGGTTATTTCCTGCTTTCAAAAAGAATGCATCAGCTCAGAGCTTGACCTCCATGTCACTGTGTTGCAGCTGTTCTCGGGCAACACAGCAGGTGAAGAGCCAGCAGCGCCCTCTCAAGAGAGTGAGGATGATGCGGCAGAGCCTGCATTTGACAGCAACTCTCCCAAGCAGAAGAAGGCGAGACGTAAAGCCAGCGAAGACGATGGTTCTTCACGCAAACGGCTGAAACAGAAAGAAGTGAAGGCCAAGAAGGTGAAGAGGAAGGATGAGGAGGCAGCCCCGGCAGCGCCTGCAGGTGACTTACATATTTAATCCTAGAGTGCAATCAATGCAGCTCTCTGACGGTGGTATGGCGGCTCTCACTGTAGCGCTCAAGCGCCTGCCTCACCAACTTGCACATCCCAGGTCATGACCAGCGCAGGATGGCTGTGGATTTAGGCAAAGAATATGGGCGCGAGGTGCAAAAGATGAAACGCATCTGCAAATCAGCGTCCATCACCATCCCGCCCTCTGTCTACACGAGGGTGTCCAAGGAGCAGGATGTGGCAGACAGGCTGAAAGCGCTGCTGCAGAAACATGGCCTGTCAGAGCAGGCCACCACAGACGAAGTCGCGCAAGTGCGCAAGGACGTGCAGAAGCAGCGTGACCTGGAGGGTGAGACTCTGCACCCCTGCTATGACTGTCAAGTCTTGTGCCCCATGTGGTTTGTGATTGTGCAGGCCGCTCTGAAGCACTTCATTTGGATGCATCATCCCGGAACTCTTTGTGAGCTCAGCCTCTGCAGGGTAACGCGCACGGTGTTTGACTTGCGCACTTGTCAGTGAAGAGCTTGCACTGGGTGTGCAGGCATTGACATGAGCAACATTCTGGCTGAGGGCCGTGGCAGGCGTGCGGCTGCTGCAGCGCCGCACAAGTACACCTACCTGGACAACGGTTCCCTGTCAGACTCAGACGCGGACAATGTGTGTCCTTCTCTAAACTGCTTTGTCCCCCAGCAGCAGGAAATCTGCGCCAGAGTCTAAAATAATATTGGTGGCGCAGGAAAATGCTGATGAGGAGAATGCGCAACCTGCCAATGTCAGTCCTGGTGAGAGCCCTGCACATAGGACTTTACTGCATTTTGGCAAATAGATGAACCTCCTCCTTGGAAGCCAGTGCTTCAGTGAAATAGACCAATTCAGTGTGACATTTGCAGGGAAGAGAAAGCAGCAGGAAAAGAAAGCAAATAGAATTGCTGAGGTGAGTGACGATTCTGATATTGATGTAGAGGACGCTTCTGGCAGCGAGTCATCTGAGTTAAGCCAACCTGAGCCAGGTGAGGATCGCAAACATTGCCTCGCAAGTTAATAAATTACTATGCACCCCAAGTTTGAGTGGCACAATGTGCCTGCCATTAAGCTGCAAGCACGCATATGCAGGTCTTCTGGACAAGGCTAGCCTAGAGGTCCCAGTGAAGGGCGCCATGAAGCGGAACCTTGCACTGTGGTCAGATGATGACGACTAGTTGGTATCGATGCATTGCGACATCGATAGAAGAGAGAGTGTGTGACGGACTTCAGGAAATCCCTATTGAATCAGGGCTGACAGAGCCCTGTCTAAAAGCGACAAGCCCGAGTTTGCTGGGTTGCTGATGTATCGAGAACAACTTTTTACAAGCTGCCAGAGATATTCCAGCCACTTGTGTAAGAGCACCAAATTGCTCACCCAACAATCACAAACCCTCAACGCAAGCTACATACAGCTGATCCGGGTGGTCATGGGTCATGGTACTGCCGTTTGGCTCACAGGATCTTCAAAAGGCAACAATGACCTACACTGAAGCAACACAACTGGCTCAGAAATCCAAAATTGGCACTCTCCTGGCAGGACGAGCAGATGTGCTCACGTGCAAGTGCAGACGCAAAGGACTGGAGGCAAATCAGAGAGAATTCTCAAGAAATATGCTGCACCAACATGCGCATCTTCACGACTGCACCAGACCATTTCCCTCTGAAGGCGCCGTTTCTCCAAGCTCCAACACTTGGACATCAGCTCCAGCGCTGCTGGGTTCCTCCTGTGGCACGCCAGAATCTGGCCCTGTCTGCGGTGCGCCGTCCCCGGCACTCGCTGTGCTCGCGGGCTCTTCTGGCGGGGAAGAGCGCTCCGAGTTCCAGGGCAGGTCCTCGGCCATCATGTCCGGCAGGTCGTCCGGCTGCCCAAAGTCGTCGATGCTCACAGGCAGCGGGCTGGGGCACCTCCCCTCAGGCTCCTCGCTGTCAGGGAACACCGGCTCTTCCTGCTGGAACAGCTCTCGCGGCCCCTGGCTTCCCTCAGCCGCCACGTCGCCGGGAGAGACCCCGGCGCCTGGGGCGGAGGGTTCTGCCAGGCCGACTGCGGTGGACGGCGCGGCTGACGTGATGATGAGCAGGCCTGGCGACTGCCCGGCCGACAGCGGCCGCGCTGGCGGGCTGTGCGAGGGCCCTGCCTCAGGCGGCTGAGCAGCTACGGCAGCTTGCTGGAAGGGCTGGCTGCCCTGAGACGCCCCGGAGGTCACCTAGGCATCAAGCACATTCAAATTAGCTACGGCATATGCAGAAGTTGTGCTGGGCATAACGCCTGATGTCACATTGATGGCCCAAAAGCCCGCGTATAAGCTGCTATTACTCCAGAAAGCTTGAACCCAGTACAAACAGACTACCCTTCCAGGGACGCGCCGAGTAAAGGCAGAAGAATTCAAGGAGAAGCAACACACCTGGGAAGTGGGAGCCCCTGCACGATCGCCGGCGTCCTGCGCTTTGTCTTGACCGGTCGTGACGGGTGCGCTGTAGCGCGGCGATCCCGGCAACGCAGCCCGGCCAGCAACCTCTGCGCCAGGCACTCGCTGCCCCACAGAAGGCCGGCTTGCCCCCTGGACGACCACACCATCCTCCCTCAAGCTTGTCTATTGACAAAAGGCAGAATCACAAGGGAGTGCTGAATCTCAATCCCTCTGTGGTGTCTGCAAGACAGAATGCAATGCGCATGCGCACACACCTGCATCTCCTGCGGCACAAACGGCGAGGAGGTGCGCTGCTGCTGTGCCTGCTCTGACGGGCCAGGCCGCAAGGCAGATGGCATTGAGGTGAGGGCACCGCTGACAGGCTGTTGCGGGTGTCCCTGGCTGAAAGCAGCACTGCCGCTCTGCGGGGGAAAGGACACTGGGAGAGGCTCCAGCATGCTCGGCGCAGACATCGCCTGCGGTTCAAATGCGGCAGACGCTTTCTGCATCGCCGGATGCATCCCGGCCTGCCTGGCCCAATCCGAGGCGACACCTGTATTGCGCAATCCACATACCATACCAGCTTACTTGAATCACTCTTCAATACTCTTGGCAAAATTTATGGAGAGCTCTTGAGTGTCATAGAGATGCCGCACCGTTGCCTGCACTGTGCGGCGCAAAGCTCCTCTCGTTGGTGGGTGGTCCAGTGGGGATCATGGGCTGTGTGGGGATAAATTGGGATCGCTGCTGCTGGCCTCCCTGAATTGCGCGAGGAGAGTACATGCCCCCGCTGCTGCCTGCACAGCGCCAAAATAACGAACTCAATCCATGCTTACTACACTCCAAACAGGATGTTACACCGCCCGAGATAGCTGCTCACTTTGGAAACAATGGGAGTGCATCAACTGCATGGGAGCCATTACTACTCCTACCTGGCATACTCTCCTGGGACCTTTGCTGAAAGCCCAAGGAAGTGAAACCGTGCTGGGACTGTTGCTGCTGGTGCAACATGGGCTGTGCCATAGGGCCATTTGCCTGTTGCATCTGCTGCATCGCCTGCACAGAATCCGCAGAACATCTCATCACATGTCCATTTCCAAATTTCTGGGAAAATCTGGGCAGATTTGCAAGTGGCCATCATATTGTATGCACCTTCCACGAGAAAATTGAGGGGCATGCATCAGTACCTGCTGCCGCTGCATGAGGCGTGCCTGCTCCTGTGCAGCAAATCGCTGCGTGAGGGAGCTCAGCGCCGCCTGCTGCTGGGGCTAGACATAGCAAATATACACTGTCAGACTCCAGTCGACAGGTAAAGCCACTCTTTACTGGATTAGAAATGGTCCAGGCATGACAGCAACAATCCTGGGGCAACAGTAAAATATAGCCACCCACATCTCTAATTTAGCAATGGAAAAATAGGCATGACACTTTCGTTCATGGCCCCGCAGTCTCAAAGCCAGATGACAGCCTGACCGCCTGCAGGGTGCCGCACCTTGGGCATGGCCTGCAGTTGCTGCATCTGCTGCGGATTGAGGCTGGCAAGCATGCGCTGCTGCATCTCGTGCTGCCGAGCGGCCTCCTGCGCAGCCACCTGCTGCTGCTCCACATGGCGCTGCCGCAGCTGACCCAGGAATTGGTTCTGCGCAAACACCAGCGACCCCCTCTCAGCACCATGGTCCTTGAGATCCCGTGAGACTCAATGCCAGGCAACGCATCTCTCTTGGCCCAAAACATGGCACAGACGGCATGATGCTGCAGCACAGTGAAAGAGTACTACAGGGCCACCCGCACCTGTGCAACGGGGGGCAAGCGTGACAGCTGCTCTCGCTGCTCTGGCGTCAGAGTGCCCAGCAGCCGCAGCACCTCCTGCCGCTGCTGCTGCTGCAGCTGCTGCCTCAGCGCTGCCTGCTTTGCCTGGGCACACCACACAGCACCGGTAAGTGCGGCTGCCCTTGTACCTTGGCTCACCAGCAGGGTCCACAGTCCTGATAGCAGAGCAGGCTTGCCATGAAGTATGCGACTGCCTTATCATCGAGATGAAGAAGGAATCAAGGGAGCACCTGCGCGTCATAGGCACCCATGCCCGGCTGGGCCCCGCCCTGCATGCCAGCCATTTGCAGCTGTTGCTGCTGCAGGTACTGCTGCTGCCGCTGCGCCAGGAGCTGCTGCTTTATGAGCTGCTGCTCGGCTGGGCTGGCGTTCTGATAGCGCGCCATCAGCTGGCGCCGCTGCATCTCCATCTCCTGTGCACCAGAGACACACACCTCATGCGTGCAAAAGGCTCCATGTCTCACGTGCAGCCAGATACGCAACCCTGACACATCTCGAACCACCAAACACATGTTGATGCCATGCATAAAATATTGATGATCCGATGCAGAAGCAAAATGCAAAAACGCGCACGGAAGCGCGTGCTGCCCACACCTGCATGCGTTGTGCCTGCATCTGCTGGCTCTGGAAGCCCTGGTGCTGTGCTCCCCCACCCGGCCGTGCAGTGTTACTGGCTGTGCTGCGCTTGGCTGCGGCACGTGCTTTGGCCGAGCGCCCGCTCCTCTCGCTCCTTTCACCCTCGTAATCTGGATCGCTGTCCGAGTCCTTCTGCCTCCTCCTTGACCTGCACAGATCAGACAACAGACTTGTAATAGTATGCTGATATGCTTGTACACTTTCTTGTGACTCCAAAACCACAGGAACAAAGCGCATGCTGGAAGCATACTCCAATGAAGTCCTAGGAGGGCGTTGGAGCCTGTCAGGAGACTCATGAACAGCCATTGCATGGGCTGACATATGACTGCACATGACTCGAGCAGAGCCTAGCGAGTGCGCGGCCGTGCGCACCTGTCAGCTCTCGACTGCGGCTTGTACACGGGCCCCTCGCTCTCGGAGGACAGGTCCAGGTCGGAGCCCTCGTAGTAGTCGTCCATGCGCGGCGGCGGCAGCGGCTTGCCGAAACGTGCCAATGCGCTGGTGTTGCGATTTGGCCGCGTCCTCAGCGCGCGGTGGCGCTTCACCACATGCAGCCCCATCGGCGACCACCCCGGCGAATGCTCCCGCTTCCTTCCGCGCGCCGCCTGTAGAGCACCACTCTTGACGTCAGGTAAACACACTTCTTCGTGATAAGTACAGCACATTACAAGCAATATTGTGCAGCTGGCGTGCGATAAGATGAAGTCTCACACCTGCCCTGGATGCCCGCCGCGTTGCCGCAATTGCCGCCCAGCAGGATTGCCATAAGCCTCCTGCTGCTGCTGCTGCTGCTGTTGCTCCTGCTGGAATCCTTCTCTCTGCTGCCGGTATGGGTTGTGTTGCTGTTGCCAGGGCGCTGAGGACTGTGGCTGCTCGTCGTGCGGGTTGAAGCTCAGAGGTTCTGCATCCATCGCGCCCATGGGCGGCATAGGGAAATCAAGGGGCTGGTGGAACTTTGGAATGGGCAGCGGCGGGGTGGGCTTGCGCTCCGGGCTGTTGTGCTCCGGGGCATCCTCTGACAGTGTGCCTTGCTGCTGCTGCTGCTGCGGTTGCGACTTGGAAGGCTCGCTCGCTGACACATCCCTGCTCTCGCTTGAGCCTGTGAACAAGCCCCCTCCTCAGTTGACAGATCCAAAATTCCCATGTTCAGCAAGCTTGCATTCCTTGTGTAGCTGACGCAATATACTTCCGGGTGCTAACTGTGAACCATGAGGACCTTGGTGCCTGTTTAGACAGGACATCGGCGCGTGCCTCGCGATGGGATCTCCCCATTGTCGATCTGCTGCAGCCGCCGGTAGTAGCGCTCCTCCCGCGAGGGGCCGTCGGGGTGGATGCCCGCCAGCTTCCGCCGCAGCTCTGCCGCCTGCCTCTGCAGCCGCTCCTGCCAATGCTGCCATCGGGTAAGCCGGCAACACATTGTCCAGTGATACAGGTCACTGCATGTACTGCTATACTCTTCTTGATGCAATGCCAGAACTATTGACGCGCAAGACAAGGACTGCCTTGCTACTGCCGCATTGTGGTAAGCTGCGCACCTCCTCATCCTGCCTGGCCTTCAGGCGCAATTCGCGCTCCCTGTCCTTCCTCAGCCGCTCCCTCTCTTTCTCCATTCGGCTCCTCTCCTCGTCCTCCTCCTTCTTCTTTCGCTCCTCCTCGTCCTTCTTGATCTGCAGAACCTGCATACGGGGCCCAAAGAGAAATTCAGATGAGCTGTCTCACAATAGCCATATTCTAAGACTACTGCTTCGTGTCTTGCTATGTCTACAGGACAGCTGCCTGCATGCTAGAAGCACACAGTCTGCACCAGGGCGCTGTCACGTCAGAAAAGTTGGTGAGGCGGCATAGCAAAAAGAACCACCCAACATCAATCAATGCGGACGGGAACAAGTAATGACCAATTTCTCTCATGACAGTTTGGCTGGTATCTCAGCATTATCTTGTGAGTCTAGCATAGAACATCCAGGTGGATGTTATATTGATTGTTCTGAAACCAGCACATACTGTATGCTTTTGCAAGCCAGCTCCCCACCTGCAACCTCGAGGACCTTTTTTTGGGCATCGCTTCAAGTGCTGCTGCCCTCTCTTCTGCCTTCCTGCGGGCCTGCACTGTGTCCATGAGCTTGGGCAGCACGCTGGTTGTGAGCAGGTCGTGCAGAGCCTTGTCGTTCTTATTCCTGGACGCGCTCATCTTGGCTGCGAAGTCTGACATGTCCTCCAAAGTAGTGCAAACCGTCTCCCACAGAGCTTCATCACTTTTGTCCTTGTTCTTCTTGCCAAGACGCTTGCGAGGAGCCTCCTCCCGGTACAGCCGACAGTCCTCGCTGTCGTCTGCGAAGTGGAAGTAGCGATTGCCCTTCGAGTCCTCGCCAATTGGTTCGTGTCGGAGCTGATCTGCCGTCTCGGGATTCTCTGACTGCAGCACAGCAGGGCGTGTCACGGCTGCTCTCGTCGCTTCCGACACTGCAAGCACACAGGCGAGACAAAACGCACCGCTTGTCTGATGACGTCCCGTACCGAGGCACACTCATCCAGCCTCCACTCGCACAGGGCGTAAAGTATGTTCATCTGCGTCACAATCCCGGCTGTCACAGCCCGTTCAAGTGATGTTTGATTGTTTTAAAGGACAAAGTCCCAGCTGCCTCACCCGGGACACCGGGTCTATGGTGTAGAAGTCCCCCCCGGCCATTGGGTGAGCCGTGAACGCCTGCGGCCACTGGGCGTCGAGCTTCCGCTTGAGCAGCTCCTCCCATACAACGGACTCCCGCTCAATGTAGGGCTCTCTCGTCTCCTTCGCTGGTCTAAGAAGGAGGTAGAGCAGGGAAGAGAGAAAAACCCCATGTTCATCTGGTTCCAAGATGGCAGCTTCGAGTTTGTCCGTGCTGAACGGGCGGATTTTAAGAGTTTCAGAAAAGATTCTGCAAAACTGGGATATGGCTGCCAGCTCCCAGGAATCTCGCAGCAGCTGCAGAAAGTCTACATCACCCTCGACCTCTTCTATCCCTTCGGGTATCTCGGGCTCCATGGTAAGAATGCCCCAAAAGTTGCATTCCAGTGTGCTCAATATACAGTTGCCGTGTGGGTTTTCAGGTGTAGGGTTTGAACGCCCCTTTAATTGATATCTTGCCCTTGTACTAAGAACGTAATCGACCCTTGAGTGGGGGAATTATAGGTCTTCAGCCCTGGGATGTCCTCGACTGTTGGCATTTGCGCATAAATAGATGGACGACTAGGTGATGGAGACACCGCAGTTCCGTTTGTCTTTCTCAGCATTCGCACCAAGCAGCCACTGAGCAGTTTACTAGGCTAGGAAGGGAAAAGAGGAGAGGAGCAAAAATGCAGGCCTTGCTACGATTAGGGTTGGCGAGTAGTCTGACTTTCAGGAAGGTGAGGCAAAGAGGCTTGAATGCTTGTTCTGAACTATTCATTTTGATGTAATATCTGATGGTCAGATGTGGAGGCGCAGGTGGATAGCCTGGCCCTGCAGTGCGCCAGGACTTTCGCCTCTGGACAGCAGGTATTGTCAGTTACTCCTTGCAACCCGTGCCCCTTGTCATATCCATCAAACAGGCATCAAGAACATGCACCAAGTGATCTTTGTGCAGTCTCACCGTATGAAGCCGCCTACATGCACCGCTCTTTGAGTATTTCAGGGTATGTCCCATTAAGTGATCTGACTTTGTGCTCCTCCTGCAGACCATCACAATTCGTGATGCACTAAACTCTGCATTGGATGAGGAGATGGCTCGTGATGGTGATGTATTCATCCTTGGAGAAGAGGTGAGTGAGACTCTCAATAACTGGTTTTATGCTCCAGCTGATAGCTCTACAATACCAGTGGCTCACTGCTTCCTCTTCTATGTGCAGGTTGGGGAGTACCAGGGTGCCTACAAGGTATGGACTCATTTCTGCACATTGCTTTCCAGAACCGCTTCTTCCAATAGAGCAGCTTCAGACAGCCGTGATGATTATCCGAATACTCAGCAATTTTGTTGTGTGCAGATCACGAGAGGTCTACTTCAGAAGTATGGTGCAGAACGTGTCAGGGATACCCCCATCACAGAGGTGCCTGCAACGTTCCTGCTTGCTGTAAATCCTTCCTGTCCTTGCCAACAATCAAGGTCATTGTCTCTCATGCAGCCTGCAGATCTTTGGGGTCTCCTGTCTGATCAGGATGCTGTGGCATGTGCAGGCTGGATTCACAGGCATTGCCACAGGCGCTGCGATGGCGGGGTTGAAGCCGGTGTGCGAGTTCATGACATTTAATTTTGCCATGCAAGCCATTGACCAGATAATCAACTCGGCGGCCAAAACCTTGTACATGTCTGCTGGGACCATCCCAGTCCCCATTGTGTTCCGGGGACCCAACGGCGCAGCCGCTGGCGTGGCTGCACAGCACTCCCAATGTTTTGCCGCCTGGTACAGCAGTGTGCCCGGGCTAAAGGTCCGCTGCTCCCTCAGTTTCAAGTTCAATTCGGTTTAGCGGTTTGTCCCTTATCTCTTCTCCTGCACCTTTGCTATGTATGACTTTATGATAGAGGGAGTCACAAAGATCTGGAGGGCCTGACTGGATGGATGTCGAGCAGGTGCTGGCCCCATATGATGCCGAGGATTCTCGTGGCCTCTTGAAAGCAGCCATCCGGGACCCAGACCCGGTGGTGTTCTTGGAGAATGAGATCCTCTATGGCGAGTCGTTCCCAGTCACAGATGAGATTTTGGGGCACGACTTTGTCTCACCCATTGGCAAGTGCAAGGTGCGCCGCTGCCATGATCCCATCCAAGCACCATGTTTCCTCAGTGCCCTGTAGGATCAAACCTTGACGACCAGTTGTTTTGCTCAGTAGTACTGTGAATTAACGCAGTGAGTGCCTACCATATTCACACAATGGCAGAGCTGATCAGGGAAGCATCATGACAACTGCAGGTCATGCGGGAGGGGACAGATGTGACGCTGGTTGCGTTTGGGAAGCTGGTGGGGTACAACCTCAAGGTTGCGGAGGAGCTGGAGAAGGAGGGCATCAGCTGCGAGGTGTGCTACCTCTCATAATTTGGGCGTGCATCCTGGCCTCTAGACACAAGAAGCTTGTCCAAGCTCTCTCAACTGCATACTGTGCTTCATAGTATCAGTTTAAGCATCGCAGCAGGAGAGCATGTCAGCAAGGAGTTTTACCGGTTGCCACGCTTGACCCGTACCGGGTGTGGAATCCGTGCAGGTGATCAACTTGCGGACGTTGAAGCCCATAGACAGGGACACGATCGTGGCATCAGTAAAAAAGACGCACAGGATAGTGTCGACAGAGGAGGGCTGGCCACAGTGCGGCATCGGCGCAGAGATCATGGCGATTGCGACTGAGGAGTGCTTTGACGACCTGGACGCGGCTCCCGAGCGCGTGACCGGTGCAGAGGTGCCCATGCCTTATGCTGCCAACCTGGAGGCTGCAGCACTGCCGCAGGTGATACAGCCACTCTGTGCTTCAGTGCCATTAGGTCACTGGCTTCAAACATTTGAAATATCGCCTGCAATGTTTTTTTAATACAGCTTGAAGATCTCGTCCTCAGCAAGAGAAAGGCTCTGCTTGCTCTGTAGATGTGCTCTGCAACATGTGCAAGTTTGGTTCAACTTTTAATTTCATGCATGGTAATCAATAAGATGGTATTTGTACTTTTTTATTGCTTGTATGCACCTGCAGATTGCGGACATCATCAAAGTGGTGAAGCGGGTTGTCGGGAGGTGAGAGGCGTTCAACGCAGCTGGAAACTGCGGAGAGACACAGTCATGTACTAGAATTGGGTTACAGTGATCACCAGAGAGGACAAATGAATCATGAAAACTATCTGTGGCAGCAAGCCAGTGCATGCAAGTCTTACAAAGGTGTGTCTCATGTGACATAGCCAGTAAATAACCTTGCAGATGTGTCTTGCAAGTCTAAAGGATAGTCTTGGGCATGTCTTGTATGTTGCCAGTTTCTCTGTGGGCTCTTACGGAAATATACCTGACAGACTTCACATTTTACTGCATGATGCCAGATCGTGGCCTTCGCAAGCTTGGCCATTTCAAGCGCTGCGCTCATTGAGTTGTTGCAAGACTTCGTAGAGCGTTGTGCTTGGAAATTACACTTGATCTCTTCAAATTGCTGCCAGGGCCGTGATCACTGGCAAATTGCAGGTCCCGTTGTGAGTCCTGGGACCCTGCAGGGCTGGGCGCTCGGCCCGGCCGGGCTCGCCGCAGGACCTTCCGAGGTGCTTACCCAGGCTTCATAGTGTGCTACAGTAGGACTAGCCACTGCCAGCACACTCATAAAGGTGAACATATGTGTGCACGAGCTCGAGCGGTTAACCAACGTTGCAGCTGCAGCTAATAGTATTTGCAGCGCACGCGCCTGAGCTGCCGCAGCTGCGGCAGCTGCAGCGCTGCCGGAATTTTGACACATGTGTCTGTACAGGCTAAGGTCGGGTTTCAAAATTTCTTTAAAACTGTAGCATGTTGGTGCCATGCGTATTAATCGTGACGTTCTTCAACATCGAAGGAAGGAAGGAAGGAAGATTACATCACTCCAGCCGCCTAGGGCTGATTGGATGAACTGGCAGCATCCAAATAATCAAAACAATCCTCGATTGCTGTTCTTCGTGAAGCATGCATGAGAGTTACGTGTCCAGGGGGCACTATATTATAAACGCTGCCAACCCCTCAATTCAGCGGTAAACCGAAGCGCGTAGGTGATGAACCCACGCTGTGAAGCGAGTCTAAAAGAATTTTGAGCACTGAAGTCGCACGTGGGGTGTCCGGAATTCTAGGCCGGGAGCCTGGATTTTCACTGATCTTGGGTGCACAGATTAAAGGTACCTCCCCCACCCAGCCTCCCCTTGTACTGCTCCGATGCACACAGTAAAGGAAACTGCTTTATAATTACTGCAGCAGGAGAATGGTGCTTCGCCTCGTGAGGGTCCCTGGCGAAGCCGGTTGTTTTGCAGGATGTGCGTTGGCCCTAAGCCAGTCTTCACGTGTGCCAGAGTTCCTGAAAGCAGAGCGGTTGTCCTCTGCTTTACTTGACAAAGCGGGAATTTAAAGTTTTTTGATGCGTACCTGGTGAATATCCGTAATCGGCACTCAACTTATTCTATTATTGCTTGCTGCTCCTTAGGTTAGAGCCTGCCTGGGTGCCTCGGGCGCCTTCCCTCCCTGCTACCTTGCTTGCCTGCCGATCTTCCCCAGCCTCTGGGGAGGGCTTCGTCCCTCATGGTGGGCATGAAGAGCCGCTGCTCCCATCCAGGCTGCAAGACATGGGCCTACTTCAACAATCCAGGGGAGCAGCGGGGCTACTTTTGCAGCGCCCACAAGGAGCCGGGCATGGTTGACGTGGTTAACAAGCTCTGTGAGCACCCCAACTGCAACAAGCACCCCAACTTCAACCACCCGGGCGCCACGCATGCGCAGTTCTGCAGCCAGCACAAGGAGCCCGGCATGGTCAACGTGAACATCAGGGACCGGCAGTGCGCGGTGCAGATGTGCAGCAAGTACCCCAGCTGCAACTTCCCCGGCCAGACAGACGGTCTGTACTGCGGCAAGCACAAGGAGGACGGCATGGTCAACGTGACCAGCCGGCACTGCTCCTTCCCGGGCTGCATCAAGCAGCCCAACTTCCACCACCCGGGCAACACGCGCGGCATGTTCTGCTGCGCGCACAAGGCTGACGGCATGGTCAACGTCGTCAGCAAGCCCTGCCAGAGCCCCGGCTGCACCAAGCAGCCCAGCTTCAACTTCCCGGGCCAGTCGCAGGGCCTGTTCTGCAGCCCCCACAAGCAGCCCGGCATGGTCAACGTGAAGCAGAAGCACTGCGGCGCGGACGGCTGCACCAACCGCCCCAGCTTCAACTTCCCAGGCACCAACTCCGGCATCTTCTGCAGCGCGCACAAGCTGGAGAACATGGTGCGACCCTTGGCCTCTAAGTTCTGCAAAGGACCCTGCGAAGTCGCTGTTGCATGGCTGATCCAGATTCCTCAGATCTTGACTCATTCAGGCCCGGCATCAATTGTCTGTGAGAGTTCAGCTACTGGCAGTCACAGCAAGTGTGGTGTGTGCATCAGGTGGATGTGCGGAACAAGCACTGCGTGCACCCCGAGTGCAACAAGTGCCCGAGCTTCAACTACCCCGACAAGACGCCCGGCGTGTACTGCGGCCTGCACAAGCTCGCCGGCATGGTGGACGTCAAGCACAAGCGCGACCGCTCCAACCTCGGTGGCTCCGGTGCGGCGCCACTCTGCATGCATGCTGTGACATGCAACTGTCGCCTCCTGTCTTTGTGCCGTGTACCCTGTCTATCCCCCTTCATATGAGCTGTGCCTAATAGGCAGATATTGATGCAACGCCCCTGTATAGAGGCTGGATAGCTTAGCCGCTTCAAGTAACGCTGTATCATGAGCAGATGGCGGTGCATGTGTGCAGGGTCCTTGCAGCAGCAGGCGGCTCAGCAGCCGTCGCAGGAGATGCCCATGGACTACAGCGCGCAGGCCGGCGCAGGCAAGCCAGAGGATGTGCAGCAGCTGGGCGCGCAGCAGGGAGGCTTCCAGGGCGCCGAGACCGACATGACTGCGGCGGAGGCCGTGGCCGCTGCGCTGAATATGTCTGCTGACGCCTCTGCGCTCGGCATCCCCACACATGTGGACCACCTCGGCCAGGTTTGTGAAACTGCTCCTGAACATCCTGATTTTCTTGTTGTGTAAGCTTTTGAAACACCCTGTAGCCAGGCCTTGCTTGAAGGCAGGGGACACTGCTAACAGAAGAGCTGGACACTGCTGGCAGGAGGGCTGGTCTTTGAAACTTCCTCTTGTGGTTGCAGCCGGTGGCGGACGGCTATATGGCGGCAGGGCATGACGCCGCCGCGCAGCAGGAGTATGCAATGCACCTGAACCAGGACCAGGCTGCGGCCGCGGCAGGGTACGAGCAGGTCGGCTACGACCAGTCCGGCCTCACGCACGAGCAGATGGCCGTCGCCGCCGCACACGCTGCCTATGGCGGTGGCCAGCCAGCAGGTAGCAGCACTAGTCATCGTTCTGTTATCACAGCCCTACACACAGCATTATGCTACAAATCTCTTGCACTGTGTTCCCTAGAGCGCAATTGAAAGCTTCCTTTGTGAACCTGTTTCTGCTGTGGAATAAGATCATCTGAGTTAGCTTGCTAAAAGTGTTAGAGGTCTAGGGTCACCAAAACAAGTTGCTCAGGGGGGCATTTTGACGTTAGCTCTGTGCTCGTGCAGCGTACGACCAGGCGTCATATGATGCGGCCATGCAAGCCGGAACGTATGACCCGGGCGCGTATGCCCAAGCGCACGAGCATGTCCCGGTGGAGGCGTACGAGCAGGCCGGCGCAGGGGCAATGCCCGACCAGGTGGCGCAGGGCCTCTATGCACAGCCTCACCATGGCGGATACGGGCACGATGCTGCAGTGAACGGGCAGCAGCAACAGCCGGTGCAGCACGGCAGCTACACAGCGCAGGTCACCGGAGACGGGGAGCCGGAAAAGCGGCAGCGCGTGGAGTGAGCATTGTGCAACTTCGCAAAGGATAACGCATGTAACAGTATGTTGCAGACTGGCTGTCAGCACGGTGGTCATGCACGGGATTTGATCACATGACAGGGGTCTCCACACTTACTCTCTTGGCGCTTGTGCATTTTTTATGTCTGGCACTGTGTTTGTTTCAAACCTGAACTGTCTGCACTTCTGAGCTTTTTTGGGAGTCTGCTATACAAACGAGCATATTGAGGATCTCTGAATGCTCAGCGCGCAAGCTATCCAGCCTCAATGCTGGCCATTGTATACTCGAGTAGATGGCATACTATGGCATGCTAGCTAAGGACCAAGCCTCGTTGTACTTTTTCTTCTGTTCTGCACAGAGACAAATCTGAGCTTAGATGGAATGCAAAGCTTGAAGGTTGTAAATTGTTTAGAGGGGCAACATATGGCTAAATTCCATCCTTGCAACACTCCATGTGCTCATGCAGTATATGCTGACCATCACTTCTCATGATGTGACCCATATCTCCAGGCAGACAGATGTGCACTATCCTCCGCAATCGGCCGCTCAGACGGCGGTGAGCGTTGCTGTATGGCATCCATTCCATTATATATGACAGTTACAAGGTCTCTCAGCAGCGCATGCGTTCATTAATCTAAACACACACCCCAGTCACAAGCAGCGCCGGCAGCAGCGAAAGTGTGTCTAACCCCTGCAAAACAGTTCCCACTATCCAGACACAATGACAAAGGAAGGCTTTGATAAGCATAGACACCACACCAGAGAAGGGTGAACCGCTGTGAACCAGATCCTACCACCCTCCCTCTTTGAGATCAGCTAGCCTCTAGCAGCTGGCTAGTGCTCGTGAGCGCAGTCCTCGGAGCAGGAGGCGTCGTGCGAGTGGCCGTGCGCATGCGAGTGCCCATGCGCTTGCGCGTGCGCTTCCTGGGCCTTCTGCACGACGCCGTGGAATGCCTGTGCCAGCTGAATGTTGTTCGGGTCCAGGCGGCAGCCCTGGAAGTATGCCTGCGCCGCATCCTCCCACTGCTCCAGCGCCTCTGCCGCGCTCCCTTCCCTGTAGTACGCCTGCAAACATGGCGGGTGTTCTGCATGAATCAGCATGGATTCACCTGGAGCGTAGAGCTCCTAAGAGGGGTTTATGCGGTGGAGCCCTGAACTGCTGGGCAATATCGTTGGTGACTTGAAAATAGTGCACAAGACCATGCTCTAAAATTGATGGCATGCAATTAGAAAGCACCAACAAGCTTCTCTGCAATCAAGAGGCAAGAATGTTCGCAATTACAGCGCAAAGCAGCAGCGCATCAGGCCGTACTCTCCTTGTGACCTTCACACTCAGCGACCAGCTGTTGCACACAGCGCCCCGGACTCAGATCCCACAAACTCCTCCCATGGAGACACTAAAGGCCTCCTGGTAATTTCGGCTGACCTTGGCGTAGCGCGGGTCGACGGTACGGGCGCGGCGCGCGTCGAGCAGGGCCTCCTGGAACGCCCCAGTACGGAGGGACGCGGCACTGCGGTTGGCCCACAGCGCATGGTCGGACGTGTTGTGTCGCAGAGCTCCCGTGTAGTGCTCCACCGCCGCCGGGAACTGCCCCTTCACGAAGGCCTCGTCGCCCGCGCGCTTCAGCACCTTCGCCTTGTCCAGGTCATACTCCTCCGGCGCTGGCACCTCCACCTTCAGCATAAGCCATGCCTCACACATTTTCATCAACAGAAATACAGAATCATGCACACAGCCAAATCTATGTGACTAGCGGTGGGCGCAAGCATGCTGCTGCATCAACGCAAACAGCAAACGATTTCTTTTGGCATGGCACGCTGCGCTCGGCTGACCAACTGCAGATTATGCAGGAGAACAAAGAAGTTGTGGAGGCAGCAGGCAGCACCTCCTCTTCAGCCTCATCGTGGCTGTGGTCGTGGCCGCAGCAGCCGCCACCGTGCTGGTGCGAGTGCCCCTGCGCGACGGCCGCTGCCTTGAGCAGCAGGGAGTCGGCTGTCCAGTTGCCCCCCTCCGCCGGAGTCGTGCAGGGCAGCAACATCTCCACGATCTCCCTGTGCTGCGCGGCTGCGGCCGCATCAATGGGCCGAGTGGGCGAGTTGTCCTCAGTCGCATCAGGGTTGGCACCTCCCTGGAACAAGCAAGACTCCAGCCATTTGCAAAGACCCTTTGCACAATGCATCACACAATGTACAGGTGAGTCTTTCAATGATTTGTTCAGCGATCGAGGAGGGGCAATGGGCAAGTTCAGGTGTGTCGTGCCTTGAGCAGGATCCCCACTGTGCTCTCGCGGCCTGTCTCTGCCGCAACATGCAGGGGTGTGACGCCACCGGTCGCAGGGAAGTTCACATTTACTCCCATGTCTACCAAACGCTGCAGGAGCTCATCGGCGCCTGCAATTCAGCGATCAACAATCGAGCCCAGCATAGTTCATTTCAGGTACTGCAGCGCGCCCCTGGGACCACACAGCAACGGCGCGTTAATGAATCCGCTAGCTAGTGCTTGCTTTCCCAAGCTTCTCCATGAACTTTGGAGAACTTTACATAGTATGGGAAATTGCAAATAGTCAAGCTGACGGCAATCCCCTGTTGAAAATCCAGAAGATATGCATAGAGGTTGTAGTAGTCAAGAATTTGAACAGACCTGTGGCTGCAGCCAGCAAGCAGGCAGAGACACCATTGCTCCCCCGGCCATTTGGACTGGCACCCTTGTCCAGCAGAAACGAAGCGCACTCCACCTTCTGTGCCCCAACTGCCCAGACCAGGGGTGTCCCGGTGCTGCATGCTGCGTCCACAGACGCTCCATGCTCCAGCAGGAGCTCAGCAATCTTCACATTGCCTGCAGGTTCACACACACGCAACCATTTTTGACGTGCCAATTCTCTTCAATTAACCCCAAAATTCTCGGACAAATCTTTCACCAGGCTGCTTGCCTTGTCTTCTCTGTAGAGCATTCTTGAATCTTCGTTTTGCAACCTTCAAAAAAATTCATACCGCAGTCTGAACACACCATCAAGCAATAAATTTTCAACCAGAGCCAGCATGAACGGGATGCGACTTGCCTGACTGAGCAGCCCAGTGCAAGGGCTGAGGAATCTCTTTGCCGTTCCCCACTGCGCTGGCTCCAGCTTCAAGCAATGCAAGCACTGTGCTGTCATGGCCACGAGCAGCTGCCAAGGCCAGGGGAGTGTCTCCTGCACACCATGGCATCGCTGTGATCAGAGCCCATACTGAAAGACCTTGTTGCCAGCTGCTCCTGTGAAAGTCTTTGTGTTGGAGCTGTGTCTTTTGGTAAGGATAGCATAATGCATCAGCGCAAAGACAAGAGTGACCCACCTGAGTCGTCTGCTGTATCGACTTTGAAGTGCTCCTCTGTTATCAGATAACGTACAAACTCGGTCTGTCCCTCTGATGCAGCGAAGTGCAAAGCGTTGTGCCCATTCGCATCCTTCACGCAACTCAGATCGCTGCCATCGAAGCGTTGGGCGGCTCCCCTGAACCCCTCAGCATCCCCCTCTCGAGCTGCTCTAAGCAAAGCCTCGACAGCCCTTCTGGCCTCCAAGGGATCTCCAGGAGTTGCATCTGGCTTCTCCTCAGGTGATTCAGCCTCCAATTGTGGCCAGACAAGAGCATGATCGAGTTTCTTTAGGCGCACTGTCAGGCTGCTCTTGTCAGCTAGCTTCCAATCTGAGGCCGCCGCATCGACAGTGCTGTAAAGCTGAGTAATTTTCAAAATTACAGTGCCAGGATCGCCCGGTTTGCTACGCACAGACAGAGAATCTCCACCGATCTGGACATCAAAAGAGTCTGCTTCTTCACTTGACACATCTACGGTGACCACAACCTCGTCACCGCTATCCTTGAAGTCCCAAGGAACAGACAGGGCAGGTTTAGTTGACCCTGTCATGCTGGTAGATGATGTATTCGGTGTGGATGCCTCCGAGAATGTGCATGCCAATTTCTAGCAGGAACGCCATCGTGCTGATGCGCCCGGGACCAGCATTTGACTCTGAATTTCAGATAGATGAGCCAGCTCTTGTGCTTGAGAATTTCCAGTCTATAGCTATATGCAGTCTTGTTGCACAAGGAAGTTGGATGAAAGAGAGAAGATCATCTGACTTTTGTGCAAGAATTTATCCAGTGTCATCAAAAGTCTGAACTCTGAAGTCAATTACACCGAGCCCAGCATGTTACGCATAAGCTGGCGTGTGCAAGGAGTCATCCTGCGCTCTAGTGCAGCGTTTTCTTGCAAACATGCCACGGTATGGATGTTTTATATGCACACGTGCGCACCTGAAGATTGTGTCTTTCCAATCTCTTCGGCACATTGTATTGTACATTATCTGATTGCTGATAGCTTAGTCCTTGGACGGATCAGATGTAGAAATGGCATGTGTACGTGAATATTCTACAATTTGTTCACCTTTTATCAGGTGACCACGCTGGTGGTAGCAGAGCACAAAGGAAACAAGCTGGGTGCTGACACTCTCAGCGCAATCAATGCTGCTAAGAGCCTTGGTGGGGACATCTCCATTCTCTTGGCCGGGGAAGGCGTGCAGCCAGCAGCACAGCATGCATCCACAGTCCCGGGAATTAGCAAGGTGAGGGTATGCCCTCAGTTGGTACTTTTCACCTGTCCATCTTGCCGTCAACAAGTTGGGGATCATCAGCAATTGACCTGGTGTGCAGGTCCTGACTGCTGATGATGCGGTGCTGGCAAAGGGCACAGCCGAAAGCCTTGCAGCGCTTCTGGTTGCAGTGCAGAACAGGTGGGTTGTGCTTAGCATGGTTCTTCCGTGTTTTATGGGAACGCTGCAGCAAAGCGCCTCAGCACCTCATCTTGTGGGTAGACTGCACGTCATCAGTCAGCCTCCTCTCACCTGCATGTCATGTCATGCTCAGGCGGAGTTACACGCACATCGCAGCGCCCTCCAGCAGCTTTGGCCGGAACCTGCTGCCGCGGGCGGCCGCGCAGTTAGATGTGCAGCCGGCCAGCGATGTGACAGAGGTGATCGATGCCGACACCTTTGTGCGGCCGATCTACGCCGGGAATGCAGTGCAGACCATCAGGTTCCCTGCAGAAGGGCCTCGCCTCTTCACGGTGAGGTACTTTCATACCCGCATGTTGTAATCCGAGGGAAATATTGCCACACTTTACCTGCAGATCAACAATCTTCCAGGGCAAGGATGATGCTCGTTTCTACTCACACATGTCCCTGTAAGCGCCAGTATCCAATCCTCGGGCATTCAAGTACTGGATCCTCCTGACATGCAGGTGCGCACCAGTGCATTTCCCGCAGAGCCAGCTGAGGCGTCTGCATCCGCCGAGATTGAGGCAGTCACGCAGGAGGAGTTGGCCGCTGCCAAGGTACGGAAGCGCAGGTCACATGCACGTTGCAGTGCACTTCAAATTGCCTGTCTCCTGTGTGATTTCCTCAATAAGAAATTGCCTTATGGGAGGCTTGTCTGAGTATTGATGGGTCCGCAGGAAATGGATACTGGATCTGAATGGGTGGGCCAGGACGTCAGCACTAGTGAGAGGCCTGAGCTTGGGTCTGCAAAGGTGGTGATCTCAGGTACGCCACATGGAATCTATCCCACTGTCTGTGGCCTCCACTGTTCTAGGAAATGCCTGGTGCAATGACGCAGCATGCATTACCTGCCTTGGACAGGTGGACGAGCATTGAAGAGCGCTGAAAACTTCCAGATGCTGTATGACCTTGCGGATCAGTTGGGAGGAGCGGTGGGTGCTTCAAGAGCGGCGGTCGATGCTGGCTTCTGCCCGAACGACATGCAGGTGTGTGAGGGCTTGCCTGTATGCTGTACACTGCTTGCTGATGTCCAACAGATACTTCTAAGTAGCAAAACGATCTGCCCACCACAAGCAGGTTTTCCTTCGAGACTTATATGGCCTGTTCGTTACGCTTCAGCCTGCATACATGCAGGTTGGGCAAACTGGGAAGGTGGTGGCACCTGACCTGTATATCGCTGTGGGCGTGTCCGGTGCAATCCAACATCTTGCTGGCATGAAGGATTCCAAGTGCATTGTTGCCATCAACACCGATCCAGATTGTCCCATCTTTCAGGTGTGCTCCACAGTGAAAGCTGATCACAAATCTTAGATGGCTGGCTACCAGATGATCGTTGTCAATGGGCCTTCCTTGACAGGGACACAAAAGTAGTATCCACACTGCTGTTAATATGTGGCACTCTTTGATTGCAGGTGGCTGACTACGGACTAGTGATGGATCTTTTCGAAGCCATTCCATCCCTCGGCAAAGAGATCCAGAAGCATGCCAAGTGATATTTTAGTCGTCAGAGGCTGGGAAGATGGCCCTGCACATGTGGTGTGCTAGTTCAAATAAAAAGCAGGCCTAGACCAATATCACGTGCACGGCCTGTGGTGCAGTTGCTAGCCTTTACAAATCTTGAGAACATTGATGGTACTCCTCATTAAGAGATAAATCTTATGACGCCATGTGGTGTCGAAAGATACGGGAGAACGAACATGATTGTAACTTATGCACATACATGTTATTATATTGCGATTGCTTTGTATGTTGCAGGTTGCCATGCGTAATTTTCACTTGGCAATCACACATTACCACCCCAACACCAGCACATCAACAGGGGACGATGTCATGCATTCAGGCGACCCACATCCAATGCAAACTGTTCGAGTCATGGATGGCTGTTCCAGAACTCTATGCCCCAAAGAGTTGCCAGATGTTCGTCTCCCTTACGCGCGGAGGGCACATCCTCTAACAGAAACAAGAGCACTAAGCCACTTGCATCTGCATTGCAGCTGACTTAGCCAAGCAGTGCAAAACTTGCCACATTTTACTGCAGGAGCAGCATGACAGGTTGCTTTCAGGCCCAGCCAAATCATGGCCATTGCACGCCTCCACCAGAGATGGTCTCTGCCAGGAGGAACTACTGGAACCTGCTGCAGCGCATCTGCTGTCATGTGGGCGGCAGGCGACTGTCTACTCTGCGATGTCATCATCCTCATCGGGCAGGGGAGCGTTGGCAGCATCCTGCAGCTGCTGCTCGTACTGCGCCTGCTGCACTGTGTCGATGACCACCTCAGGCGGCTTCAGCGCCACCTGCTCCACAAAGTGCAGGTTGGGGTCCCTGCACCCACACACCAAGCCAGTCAATGATCTGCCCCAATGGCGTCAGCAGGTACAAAACAGGAGCATGGCTGCCCAGGAAAACTGCTTGACCAAATACGCACCGCTTGGGGATTTATTAACTGTTGTATTTGAAGGGGTGCAAAGGCGTACCCGACGAGCTTGCGAGCCAGATAGAGAAAGGGCTTCTCGTAGTTGTAGTTGCTCTTTGCTGAGATCTCATGGTACTGCAAGTTCTTCTTCCTGCCCATCAAGATAGCAGTCCAACTTCACTTAGTACAAACTAGGTTTGCAGGAGCAATACCACCACACTCTCCGTTCAGCATTCAGATTGATGATGATCTTTTGCACCATACTGCTCAGAAGAAAGTAACAGTCACCTGTGAAAGGTGACCTGCTTGGGCTTCACTTGGCGGTTCTTGACGTCCACCTTATTCCCACACAGCACGATTGGTATGCCTTCGCAGACCCTGGAATTGCCATTACACATATTTCTTTAATTGCACGAATCTCATGTCAAAAGATATAGTGAAATATATCAATGCACTGCAAGCTCCCTGCTACAACTCACAAGGGAGACAGTCATCACGCTCTTCGTTAGTGACACCAAAAGAAATAGATGAAAGTTCACACCTGCAGAGGTCGCGGTGCCATGTAGGCACATTCTTGTAGGTGAGGCGGGAGGTGACGTCAAACATGATGATGGCGCACTGGCCATGGATGTAGTAGCCATCACGTAGGCCGCCAAACTTCTCCTGGCCGGCGGTGTCCCAGCAGAAGAAGCGGAGCTTGCCTCGGTTTGTGGTGAAGTCCAGCGGGTGCACCTCCACACCAATGGTGGCTGCATGTCAACAGAATAGATACATACCTTTTCAACTTATGCACAGCAGCGTGAACAGGTTATAGATGACTGACAAGAGCAGCTTTTGGACACAGAATGTGCACAGAGGGCTGCCATCAATACAAATTTTTCGTTGATGAGAAGTGCAGCTGCCAATGGCAATATGTATATGCAAGTACGTCCTAAAGCACCTTTTCCATATCCTAAATGCGCGTAAAAGAGAGCATCCTGGCAGGATCGAGGACAAAAACACAAGCTGCACACATCATCTTTGGTAGCAAGAGAGCAGCATCAGGCGGGTCAGTGATCATCTTCCGGTGAAGGTGATGTGCACTTACGTTCGTACTTCTTCTCGAACTCTCCTGTGAGATGGCGCTTTACAAAAGTGGTTTTGCCTGCACCACCAAAGGCGCTCTAGAACTTGGTCTTCTCAAGGTGGAACTTTGAATGCAATAGTGATTGTATAATAAAAATATCAGCAGTAGTTGATACCGAGAGGTGTTCTGCAAGCCAGCCTCAAGTCAGCAAGCTTTTCGATCGGACGTGAGAAAGCAGGCGCACCTGTGCCTCCATCACCCACCAGCACCAATTTAAATGCTGGTACTCCTTCGGGAGTTGTCTGCCCTGGCAGAGCCTGCAGTGATGGAATGCATCAGTGTCAGTTTCCGTGTTTCATGAAAGGAATTTGGCGCTAGCACACCATCACATATACCAAACTCAGGGAGAGCGGCAGCAGGCAGGAAAGACCAAAATAGAAGGAGCGCACCATCTCAAGAATCCAACAAGAGCTGCAAGCAAAGATCTACTCGTAGAAGTGGCTTCTTAGCAGCCTCAGGATTGGTGAAACAATGGGCCTGGAACTTGCTTGAAGCGCGTATCCGACTAGTTTTCGCCGAGAGCGCGGTGATTGCTCTCCTCCTTCACACAACTTCACTGAGTTCATTCAAGAGCGGAGAACACTTGCAACATCCGAAAAAGATTATAAGAATATTTGGATTGTCTTACTGAGCTTACTGTTTCCGCTGTGCTGTTGCGCGGCAGCAGTTGCAACTATTTGAGAACCTGAGAAAGGGGAGGAGTCTGTTTACTTAGATCGGAACACATTACTGTCCAGCAACTTTTTTGTCTCCTCTAATCTGTATGCACTAAGGTCATAAAGATTTTCAAGGTGGCTTCAAAGCCGCCCTGACGACGAGGAAGCTTAGACTGAAACAGTTTACCTTGGAACTTGAAGGGAGGCCCCAACAGGTGATTGCGATGATCCGTGCAATGTTCATTGCTTTTCAGCTAGTATAACCAGTAAAGATTCATCGAAGCTTCTCCAAGGTCTTTGTGGGCCTGGCTGAACAGAAACACCTGCTCCACCCTTCACGCAGGCTGAACAGAAACACCTGCTCCACCCTTCACGCAGGGGCTCCTGAGAAAGCACAGCAATGGGTGAAGCAAGTGTATTGGCTGCCTATGACATGCTGCGGAAGCCAAGCTTCTTCCTCACGAATGTCTTCAGGTCTGAGTCCCTTGTGCCTGCCTCAGAGTCACCCGCTCATATTGCTTAGGGAACACCTGAAGAATGTCCACCTTTTTCTGGGACTGAGAGGTGGACAATCTTGAGATTCGCTGATGAAGTAACTGGCGCAGGCGGCTGCGGGTATTGTGGTTTCAGTATGAGGTCTCTACGGCTCTCAGCATGCTGTCCTGGTGGGAGAAAGTGCTTGTCCATGCAGTGCTCTTCGTCATTCTCTCCCTTGTGGGCTACGGCTCATATAAGCAGGCAATCACATTGCATGCATCCTGCATCAGCCTTCTGGGATCAGGGAACTGACACTTATAGAGAGGTTGATTCGCTGCTGAGGTGCATACTTTGTTCCGTGTCATGGTTTTGAGTCTCATTGGTCGCTTCCGAATACTATGAGATTTTTGTCGGAGAGTTGAGGTTTGTTTGTCAGAAAGCGAGTGGTACATCACCAGACACATGGTGAAATGCTCTTGATTGCATCTTGTAGGACCCAGCGCTGTTCTTTACCTTACAGCTGTGATCGCTGGTTCTGCACTGTTTTGTCAGCCATTGTATTTTCTGGTCCTCGATTGGCTTGGCTATGGACTTGTTTTGGCAGGTTGCACCGTACAAGACAGTCTCCTGCATCAAATGCTTGGGAACATATTGCGTGAAGCTATGAAGATTTACATTGCAGTTCATCTGCGGTGCCTCGAGCTCGCAGTTTGGTTGTTGAGGATGTTCGTGTGCAGCTCTGCAATTCCATGCTACGGGAGTTGTCGTGAGCAGCGTGCACTCGCTTTTGCTGAACCATAAACAACTCAAAAGTTGTTTGTTTTCACATTCTGAGTTGATGAGCCACGCAGGTCGTTTCAGGATAAACTGTGATATATACCTATGGGCAGTGCAGCTGCGGGCTCAATAGTCTCTTTCCAACCAGCCCCGTCCAAATCTCTGCAGCATCTGTGTGCGTGTAACCCATGCATGCAAATGTGTTTTGGAGGTACTGGAGGTTTTTGTCATCTTCTGAATTGGTCAGCTGAGTAGCACTGAGCTGCACATCTGCACTTCCATGTCATGCAGGGCATGCGTCAGCAGTGCTGACTCAGCACCATTTTCTGTCCAAACTCCGCTTTGATCAAGGCCGCCGCTGGCACCAGCCTGCTCAGATCTAAGCTGCCAGTGTACTATGGTAGCTGCTATGACAAGCCTGTGTCATTGAAAGCCTGTTGCATGTTAGAATTGCCATGGACACAGTGACCACGGGATGTGCTCTACTGACATCAGTGGAGCACGTTAGGCTGTAGTGATCCATGCTTGCAGGCAAGGCAACTAAAAAATCCATTTGATACAATCCATGAAGAAGGTTTGGGTGGTCCAAGTGATTTGGGGGGCAAAATAGGTGGGAATAGATCGTCCAATGGTTCAGGAGGAGTGTCACCACTCGCCAGAAAGCATTTCGTACCCAAAAAAATTGGGCTTTTCATGTAGCGCTCACAGAAGTGCCGCTCGTTTGGCCGGGCAGCGTTGAAGGTAAAATCTTCCTTGTCCGAGGATGGGATTGGGTCCAAAAATAGAATGGACGGATGCCGGCGGTGCTTATCTGCGGCAAGAAGAAGAGAATTTGGGAAAAGTCATGCAGTGGTATACTGGCTCTTTCGCGGCATTTGGCTGTAGATGGGTGTTGGTTGTCGGGATCACCACATGTCCTGGTCGAGAATGAGTAGGCTTGTTCATGCACTGAGCCCACAGAAACAACAATAATGCGGCTTATTTACCTTAGTGCAAAGGTTTATGTCGCCCAAAAGGAACATGGTGAAACCTAGGCCGGGTCGCACGCCTCCATCGGGCCTCCTGTTGATTATTGAGACCTAATCTGGGGTGCATGCTGAATGCAGGACCGTTGACAAATCCACATGCAATGGCAACCAAGGAGGCCAGGGTTCTTTCGGCGCTTAAGGCAGCCAAGAGCAGCAGCATCCTTTCCTTGCAGGGCCTGACAAGGTGAGATGGGAATTTCTTGTTGTCTGATGGTCAAAGAATGCATGATCACGATTGCGGACAATTGTGATATACGTGCCTTGCACTGCCTTGTAACTGTGCACTCTACATGATTTTACTCTACACTTCAATGAGCTTGACGTCACCCAATTTGCTGTGTCATGCAGCCGTCTGCAGGTGGTGTGGTACCAGTACGAGGTGGCAACTGTTTGCAGCGTCATGACAGGCCTCGAGAAGCTCTTTGTTCACATTGCACTGCTCTTCACTGGAGCTCTACTGGGGCACCAGCTGTACAAACAATCAACAGCTGTTTGCTTCTACCTCTTTGACTAGATGCGTTGCCTGTCAGAGACAGGATGCATGGATCACATCATGATGTCAAACTGGCTGTCCTAATCTGTCCACTTTGACTGAAGTAGCTTCCTACACACCTGTACAAGTGCCAGATTTGTGGGACATCTTTCTCCTTCTGTTTGCGGCAGATGTGCAGAGACCATGGCATAGTGTGCCTTATTGGCTTCATACGTCCAGTATTGACAGCACAGAGCTGTGTAGCAATAGCCCCCATGCATGCTTGCAGAACTGTGAAGCCTTTTTCTACCTTGCGAATAAGGAACAGCTTGATTTTTGGCAGGTCTGCCCATGCACTGACATGCGCCTGTTCAACCGAGTGTTGGAGGGAATGTGTACATTGAGGAAAGAGAATATGCTAGGAGTGCAGATGTCACAATATCTGTACAGCTAGCTTTGTTGAAATCCTGTCTTGAGAGGCAGATGAGCAGACTACGCTGATGAGCATTGATGTGTCTGAGGGTCCATAGCTTGAGCTGACTGTCGCACTATGTGCACAAAATTGAGTCTAGTGTACAGCAGCATGTTTGGCATTGAGGACATTGCAAAATTGGGTGCTCTGTACATAGAATACTTTCCTCTAGGACGCGAGGAAGTAGGAGATCGGCATGTCGATGATGAAGTTCAGTGTATGCTTTGTGAACAGTAGATTTGAAATATTTGTAGGGCATCACAGGCCGTAAAGATTCATTACGAGTTGCAGTAGCATTTCTATGCAGACACTATGCGATCAAAAGGATACTTGAGGTTGTGTAAGGTTACAAATGTGCAGCTGATATGGAAGATTGCACCATTTGATATACACCAAAGCTGCAGCAAGCAACACGCCTTTCAAGTACATACCCTGCCACGATCAGGAGCCACTGGCATATTTCAGGACTCCCAAGGAACAATTCTGCAAGAGCACAACTGGCATTTTCCTGAGCCTACTTACTATTGCACAGTATTATGTTCTCCAAATGCAGATCACCGCCAACCACTTCTTGCTAGGCAGGGCAAGAAGCATCGAGAAACCAATCCTTCTCACACAGTTTTCAGAGGCTGTTGCCTCACATAATGTACAATCAAAAGCGCCAACAGATGAAGCTTGTTCGAGCTTTGCAGCCGTTAGAGAATATATTGCTGATCCGTCTTACATATATTTGCCCTCAGAATCCAGTGTCCATCGACAGTTCGTGATACAGCGCAGCATTGACAGTGCTCCTCCTGAAGCGGTTCTCATACAGCCACAACGCGCCGGCGCCAGCCACTCCGCTGACCAGGATCTCAAAGAGATTTAAGAAGATGGCAGCCACCACGCTCCCCCTCTTTCCAGCCATGGCGCAGCTGCCCCCTACCCTCACACCGCTTCCCGGCACTGAACTCGCCCCCTGCAAACAGACATGCAACGCTTTCAACACCCTCACAACACCACAAAAGAGGACAACCTAGAGGGTAGAAGAGCTGCACTCGTGACACCGAGCATGTGACACAATGGCCCCAATTTACAAGAAATGAGAGAGGAAGACACGCACAGATACATGCAGAAATGCTGGGGGGCTGTTGGCCAGACACGGCTTGTCAAAACTCTCCAATACGTCACTAGGAAGATGGCCTCTCAGCTGACAGAGTGTCAGTCTCAGTACCTTCAGCATGTAGCCCTCATTGCACGAAACCACGAAGGCCGCATCCTCTCCAGCCCCCACCGTGCATGACGGCTGCCCCTCCTTCTCCTCCCCTGCACAATGCATCCACATATGCACTTTACAAAACTGCTTTCCTAGACACAAAGATCACTTCCGCTACACTCGCCAGCACGCACTCAGCATGTCCAGCCGAGCTGCTTGCAGCCATAGAGCATCTTCTGAAGCGGGCACTTGCGTTCCCTGGCATTTCCCTGGCATTTCAAGCTTTCCTGCAAAGGCTACCCAATCCAACAAGGCTCTCGCTCTGCACCGATGCAGAAGACTCTACACAGAGTGGCAAGTGCAGCAGCGGAGCATTCAATGCACCTGTGCAGGTGCACACGGCGTAGGCCTGCCCATTGGCCACGCTCCTGCCCACGGCCTCATGCAGGCTGCCCGCCTGGCAGCCCGGCTGGAAGCACTTGGCCTGGCCGTCCGAGAAGCGGCGCCAGCCGGCCTTGCACGAAAAGTGTGTTGCATCGCAGGCAGCGGCCGGCGCGCATGCTGAGCCGTCCGCAGGGCACACGCACGGCTTCAGGCAGCTGTGACTGTCCGTTTCCTCCCACAAATCCTGAACAGCAACGCGGAGCACAGCGTCATGGCACCGAAGCCGAGGATCTACTGGAAGACATGCCTGACGACGCACAGGCATTAAAGCTCCAGTCCTCATTGTGCTGCTGTTCTGCAATCTCCTGGCTGTGGCTCAATATGGCGCAATTCCCCTTGGGCAATCAAAATATGTGAGGCTGCTCTCCCATGGCGTGTGTCTACTATTGCACATACAATGGCTGCATGTTGCACATGTATAGAGATTGCCCAGAGCCTACCTTTTTGCACTTGTCGAGCACGCAAGCGTTGGCGGTGCCCTGCCTTCGCCACAGGGCGCTCTCACAGGTGAAGTCGGCGCACTCATTCTCCGAGTACGCGCAGTTGCCGGCTGCATCGCAGCGGCACTCGTGCCAGCATGTGCCGTGCGCCTCCGGTCTGCGCCAGCAAACCGGACAACTCAGGACCAACACATAGATGTGTGCCACACAACAAAACCTATCAAGAAAATCTCCTGATTGAGTACCGTACAATGTGAATTTCAGAGAGCGACAAAGTGTGGGATGAGCAACACGCACAGCAACAGAGCAAAAATTCTGTTGCTCATGCCCGCCATGACCTGTTCCAGAGAAGTCTACTTACGAAGCCCTCATAGAGCTCATCCATGGAAGAGTTTGCTGTAGCTGAGTATAGGAATGCGGTAAGGGCGCAGACTCACATGAGGGTGGGTTTTCTGGACCCTGGTGAGCAGGAGCCGCCGCGCGCATAGACGGAGCAGTCTCCTCCGGTCCAGTTGTCGAGACAGTGGCACACAGCGTCGTCGCTGCATGTGCCGTGGCCGGTGCAGTTGTTCAGGCAGCGCCCCTCCTTGACGGTGGTCAGGTTGTAGGCCAGCTTGTAGATGCGCATGGGGTTGTAGATTGCTGCCCGCCACACACCCTGCACGCATGCATGCATCATCACTCTACTTCCCAGAAAGTGCCTGACGGGGTCCCTGATGGAAAGTGATGCAGATGGGACACATTTGCAAAGTTTGGCAGTTGGTCTAGTGGCTCTTCTTGTATGTGAAACCCAAAATGTAGAAAAAAATGGGTACGAGGAAGACGGGCTTACTTGCTTCAGCTGTGAGGGGCACAGGTCGATCTCGTAAGTGGTGTTCTGCAGCTGCATGACCTGCTTGAAGGTGTAGTTGGCGGTGTGAGGCTCGCTGTGCAAGTCACCCTGCAGCATGCAGAGTCCAAGATTGTGAGGCTGTCACCGCTTCCATGATCTGCACAAATAGCACGCCTGGGGGCAAGTTGTGCTCGGGCAAGCCCCAGTCTAATTCACACCAAACTGGCATGCATGGGTAGGCAGGTGGAGCGCGAGACATGCCTTGAGCAGCAGCAGCTCTGGCCGGGCAGCGGCCCACTCGCCGTAGCCGTCGCTGGAAAAGGACGCGCGGACGCGAACCTCCACGCTGTGCGTCAGCATGGCGGGGCTGATTTCAGGAAGCTGGAAGAAGTCGTACTCAAAATTGGACTCGGGCTTGATCACCGGCACGCCATACTGCAGGTGCTCTGCCTCGTTTGAGCAGTCCTCCCCAAAAAAGCCCTGCGCATATCGTGGCGATGCCTCTCAGTCATGCTCGAGGGACACCGGCCCTGTCAGCACAGGGGCACGACCGAGCAAGTCAAGGTGCATGCAGAGATGATACTGCTGCACGCAAGCGGGCCATTGAATTGCAGTCATGCTGTGAAGGATAAGTGCTTGCAGGCTACATGAGCAGAGGTGCCTGCCTTGAAGCAGTCGCAGGAGCGGGTTCCGTTGGCTGCGGAGACGCAGGTGCCGCGGTTGCTGCAGTTCATTGGGCAGTTGTACTTGGAGATGGACAGCGTGTAATTGCATGTGTGCGCATCATCTCCGTTCACTCCCACAAACCAGCGCCCTGCACCGGCAAGCCACACTTCTCATCTTCTGCAGCACTAGCCTGCCAAGCATGTACAGTACTACAATGAGGATAAGGGTGAGAGCATCAGATGGCAGCCACATAACGTTCTGTTTGTAAAAGAGTAAGCTGAAGGGGCACCTGTCTGCCAGGCCTCTTTGGTGGCATCCAGGCGTATCTCCAGCTCATCGTCCTCCGCCCCGAAATAGTCCCAGTCCGGCCGGAAATCCCACTCGCCATACCGCCACCCTGGCGGCTTCCCAAACTTGGCGAATAGCCCGAAGAACCCCTCTTCAGCACCTGCAAGTGTCACGCCATTTTGAAGGTGGTACATAAACCGGCATCCTGATCACAAGCTCTGAGAGCAACAGCATGATTTGCTGCAAAGTAATGTATTGCACGTTCCGTGGTGTCTCGAAAGACTGCCCACTGCGAGGAAAAGTAAATGTAACAAGGTCGTGAAGATGTAAGGAACCAGGGGGAGGGAGACGCACATGCATCATCAGGACCACCAGCTTCCGTGGCCACATTGATGACAATTTGGTAGTCGTCCGGGGTGATGTCAAAGCCGTAGAAGGACCATGCCTTCGGTGCCAGCTCCTCATGCTCCTTGATATAAGGCTTGGCCAGGGACAGTTCTGCGGCAGTGACACTGTCCGTCTTCGCTGAGCAGTCCTCAAAACCCAGCACTGCAGGGCCCAGACATCCCGGTCAGAACAGTTTATACCTTGCGAATTCCTCCTATATGCATCACAGGCCACCCTTAATCTCTTTCATTTTGTCCAGGATTACCCACAGTATGCGATGAGAATCTGCTGCCATGGACACCCACGATATGCAATAATAACCTGCTGCCAGGAAGTAAAAAGTGCAGGAGCCTCACATGGATACACGTCCTCGATTGGCTTGTTGTAGGGCGGCTTGCACGCGCAGGTGCCGTCGCTCAAGCACTGACTGTAGCGCTGCTCGGAAGCTGGGCCGTTCAGCGGGGAGCTGCACAGAAGCTGCTCGCCTTCTTTGTTGAAATCGGCTGGGCACTGCGAGAGTGTCGCCCGCAGGGAATATGTCAAATTCGCCTCCCCATATGCCTTGACACACAGGTACACACCTGGCCACACACCACATCAGCTGAGGATCCAAGTTTGGAAGAGGACATCACTGTGGCCATGGGAGACTTCCTGATTGCGAAATGCTAAAAAATATCTTACCTTGGTGATCAAAGGTTGCAGAGATATCGCTCTTTTTGACCTTCTTCACGACGCTCTCATGGCTGCTGCTGGAGGTCTCTCTGAAGTCGTATCCAAATGTGGCAGTATCAAGCTGCTTGGCCTGCGATTGCATTGGCAGCAGAGTGGATATGCAAAGCCTCAGGCTGGCCTTCCTAGTGAATTCAATGATGTCACTTGCACAAATTGTTGACTTTGCTCAATGCAGTGTACAAGCAGCGTGGACAAATACACGTACATTTGTTCCGCCATAGAACATGCCATACAGATCAGGATCTCCCGCTTCATCCTCTGATAGCCTGTTCAGCTGGACCGTGAGGTAGTTCCACAAGGTCTCATGTGAGCTGCCAACCACACCAGGCAATCAGATTGGTCAAAGAACAGAGGAGCGGTAAATATCATTCATTTTTTTAAATGCTTGGGAAGCACAAGCTCTGAATCCAGAAAAAGATGCATGCAATAGAGCAGAGGAAGCCAAGTCTTACTTTGTTCCAAATGGCACGGAGAAGCAAATCCACTCGTCCGGGTGCAAGGTATCACAACCGCTACGCTTGCAGGCTTGCGTCATATCGCTCCCATCCGCTGCAGCACCAAAGATGCCTGTACAGGAAAGAACGGTGATTAGACTGTGCTTGCTAATGATCTGCTCACTGAACAGAAGGCAATCTCTGCCGGCCCCTGGGGTCTATAGATTGAAGACGTACGCATGTCACAAGTAGTTCCTCCGTATCCGAATGTCCCTTCTTGTGGGAGAGGGTTGTTGCAAGTACATGTGCTGCTGCCTTCCTTCTTGTACCCACGCCCATTACAATCCGTTCCTGCGCACCAGACGTCGTGACGTACTAGTCTATATCACACCAAACATATTGAGCTGCTCATGAAGACTCCTTCATCCGTCCAAGATGCAAGACAGAAAGTACTAGTCTACAAAGTAGGAATATAGTACCCGAGTCTTGAGCAGCGCAGAGTGTGAGATACATGATCAGAAGGCCGAGCGATGTGTTGAGCCCGGCATTCTTGCCAATTCTCTGCATATTTCTTCTCGTTGCAAGGAAGTCAAGTCATTTGATGGGACAATCCTTGACCACCTTCAAGCCTTGAATATTCACATAACTCCTCATAAAGCCAGGCACGATCGTCTGGTGGATAGTTCAAGTGATCAGAATGGAATGAAGGCAACACTGCCCTTTTGCCCGATGCTTCGATGAAAGCGTAGCGCAAGACAATCCTACGACGAAAGCATCTAGATACAAAAACGCCCCCTTCATCGAGGGGTCTGAACAGGTGGAGGGCTTTGGGCAGAGGGCTCGGGACCACAACTGCCTGAGTGGGACCAAGAACCGAAAGGTCCCGCCCTAGACCTCTCCTTTTGGCACATCACTTCAATCCTGTTTATTCCCCGCAGTGCTCGAGGTGCTTGGTCCATCCCGTCGTGCTGTTTTGCTGTTTTGCTGAAAAAGTCGTTGCAAAGGCACGTGACACCACAGGCCTTGGACTGTGTCTTTGGAGCTGTGTGAGAGCAGCCGCGATGCTTTTCTAGTAGGTTGAAATTGAACAGGCAGAGATGCACGAGTCTGATGGAGGTCGGCGGACTTGAGCACAACTGTTTCAGAAATACAGCTGTTGTGAGGCTCACAGCTTCCAGTAGCCCCCCTCCCACAGAATTCTGCAGAGACCTGTTATCAAAGGTACGGCAGATAAATCCTTTTTTAATTCTTGCTGCCCTTCCGCGCAGAGCCTCCAGTTTCCAGACGCGGCTAATGCTCAACCGTTCACAGGGCATATACTTTTTATACTCTTGGAAATAGAGCCAGCTGCTCTGCAAGCTGTTGTTTTCTGTTTCCATACTTGCAGACCACATCTGATAATGCATGAAGGATTCTGCGTGACGAGTCTCCTGTGTGGAATCGTAGGGCAAATTCCCCAGCCTCTGAGCAAATCGGGGGCTACCCGATGAATCCGGCAGATTTTGAGGGACTGTTTTGGTACAAGCTCTTCATCCCATGCTTCACGTGGGGCAGCATCCTGGGGACCTTTTTGGGTCCTCTGCTCTTCCCAACACAGTGGTTTCTGTTCGTGGCAGCCTTTATGATCGTCTTCGTCCTTGTGTCCCTATCCCAGGTAAGCTAGGACCAAACACTTTCACACATAATTAGATTGACACCAAATGCGCTGATGCTGTGCCTGATGGATGGATGCAGTTCCTGACTTTATAATTCAGTCACTGCCTTGCCACACCATCTTGACGCTTCAGCCTGTGTGTCTGCAGCTGAGTCGCATGGTGGGCATGATCAGCCGGATTCAGCAGACAATCTCACGCAGCGTGCCGTTGACCAGCGCAGCTGTCGAGGAAGTGCAGCACAGAAGCCGCTGCTGGAGTCGTGACAGCGGGCTCAAGGCTGGCACTCTGGAAAATGATGGGGATGTGGCAGATGAGGCAGGGCAGCACATTGTACTGGATGTGGGCAGGCCATTCATGCATGCCTTCATTATTCCAAATTACAAGGTACTCCCAAGACTCCGTTCATGCGTGAGAATCTGACAGTTTTTAATGGTATCAAAATGTTGGCCAACGTCTTGCCAATGTCCTTGTCTGCCCCTGTGCAGGAGCCCATGTCTCTTCTCAAGAGTACACTGCAGGCGTTGGCAGACCACAAGACAGCTGCAGAGCGCTATCTGGTTGTGCTTGCAATGGAGGCAACCGAGGATGGGCATGAGGCCAAGGCGATGAAGCTGGCAGAGGATTTCAAGGGCAGGCAAGTGTCCCATGTATTCTCAAACAGGCGTTCTTGTTTTGCAGTGCAGCACTCTCTTGAAGGTGCCTCGTGCGAGCCTTATGTATGATGCATCTGAGCATGCCATATTTGTGGGGGCAGGTTCAAGCACATTATGTGGACAAGCCACAAACAGCAGCCGGGGGAGATGAGGGGAAAGGCGTCAAATGTGGACTGGGCAGCTCGTGGTGCACTCCTGGAGTTCCGCCTCATGGGTGCGATTTATCTCCCTTTGCTCTGATCAAAGTGTCGTGCCGCTACGATGTATGGGCAGAGTTGTTACTCTCCATAGCGGTCTAGTTTGTTGAGAGCCCTTAGGAGATCAGAATGAATGACACTGATCATGCGCCATGACGCTTATGATGACTTCTTTGCACCCTATCTGTGATGGTGTTGGAGTTGTAGCCCTGCGATGATCTGAGGTGTGTCCATCTGGCGACCAGGTCTGGACACCAAGCGGATCATGGTGACCAACATGGACGCCGATGCGCAAGTGCCCGCACTCTATGTAGAAGAGGTTGACAGGGCTGCAGCAGCTGCAGAGGACCCGCACCTGCTGGTGAGCGCCACTCTGGCCACTGCGCCTAAGGCCACAGCGCAAGAGCCCACCATTCTATGTCACATCAGACTTACAGATCGGGGTTCTGTCCCCGGTCGCTGGGCGGGTTCTGAAGTGCAAGGGAAGTAAGGGCTTGTTTAATTGGTGCAGGTGTACGCTGCCCCCATCCTCTTTGAGCGCAATGCCTACGATGTGCCCGTCTTCACCCGCGTGCACGACTTCATGTGGTCAGGTGCGCCTCCCTTCAGACATTTTCCTGCACGGGCACTTGTCTTTGGGACTGTTATTACTGGCAGGAATGGGAGAGCAAGCACATGTCAACTATTTAGCCATGTTCTGTGGCAGTCACCGCGTGCAGCTAACGGGCCTGCCTTGTGCTGTGCAGCCATGGCGATGCAGAACCTGGCCAGCCCCATGCAGCTGGGCTTCCCGATCTCCAACTACACCATGTCTCTGTCGCTGCTGGAGCACATCGAGTTCTGGGACACCAACGAGGACGCCATTGGGGAGGACTTCCACATGTTTGTCAAGGCGTACTTCAAGACGCAGGGACAGGTGGGGGCCACACCAACCTGCATGAAACACCCCCTGACAGCATGCTACTGCTGCATCACACACGGTTGCCCCTGCAGATATGTGGACGAAATCTTTTTCCGGTGCTCATTCCCTCAAACGGCAGTGATGCTAGACCTGCCTCCTGTCAATTCTGGACTTGGCAGGGGTGTTGCTGGCCATGACGTGTAGAGCAACAGGGACAGTGAGAGGCGCTCAGAAATAGCGCTGATGCGTGTGTGCTGACGTGTGCAGGTGCGGCTGGTGGCCATCCCATCCCCGATCAACATGCTCAACCTGCAGGCGGCGGGATGGTGGCCGACGATCTGGGCGCGCATGGTTCAGGCGGAGCGCCACGCGCGCGGCTGCGCCGACTTTGCCTACTGCCTCAAGCACGCGCGCAGCATGCCCAAGTTCTCATGGACCACAGTCGCCCTCTGCCTCAAGGTGCGCAGGCTCCTCCTCCGCACCTGATTTTGCTCCTGGGATGGCAGTACCCACCTTGCCGCTATAATTGCCTGCCGTGTTGGTGTTCAAAATTGATGGGAACATCCTTTTCTGCCTGACAAGGTGAAAGCTTCTCTGCTTTGGATACCGGCATGTTTGAGTTTGCAGTAAATGTGAAAGCTGGGATCCGGGATTGGAGTGCAAGCTTGTTGAAGAAGATTCTGCTTTTTGTGTAGGTGCTGGAAGCGCAGATGCTGCCGGCTACCGCACCCTTCTACATGGGAATGGCTGCTGGTTGGGCTGTGTTTGTCAGTGGGTTCATCAATCACACAGGTGCTGCGCCCTCTTCTAAGCTCATCAAAAGTTACCCATCCCTAGGCGTTCGGCGTGCTGCATCCTGACTCCCCATCAAGTAGACTAGACCTTATGGTCTATGACCACCATGTCCAATGCCAAGGTTCTTTGGGCCTCTTACCAGCTCTCAACACCCCCGTTGGTCACCATGATATGGGTCTATGAGGTGTTGAGATCTGGAATGATGCCAGTCCAAAGCCAACACGCCTGTGTATGGCATTGGTCAGCATGGAGGCACACCCTCAGATGCACTTGCTCATGTTTGTGCAGGGCTGTAGGCTTTCAGGCTAGTAATGATTGTTGTGTCTTGATGCAGCTATCAGCCTTATGGCTCTGAAGTTCATTGCGGTGTTCGGGATCATGGGAATTCCCATTTTCTTCTCGCTAGCCACCTGCAATGAGGTAACCGCCGGTCTCTTTCTTGTGAATGGCATTGTGTGCCTCAGCTCCTTGGAAGGACTTCATTGCTTACCCAGATGCTCCAAAAATTTGAATTGGCAATATCGACTGCAGGTTGTGCGAAGATACGTGAGGCCGCGGCTGTACAATACAAGAAATGTCCCATTGTGGAGGTGAGCAATAGCAAACCTCGAATTTCCATGATGGGTCATCATCGTGACCAGATACATGTCCTAGGGAAGCCACCTCGCATGTTTGCTGCAGGTCCATCGAGTACGTTGCGCTGCTGGTGGATGTGTGGCTGTTCATGGTGCTGCCGACTGTGTTTGCGCTCACCAAGTCGGTGCTGCCCATCAGCCAGGGTGCGACTGCCGACCAACCCACTCCCACAGTCACAGTAGACATGTCCAGGGATCCTGTCAATGCCATTACAGGGATGTCATGCAGCACAGGGAGGTTGTTGTCGGCGTACTACTGTCAGCTTTTGTGTTTTCTGGGTCATCAGTGACCAGATGACCTCTAGGTGGGGGCACCCTGTTACAGCATGCATAGCATGAATGTGTGAAGAAAACTGGGCTGGCTCCAGCAGAGGGGCACTACAAAGAACTAACTTGTGGGTGGACATGTGTGCGCAGGTGAGTATGTGGTGGCGGAGAAGCTGGTGACGGAGGATGAGGAGAAGGGTCTGGCTTTGGGGCCGCTCTCCAGCGGGTCTCTGCACTCCATGGGCACGCATGACTCCAGCTCCAGCCTCGACTGGGCCCTGGACAACGCTGGCAAGGTGATACTCCCCTCTGCTTCACCACAGCGCATGCATTCATGATCCATTAGATGCATCAGTTTTTCCTGGAAGTGGGTCTCCTCTGCTACGCGTCCTACAGAGGCTATCTAAAGTGCATGCTGGCAATCTTAAATTGTCACTCGGGATTGGATCAAGAGCCTCTGGTGCTGACGAGTTTGTTGTCCTTGATACAGGAGCAGGGGGCGGGGGATGTGACGAGTGACCTGGGCAAAGCGGCAGCCGAGAGGCAACGCCAGGGGCTGGACTGGAGGGAGGCCTCAACCCCCCAGGCCGTGGACGCGCGCGCCTGCCAGCCGCTGCCGCAGGTGCGTGCGGCAATTGCTCGAAACCTTGCCAGGGATGGCTGACAAAACTTGAATCTCTCAATGGCGCTGCTCCTTCAACGCACTGCCATTGAGAGTGCAGTGCCACGACTTGACAGATTGATGTCACCGAGGTCGAGTTCAAGCAAGTTGAATGTCTACTTCGCAGCTACAGGCGGTTGCTGTATGCGGGCCTGCTAAAGTGCGGGCGTATGGTGTGCAGGTGCTGAATGGGTCGGATTCGCCGATAGCGAGCGGCAAGTGGGGGCCGCCTCCGCCGCAGCTGAGCAACGGCGGCGCGCCGATCCGGTCGCGCACATGCGTATCCCGGGGCGCGCCGGCCGTTGCGCAGAATGCGCCGCTGACGGCCTCTGCCGACCTGAAGCAATCGCCGTCGCGGGATTCCACGCCGCGCAAAGCCGACCGGCCAGAGATCTACAAGTTCTTCTCCGGCTGGGTCTCCCCAGTGCTCACCAGCTTCAGATGATGATGACTGGGTGGCTAAGCACAGCCCACAGAGACTCTGTGGACCTGCTGCTCGAGGTGGCCGTGATGCAGAGCGTGCAACAATGTAGCTCGTTCCACTTGATTCTGGTAGGACAGTGTCCGTTGTAGTGCAGTAGGGATACTGTCCAACCACTGACGCACTGGCAAGACATCTGCAGAAGCTGACCGGGCCGGGCATGTGTGTGCCTGTGCCGATCAGCTTCTAAAGGACACATCTGTCATCTTAGTGCTGCTCTTGAGACTGTGCTGTTGTCGTCTATGGAGGAGTATGTCTGCGTCTGGACGCTGCGCAAGGGAGTGCTGGGGGCGGTGGTGGAACGCTGGTGTGCAAGCATTGCTTGCAATTGCTTAACAGCTAGGGCAGATGGCGTCTACTGTGCACCCCATTGCCATTCAGTTTGATAGAATGAGAAATAAACTAAACTGGGATATCTGTACGTGATCATCGGTGTCTGCGACATGCCCACGAGGATTTCTGCAGCCCTCGTATTCTTACTGTCCATCATTCTGGGCACTGCAGGCGGACAGACTGGGAAACTCCACCTCTCTCCATAAGGGCTTGTTGCGATTTTGTGTGCTGGTTGAAATGGGGAACTCTGTTCGAAGCTTGTTCCATTTGCACTGAACAAAGGCCGGAGGTGCGAGGGTTTTAGATATGCTAGGTGACTTTTCTGTTTTGCTCTTGGCGGTCATTGATTGCTTTCATAATGATGATCATGTCATTTGCATGGAAATATTGCAGTGCATCTTTCTTTGTGGCAAGCGCCTTGATGGTATGCTTAAGATCTGTGGTCTCTCAATTATTTGGGAATTTATTGTCTAGTCCGACTGATGTGAGTCACCATGATTGATAAGGAAGCGTGATGCTTGAACTCCACCGTGGTGAATCACCACTGGTGATCGATCACCATGACCCCTTAAATAAAATTTGACTGATAAATTATCAGTGATAATCACTGATTATGGCATCATGGCATGTGTGATCATGACGCAAAACAGCTGCATCTGCAGCGGATCAGCTACATCCCATGGGTCATATGTCGATGCTGCATCGGTGCTATCAGTTTCTACACCGGCACTTAGCACTTCAAGACTTGAATTCAATGGTTGATAGTGGAAGTTCAAGTAGTTATGGCAAATGCTCCAGGTCTTTCCAGCCCGGGCCTGGCCAGCTGGAGCAGCCGCCACGGCTGCAGCATGCAGATTAGAGTTGAAATGAATTCAAGCGTGAGAATGAAATCATGCTTTTGCCACTTCAATGTATTTGCAGGCATCCAGAATTTTTGGGCCAGAAATGTGATATTCAATGCGCCTCCTCATGCAAGGACCAAGAGGCTCTGTCATCTGTAGTCATCTCAGTCACTATGCAGGTGAGGCTTACCTGGTAAGCGCAATCCCAAAGGTTCGCTCCCCAATTGAGTCCAATCAGCGTCCATAGTTGCAAATCCTTTGGTGGATTGTACTTCTTCTGAGTTGTATAGGTGTTTGGTAAAGCTGTGGCGTTGGTTTTGAAACTGTAAATTGTAAGGGTCACCCTTGTTCATTTGCAACCCAAAAAGTTTTCGTGCTGAGATGCGCTATATAATCTTGTGATGGTCCCCACATAATCTCAATGCAATAATTTATCGCTGTTGCAGCGTGCAGTCTCTCTGCTTTGGAAGTGCTGAGTATCCTCGACAAAGAAGACGAATAGAAAGTTTCTAAGCAGCCACCTGGCTTGCACATCTTCTTTACGTCTTCCTTGACGATTGGAAGGCCGAAGTAATGGCGCCAGCCGCGAGATCTTCTTCTGGACTGGCGCCGGATGCGAGCCCTGAGGCAAAGATAAAACACCTGGAACATCAGCTGTCAGTGCTCACGGCCGAACGCAACGATCTAGCAGCGGATGTAGAGAGCCTATGCATGCAGTCATCTGGCGACATCTTCAGTGCCTCCAGCGTACTCAGCGAGCGAATATGCAACATGCAGAAGGAGACCAACAAGCTCAGAGCCCAGGTACAGCCCTTTTCTGAAGCAATGCCAAGCTGTTGAGAAGTAAATGTATACCAATAAAAGATCTGAATTGTCATTTTCCCTCCCTGCTCGTAGTATGAAAAGGCCCTGTTTGGATGTTGCCATCCACTCAAGAAAATCTTTCCAAAGAGTCAGATTTGGCAGGGTAGATAAGATCCGTTACCAAAGCCATGTATGATTGTGTAGCTTCTTTGTCTTCAGATCCACGACAATCACGTGACTTCTGATCTTTGTGCATGCGCAAGCTCGAGGCAGTCAATGCAGAGCGCGATGGGCTGTATGAAGACCTCATCAACCACCGCACCTCCAAACGTACAGTTGACAAGCAGTGGCGCATTGAGCGGGAGAAGTCTGAGAGGCTGGAGAGCGAGCTGGCATTCTACCAGAGCCACAGCGCACGCACACTCTCAGACCGTGACAAGGTGCTGCGCAGCAACCTGAGAGCATTTTAGCTGTTTGCCCTCTGCTTGTAATTGTACATACTTCACTTGCAAGGAATGGAAAGGATGATGAAAGTGTATTCCTGCTATCAAACCTCAATAAGTTGCACCTGTAGCGCCTGGAGCATGGCATGATTACCCTGTGTTAACTGTGGTGTAATCTATACGTTTGATAATTGAAAATCAGGTCCTGATGTGAGGAATGTTTGCGCAGGCTGTATGGGAGGCAGAGGAGCTCAAAGCACAGCTGCTGGAGACGGAGAGTCGGCTGTCAGAGCTGGAGGCGCACGCAGAGAAGGAGGCAACGCAGCGCGCGGAAGCCGAGCGGCTGCTGGCGTCCGAGAGGAAGCTGACTGCGCAGCTGCGGGTGAGCTTCCTTCTTCATGAGTGCCTTTCCTACACTGCCTCTCAGACCTGCAGAGCCTTAGACTTAGCAGCATACCTGGTGCATTTGACACACCTGGAGGAATTGACAGGAAGTCTCATCATCAATGGGGCCCTATACTGTGTAGTTGGACCTTTAAATGTTATAAATCTGAGCAGCGGTCACATTTGGCTTACAGGTGAAGGCAGCGGAGGCTGTACTGCTGCCGGGCGTGCGCCACGAGCTCTCAGATGCGCGAGAGCGCATCTCACAGCTGGAGCAGCAGAGAGATGAGCTGCAGGTGAGATCAACTGACAATTGAATTTCTCATGGAAGGGTGGCTTGTACTGAGTGGTGGCTCTCAACTTTTGCTCTTCACTGGCACAGCATAACACTCTGGAAGTAGTGCAGCCACCGCTATTTGATGTTTTCGCCTGTATCAACGCCCTTACCGGATTGTGTCTAATATCCCAGACGCTTGTGGCCGGCATGCAGATACATTTTTCGAGGGTTGTAAGCCTGTCCTGTCAACAAGCACAGTTGTGCGTCTGTCATCCTGCATTGTATCAGAAATGTGTGCGCTGCTGGGCAGGCAGCCTTGACGGCCACGCAAGCATTGCTAGAGGGGGAGCAGTCGGCGCACAGGGCGACACAAGAGACGCTGGAGTCGGTGCGGCAGGACATGGCCGCAGCTGAGGCGACCGCTGAGGAGGTCACCGAGCGCTTGAACGCCGACGTGGCCAAATTAGAGGTGCGCGCCCCGTCCTGACCCTTCCCAAACCCCTCTTGATCTGCATTTCTGCTGAGAACAGGGTCAGCACCGATTGGCAGTGCTCAATTCCCACATGAGGCTTCATCGGATGGTGGTGTCACTGAAAGGCACCCCATTCTTTTAGGGCGTTGCTGTGCAGCTCAACCGTGTGAAGCAAAGCAAGCATCTTGGGTGGGAGGAGGATATCCGGTTCTCAGTGTGACGTGCTCAGTAATTTGAGTTGCATGCTTCAATGCAACGAGCAATTAGGATTAGCAATATCTTGCTGATCAACAGAAGCTGCTTCTGGTGTGGCGCAGGCTGAGCTGGCGAGGGTGCAGAGCGAGAGGGACGAGCTGGAGACGCGGGCGGATGATGCCGAAGGGGGGCTGGCGGCTGCGCAGGCCGAGATGGAGACGGTGCAGAAGCGGCTGGAGGCCGAACTCGCGCAGCTGCAGCAGTCCAGCCGGAGCCAGCGCGAGGAGACTGCCGCCGCACACGACGCCGAGGTGAGGAGTCCTGTGGTTGTCCTGTCCGGCTGACCACAGGGAATACCTGTGGCCTGTGGCTGCATTGAAGCAGGCTGCCTGAGTGAGTCATAGCATTTTGTCATGGAATTGAGCCACTGCTGATGGGGGAATGACCAGTGCGTGCTTGGCGCCTTGTCTTTGACTCCCAGATGCCTTTGGCTTCACAACATGTCAGCTGGAGTCAAGGAAATTCAGCGCTGCAAGGATCAGTGCAGAGCTAGAGTGTCTGAGGGCAGGTTTGTGGCACAGGTAACTGCACTACGCGCGGACGTGGAGAGGCTGACTAAGGATTACGAGACGACCCGGGTGGAAAGAGACAAGGTGGGCACTCCTCCTTGACGTCCTGCTTCCACATACACTTATGCCTGAGGAATTTCCGGACTTGTATCATGGCAGCTTGCATCGAAGCATCTGGTGCCCTCTTTCATTGTGCACGGATCCCTCCTGCCTTTCAAAGGTCTGAACAAACAGGGTGCAGAAAGCCTAACATGCGCATGTGAAAGATTGCATACAGAGACTGTCAATGCCAGCTCCATTGTTTGTGATGGTGCACGCGTGTTGGTGCAGGCTTCAGAGGAGAAAGCGTCGGCGCTGATGCGAATATCGGCGGCCGAGGAGACGGCAACGCAGGCCTTTGAGGAGGTGGGCAACATGCGCGACGAGATCGCCGACCTGCGTGAACGCCTGCAGAAGGTGCAGCCTCTTCTTTTGCTGCTCCCATATCTGACTCGAAGGAATCACATGCAGATATTTGGTGTGCCACTGTGACTGGGGTCCCTCTTAAAGATTCAGAGAAGGGCCCGGCTTTGACAGCAGCTTCTGTCAGGCAGCTGTGGTGGCAGAGTGAATGATGAATGTCAGTGGTGAGGTCTGCCGTGCCCTGGCTCTAAAGGTGCCTCCAGGCATGACCGGCGTGCGTGCAGATTGCCCAGTAGGAGCATGCAGCGGAAATTGTCTCCCAGGGCTTGCTGTGTGTGCTGGTTGTTCAAGCCTGTTGCACAGTGCAGCATCTCAGCACAGAGTGTCTCCATGGGAAAGGCTCTTCCTTGGGGCAATGCTGCTTCAATGACCCACAGAAGAGCACTGGAAGCCAACTGTTTGTGTGCGCTGGGGGTGCGGCAGGCGACGCAGGAGAAGGTAGCGGCGCTGATGCAGGCAGCTGAGGCCAAGGACGGCCGCCGCGCAGCCGCCCGTTCCGCCAAATCTGGCGCAGCCGCCACCAGCCCGGCCGGCTCATCCTGGCGGGTGCGCCCCTTGGGCAGGCATCTGAAATCTACTTTTCAGAATTTCATGGTTCACGGCAGGCCACAAAGTTTTCATCGTTGGAGAGGACAGAAATAGAGGTGGAAGAATTATTGAAAGGGGAAGGAAGGCTGAGACTGCTGTTTTCCAAAGAGAGCATGCGGACTGTCAGATGCTTCTTTTGGAAGGAATGTGGATTCTGTCGTCCAGCAGCGCATGCATGTGCTGTTGGAGCCTTTCATCAGGGTTGCTCTCTGGGGTTTCTCTGCAGGGTGAAAAGGGAGGGAACTGCAGGTCGGCTTGAGTAAGGTCCAGATCTTCTAACTTTATCACTGTTGAACGGCATGACGCTCTATTAAGTACTGTCACTTGCTAAATGCAGTCTTGAGCATGTTTCTCTGTCTGTTGCAGGTTTGGGGATCTGGCTCTGGTGAGGGCTCTGGAGCGGGTGACAAGGCAGCTTCTGACAAGGCCTCTAATGGGAGGACAAGTCACGATTGACGCCTGTCGCCGCCGTGGGCATGCTGATGTACTTATAGTAGGACTGTCATTGTTGTGTAAGTGTGTGTGGACAGGGTTCTGGGATCCCTCAAGTCTTCGACACCAAGAGTCCTGTGACACATCTCTATTCTGGGAAGTGACATCATCGTGTGCTGGTAAAAAAGCTACTGGAGCCCAGCTACTTAAGCACACTCGAATAATGGTAGAGAGGTGCCCAGTCTATTTGTCAGATGTATACAAGTAGGCCTTGTGTGGGAACCTCACAAGATTTCCAACAAGTATCAGCAATGAATATTTCTAGGGGCTGAAGTGTTGCATTCAAGTAGCTGGCCTTGAGCACTAGTGCCAATGGCATTTTGCTGATTCTAGTCACATGCTTAAGAACAATGACGCTCAGCATTTTATGGTTTCCTTTGATATGTCTCGAACTGATGCAAGATGAAGCTTCAGGTCAGTCTGGGCGATCTCGTCAACTCTGCAAGACACTGCACCCCCCAAAAACATCTCTGTAGCAGCGTACAATTCAGAGAATCCAGAAGGCATATTGCAAGCATAGTATATAGAGAGTCTTCAGTACACCGCGCACCTCGAAAGCGCTGCAAACATATTGCAACACATTGGGTGTGGAAACGTGGAGACCTTTCAATACAACAACATTAACAAAATGTCTGCCTCAGAAGATACAATACTATTTGTCTGAGGGTTCATACCATTTTCAACGTCTTGTGTTATTTGCCGCCAGCATTAGGAAGTCAAGCAGCCAATCTTGACACTTCACGTCGCAGAAAGAATCGACTTTGATCCTTAAAAGGTCTTAAGGGGACATTCCAATGTGTTAGACGCAGCGCCCAAGGATCATGCCAGCAAGCACTCAGACCAAGTACTTGCTCCCTGACAGGTCCTCTGGCCATGGACTTTGGCCCTAGCTCTTTTGCCTGCTTTGTCCTGCAACTGGCACTGCAATCCTGCACCTGCTGATCCAAGTGCTCCTTCCCATCACGAGCTTGATCAAAGAGGATCATGCGGCGCTAGTGGGTGTTGGGGCGCTATTTCCATCTCCCTCCTTGCCCAAATCCTCAAAGGAAGCACTGATATCCTTGTACAGCTCCACCACCTGATAACACAGAGGCTTGAAGAATGTGCTGGAGGTTGTGCTTTCGAGACTGTGTCTATCAGGTCTGACTTCATCCACTTTACAGAGCACCAGGAGCGACACAAGGAGGGTGCACCTTTGCTGTATTGTTGTTGAGCTCTCGGATCAGAACAACGTTCCTGGCCAAGGCTTCTGGAGTCCTCAAATCGTGATTTGTGTTGATCTCGTTAATCAAGATCCTAGCCAAACCAAAGCGCACTGTTGATCAGTCTTTGGCAGTGGAAAAAAGGTGTTAAGCTTTTGCTTGAACAGCAATAAATGACAATCTATGTATAGAGAAGCGGGTTTTGTCAAGCACAGCAAGATGAGACGCACTTGTTTTGTTCCAGAATATCCTGGACAGTACTGAACTTCTCAAAGCCCGGTACTGTAATTTTGTTGTCTGAAACTTCCATAGAGAATCACATGACGTCAAAGGAGATTATTTGAGGGACATTATTCACGGTGTTGTCAATATTGCTCACTGCCGTACCATATGATGGGAATATTATAAAGAATGGAATTCTGTTGCAATCGTCGCGGTGGATTAGAGATCGTGCTCCAGCACAACACACAATCGTAAATTATCCAAGGAATGCCGACTCTTCAGGGATGCTGATCTCTCGATCGCCTTGGTAGAGATCTCTTGCTCTGCCTGCCATGTCAGCGCCAGGTCACCCTACATGACACCCATTCATCACTCTCAATCACTCTCAAGAGGAAGGACACAAGGAATTTATAGACGAGTCAATCTCAATATCCCTCGATATGCACCCTGCCACGGCCGTTCATGGGCGGCACCATAGCACCGCCGGCTGCGCCGCCTTGGGCCGGCCGCCGGTGCTATACACTGTAGGTTTGCTATCATAGGACATTCAAGGTAACTTACTTGAAGTTACCATGATGGTGGATAGGACTCCTCACACCATTGAGTCCTGCTAAGGATATGATAACATGGTGCATACATAACAGTATTGTATACGTATGGGCCATGTACATGTGGCGTCTGGCCTTGCACGCAGTGATCATTCAAGTCCACAATGAACTTCATTTGAAATGCCGTTTGGTGACTCACCGGATGCCATCACTGGCTCAGCTTTTGTGAGCAGCTCTTTCCAAGTACAAGATGGTGCATTTGCAAGGTCTGCATGTATTCTCGACGTGAAATTTATTACACAGAAGTGGCCACCGCTTCCGTTATGCACTTCCTGCAGAGCGCAGGACAAAATGGCAGACGGATTTCAGTAAAGCTCTCTTCAGGGACCCTCAAGTTCATGTTCATGTTCACTACTCCATCACCAGGTCCTGCACTTTGGAGCAGGGCGTGCTCACACACAATGAGCGAGCTTGCTTGCTGGTTTCTTATAGTGCAAAAACCAGCGGAACATCAGTTCTATGCATGTGATTTCCTAGGTTGGCCATCAATCCAGATGTTGCTTTGCAGACAATCGCAGAGCATTTGTTTCAAAAAGTGAGATCTGTTACAGGACGCCCAAATCCTGTGCGATGTATGAATAAGCTCGCGCCTGCTGAGCAGTTTCAAACCCTCCTATACCAATTTACAAGTACCTAGTATTCCGCTTATACACATGCTCCTTGCCATTTGGCATTCTTTTGCCGGAATCTCCTGAAAAGAGACTAACTATTTTTGTTCTCCACAAAATATTTGGTTGTGGCCCCCAGCAAAGTGGTGCCTGCTGCCCCTCCAAAAGGTCTTGCAGATTCAAAACAACGCCTGTGGGAATGTGAAAACCGCTGCTTTTGAGCTGCTTTCAATCCAGCGCTGCAAATCACCCCTCGTAAAAGGGCCTGTAGGGGTAATTATCAGGGGGCAGATAAGAGTTGCCGGCCCAGGGCGGCTGCTGCGGGCCGGAATATCCCCCCGGCCCGCCACCGTCAAACATGGGGGGTTGCTGCGGCGGCTGCTCGCGATGCGATCCGCGCTCTGGAAATTGGGGCTCGTGATACAACGGCGGCAGAAAGGGAGGGGGGTACGGGGGCAGGGAGGGGACCGGCGGCATGTGCAGCCCCGGGGGGCCGCCCATCTGCGGCAGCCGCTCCTCAAAAGGAGGCCCGCCGAGGAACGGCTGCTGCTCCGGCGGGGGGCCGCCACCGTACTGCGGTCCGGGGGGACAGCGGTGGAAGTGTCGGGGGGACTCGGTGCGCGGCGGGTAGTGCTGCTGGTGCGGTGCAGTGGCGGCGGGGGCCCCCCAGCTGGCACCCCCCTCCTGACGCGGGCGGCCACCGATGGTGACGTGGGGGCCCGGCTGGGAGGCGCTGGAGATGGTGACTACGCGGCCGCTGCGGATGGCGTCCGGCGGCGGCTGCAAGGAGAAGGTACGCGCCCCGGGGGGTCCCTGGCCATCCATATTGACATCAGCAGGGCCGAGCGTCCTGTACGTCAACGGTGGCTCGTTTCCGTTGCTGACGACGAGCAACCAATGGTGCACCCACATGAATGTAGCTGGAGTGCTTTTTGAGGTAATACACACGCGCTCGCACCCCTGGTTAGCTCTCCGGGGTGCTGCAGAACCATCAGGCAAAGGGGGCAAGAAGCAAAAGTTGTCGTCAAAATTATCAACTGCTCTTGCAGCGTCCTCACTGGTCTAGGCAAAATACTGAACACTCATTCTTGTCATGCACAACTGCCTGGGTATTCTCACGATCTCAATATCTCACAGTACAAGAGCTTCATGAGCTTATCTGGATGGTCAGGCGCTGATTGACGACGAGGAAAAGCACAAGTGTGGTCCCAAATGGACCAGCAAGGCCAGCGAAATGCTCTCTGAACCTCCAAATCACCCCGAGAGTGGCTTGCCTGCAAAGGCGCTTTCTTCTGCTCCAGCTGCCTCAGCTTGGAGCGGACCTCTGCGATGCCCTCCTCCAGCTGCACGCGCCTGTCCTTGCTCCCCGGTGACGGCCTTCGCTGCGGCGGCTGCTGCTGGCGCGCGGCGGCAGGCGTTCCCTGCGAGGCAGCCACTGGGGCAGACACAGGAACTGGCACAGGCTTCCTCGGGGATGGAATCTGCTGGTGCCCGCCAGACGTCCCGGCACTCGAGATAGATCCGCTGCTGGCCTTTGCAGGGGCAGACGCAGGGAGCGATATGTCGGATGGCCTCCGCGCTACCGTTGCTGGAGCCGCTACCGGCTTTCGGACGGGCACAGGCGCAGGCCTCGCGGCAGGTGCGGCTGCCTTCTGAACCGGCGCCGGTGCCGGCTTCGCAGCGGCAGGCGGCGGCTTCGCGGCAGGTGTGGCGGGCTTCTGAGCTGGCGCAGGTGCCGGCTTCTTGGCGACCTCCGCCGGGGGTCTCCCGGCAATCTCAGCGGGCTTCTTTGCTGGGGACGGCGCCGGCTTCTTGGCCGGCGACTGCTGCCGCTGCTCCTCGCGGCTGTCGTCCTCGCGCGGCCGTTTGGCGCCGGCCGGGGCCGCGCTACGTGCGCTGGCGCTGCTGCGCACGCTGAGCGCGGCGGGGCTGCTGGGAGTAGTCGTCGCGCCAAACGCTCGGTCGCGCTCGCGCACGCGCGGCGCTCGTCCGGGGGCGTCCCTGCCGGAAGACGGGTGCGGCTGGTCGGTGTCGGTGCTCCTGGGCTTCGTCGCGCTGCGGTGCTCACAGCGGTGCTCTCTGTGCTCCAGGGACCTGTCCTGCCTGCCTGGGCTCGGTCTCGCGCTGCCGGTGTGCTTTGGCGCGTCTGCCGGCCTCCTGTCGCTGACGCCGCTCGCTTCGGGCCGCCGCGAATGGCTGCTGCCCCGCGCAATGTCCGACGGCTGCTGCCTGGGTGCCTCCCTCCTGGACGCTCCCTTTGCTGCATCTGGCTTCTGCTTTTCCTCGCTCGGCTTCGCTCGCTGCTTCTCTGCGCTGGGGCGGTCTCCATGTGATGCGTGCCTCTTGCTGCTTGGGGGCATCGGGTTGAATACCCTTGGCTTTGAGCTCTGCGCAGGTGCGGCAGATCTCTTCTCGCCACCGGCGGCAGAGGGCGCCGCTGGCCTGCTGCTGGAAGGGCTGCGGCGCTTGGTTGTCTCGGCGGATTTCCCAGCCGAGCCTGTCTTGGCGGGGGTGTTCGCCTTGCCTGGAGATTCCCTAGGCCTAAGTCCCGTTGCTGCCGCCTCCTTCTTGCTCCCGCTGCTGCTCGCTAAGGGCGCCGTTGCTTTGCGCGCACTTGCAGGAGCCTCCTTTGGAGCGCTCTTGGCTGCAGAGGGAATGCTGCTCTGCTGTTGCGCCCCCAATGCATCCCCAGCTGCTACAGTCCTCTGCGCTGAAGCCGGTTCCTTTCCTTGCGTGTCTTTGGGCGTCTGCTGCCGCACAGGAGTCCTCTGCTGGGCTTGTGGAGACTCACTACCAGGCCCAGCTGAGGGGGCCTTGTCAGCCTGTGCGGCTGGCTGGGGAGTTGCTGCGCCTTGCGTTGGAGCCTTGGAGACGGGGGTCCGGTGGGCCGATGAGGTACTTGCGCTGTCCAGACTGGCGGAATGTGCTGCTGGCGCAGCTGCGCCTTAGAACAAATCAGCTCATCAACGACAAGTGCAAAATTCAAAAAGGTTATGGTACCAATGGTAAGGACAGGTTTGCTCACATGTGATGCAGAACAGTGTGTTGCAAGCCCTCTCCGAGACACATTCAATGGGAGTTCTTGGGCTGTAGGACTGTAGGCAGCACCTGGCTTGCCCATCGCTGCCTGTTTCGCAGCTTGCTGCACAGGAGGCCTGCAACGGGCACCCCAGATAAACACAGTCAAGATCCTTCAAGAATAAGGAAGTATCAGATGGGTTTTGACATCTCTTTCGAAGCATGATTCAGCATTGAGCTGCTAGAGCTAGACTGAGGGTGCACAACAAGCTGTGCCCCACAAATGCACATGATATGACAGGCAGCAATTTTTGTGCGCGCAGGTCTAGCCAGGGCATGAAACAACCTGCAGCCGGTCCTGATGACTGTGCGCTTGAGCGGCCGCTCCAACCCTCTGACGGCCTCCGCCGGCCGCTTTTTGCTTGCCGACGGTGCTGCTCCCGCCGGCTCCCTCGAGGGCTCCTTCCGCGGCTGCGCTGCGGCCGCCGCCGCAGCCGCCACGCCGGGCGATGGGACCGGTGCGGCCGCCGCCGCTGCCGGGGCGCGCGTCGGCTGAGCCGGCCGCGCCACCCGGGTCCAGGCCGGGCTGCCGGACGCCGTTCTGGCCGCCGCTGGCGCGCCTGATCTGGCTGCTGACGTGCCGCGCAGCACCGTAGCCGCGGTGCTGAGCGGCGTGGAGGTGCCCATAGAACCGTAGCCGGCGCCGGCCGTGACTCCCTGACTGAGCGCGGCCTCCCCCAGGGCGACGTCCGTCAGCCGGAAGTACAGCGGCGTCTTGGGCGACTGCGAGCCGCTCTGCTCTGCCTCATCCGCCTTGGTATCCTGTTCAGCTGGCAGCACATCCGTCTTACCTGCATCGCAGTCGTGGGCTGCTGTAGGGGCAGCCACCTCGTTCGCGAGGACAGCTGTCTCCTCAACAGGGGCCGGCTGTGCTTCTGCAGCCTGCACCTGGGGCACCTCTGTGGCGGGCAACTCTGCAGCGGTTGTCTGATTGCTCGGCTTCTCTGGGTCCTGTGCCTGCAGCTCCGGTGCAGGTGCCTCTGCAGGTGTCGGGAGGCTGCTCGGCAGCTTCATCACGATCATGGGCCGCCGCTTGATCACTGCTTTGACTGCGCTGGACCTGCCGGGAGAGCCGCCGCTCTGCGGCTCCTTACCCTGCTTTGCTGTGACCGGGGAAGGCATGGATGGGATGTCTTGGCCTGCGCCAGCCGCCGGCAGCTTGGCATCCATTGAAGTTTTCGCGCCCGGGGGCGGTGGCTCTCCACCTTCTTCGACGGTCCTGCATGCGCAAAACACACTGCTATGTTGAGATACAACTGCAAATTGGGAACTAGCCGTGTCTGTGGACGGCAGTAGAGATTGCGGAACACATGGGAAATTTATGGGAGTTATCTCCCACAGAGCGTCATGGACACTGCAGAGCATTGCCCAAGAACAGAGTCTGAGACGCACCCTGCTTCTGTGGCTACAGGCGCGCTGGTTGCAGCACTGGGAGGCAACGCCAAAGCAGTGGTATAGCTGGGCTGCGCGAATGGCTGCTGCCACTGCGCGCTGTACGCTGCCTGCACGCCGGAAGGCCCATATCCAAAATATGGTGAGGCCCCATATGCAGGAGCCCCATACTGTCCAGCCGAGTACCCGGGATATGGTTGGTATGATGGGGGCGTTGCCAGGCCTGCAGCGTATGATGTATCACCGCCAATTGGAGACGGCACATACGGAGACGGCGGCATTTGCACAGCAGGTTGCGGCAGGGCCGACATCGGCGCCGGCGCGCTCGCAGCAGCTTCAGGCGGCTGCGGCTGCGGCACAAGCTTCGCTGCCGCCTTGTCGGCGGCCGCCTTGGCCAGCTTCCCAGCCACGCCCGGATGCTGCTCGCCCTGCAGCGGTGAGTCTGTCCTCCTCCCCACCTCCCAACCGGACGGTGGCGGTAATGTGACAGGCGCTTGAGAGGTCAGCCCTTCTTTTGCTGCCGAAGGCTCGCCCTGACCTGGTGGACCACCAAGGGCGGCGAGCGGCAGCGCCATCGCAGCTGAGGTCACCGGAGCCGGTTCGCCTGCTTTGGGGAGAGCGGAAGCTCCGACGTCCGCCTGAGGGCGTGCCTCTGTTGCGGCAGGCACGCTTGCTGAACGCTGCGGGTCCCCGCCCAGCGCTGCTGAGGCTGCTGGTGGCCATCCTGCCAGCTCCGGCTCAGCCGCAGGCGCCGCTGAGACCATCGAGGGGGAAGGGTCTGCTGCAGCGGCCGAGGACTGTGCGGGCATATCCTCCTGAGGCTGCAATGCTCCCTTGGACGGTCCACCAGCGCCCATTGGTGTCTGGGCTGCATCCATCACCACTGGTGAGGGAGGCTCGTGCAGAGGAGCACTGCTGGGCAGTGCCTTTGCGGCAGACTGCTCCATCTGAGCAACAGCTGCTGGAACATCTGCCATGCTCGTGCCGCTTGGTACCTGCTCCTGTCCGGCTGTAGCTGGAGCACTGGAGATCGGAGCCTCAGCCTCTCCCTGCATGCCAGCTGGGGCTGCCTCTGAGGCTGCTTCCGCAGTCTGTGCCTCGGGTGGCTGCCCGGTCTGCACACTTTCACCAAGCTCTGGAACCGAGAGTGTCGCAGCTGCTGCTGCTGCCGGTGTGTCCTCCTGCGTTGTTCCCTCCAGCTTCTCCCTCGCTGCTGCACCAAAAGGCACTGCATCCTGGCCAACAGGCTGCACCACTACCGTTGGCTGGGCACTTGCAGATACAGGCTCGCGAGGCACAGCAGTGCCAGTGCTGGGCGCTGATTCTGAAGGAGCCGGTGATGGCTGAGACCACGACAGGCCGTCCAGGAACTCCTGCGCCGTCCTGCTGAAGCTGACATCAGGTGCCGCCTGCGCCGCAAGTGCACCCACAAGCGCGTCCGCCGCAGCAACTACTGCCAAGCCGGTGACAGCCGCGCCGCCGCCAGGAGCCGCGCTGGAGGCCGCAGGCTGTGTAGCGGCGGCCTGTGCTGCCTCGGCTTGCTGACTGGAGGACTTGTCACCGGCCATGGCTGCTGACGTTGTTGCCGCGGCCTCCCCATGTTGCTCCACGGGGACGGCTGTCACAACAGCAGCTGTTGGCGACACCAGCGGAGCGGTCACGTCTGGCAGCATCAGGTCTGCAACGGCGTTCCCGGCGGCCGCCACAGGGGCCAGGATCGCCGCCGCCGCTCCGGCGCTCGGCGGCGCAGCCGACGCTGCCGGGTGCACCGCCTGTGGCGAGCCGAAGCCCTGGGCGGACACGGCGCTTGATGCCGTGCCAGCTGGCGGACCTGTGGAGGCGGGTGTCGCTGCCAGCACAGTGCCTGGGGCACCCGCGGATTGGAGAAGCTCTGTAGGGGCTGCGCTGGACGCCACGGGGCTGGACGGCTGCTGCAGGGGCAGGGAGGGCGGCGACAGAGCGGGGGCCGTGATGGGCGCGGCAGAGGCGGCCGGGGCGGCGAAGCCGAGGGACCTGTTCAGGCGCTGCAGCTGCTCCTGCCGCTTCTGCTCCTTCATCTGGCGCTGCAGCGCGTACACCTGCCGCGCCGCCTGCTGCTGCTGCGTCAGCGCCTCCTGGCTGCTTCTTGGCAGCTGCCCCGGCCCTGGCTCCTCCGAAACCGCTCGATCAGAGTCGATCTCCATCGCCACTGCACCGTCCCCCGCTGCACCGCTCGCCCCGGCCTGCTGCGCCTCCGGTGCGCTAATGCTCGGCGGCTGCGCGACGCCGGCTCCCGGCACTGGGCCCGCCGTCGCGCGAGGGGACTGCCCTGGGATGAGCTCGCCCTCCTCCACCGACTGCTCCCGAGAGCGCTGCGGAGGAAGGTTGGGCGCGGCAGCGGCGGCAGCATGGGGGCTGCCTGCAGCTTCGCCGGCCTGCTGTCCCGCAGGGGAGGCCCTGAAGGGATCCCGGTCGATGCTGATGTGCCTGACGGTGGGACTGGGATCCCGGTCGTCGTCTGCCGGCTGGCTGTAGTAGCCCCTCTGCGCCGCCAGCCAGGCATCCCTCACCACCTTGCCCGAGGAAAAAGGTCGCGCCTTCGTCTTGCGGCCCTGCGCAGACACGCACTTTGAATTTTGATGCAGCCTTTGCTGTGCAAAGCCTTTGCTGTGCAAAGACATGCTGAAAGACAACACACTGCGGCACGTATGCCACTCTGGACAACACCATGAGCAGTATTACTTCAACAACAGGCAGAGCTGCCTGCTTACCACGCCAGGTCATAGCAAATTGGACCAGCACTTGGGAAAATCGCAACATCGGCTTACAGGGACAAGAAGGTTGTACCTTGGGCGCGAGACTCTTGATCTTGGCAGCGAGCTTGCTCTCATGCGCCTTGGACTGGGTGCAGTGCGCCGCATAGGCTTTCAAATTTGCAAACGAGCGGTCGCACACCCGGCACGTCCAATCGAATTGGTCCCTGAAGGCCTTCACCTCTTGGCTAGGAGCCTCTGCACAGCATGCACAAAGTCTGGTCAATCACCCAATTTGGCCCCTGGTGAATTTATTCTCGAGATGAACGCCAGGATACACAAAAGCTTCATCAACCCTTGAGAAGTTTGTCTCAACATTCAATCGCATTTTCCATCCCATTTGTAAAGCCCTCCCACACTAGACATCCTTGGGGACAGGAGAGAAGAGAGTGTGAACGCACGGTAGGTGTGTGCATTTGAGGTCAGGACCTCCCGATGCTCCTTTGAATTGAGGTGCCAGAAATATTGAACCTCGCTGTTGAAGGCAGCCTCACAAGCGCCACAGGTGTCTTGGAATGGATGCCGGTTGTCCCTCTGCGTCATGTCCACCTCGACCTGCCACGAAAAGCCTCCGTAAGATAAAATGGCCACCTTCACTAAGTGGTAAAACTCAAGTCCTTGGGTGTCAGGGACACATGAATGGCGGGGACGCTCGAGTGCAAGAAGGACAACATCATTGTAAGCACGCAAAATCTGTTGCATGTTCACCTATGTGCTCTAAGGCAAGCCCTAAACAAGTCAGCTTACCTCTCTGTCACAGGTTGCACATACACTGCATCCATCAATCTGATGCAGTTTGTAGTTAGATCTTCTCTGTAGGAGATTATGGTGGCAAGCAACCTATGTTACAGTCGTGTGTGATGCTTCCTCCTTAAGAATCCTTGACTCTTTGACAACTCAAACCGGGCCTCACCTGTCTGGGTGCCATGGCATTGGCCTGCTGGCTGCCATCAGCTGCAGGCCTCAAGAGGACAGGGCTGGTGCTTGGCTGCCACAGCAGAGCAGGCGAGGGCGCAGGCACCGCCGGAAGCTTCAGCGCCATGGCCGTGGATGCCTGCTCGAGCGAGGAGACCCCCTGCGAACCGGGGGAACCAGCGCCTAATTTGGCCGCTGCGCCAAATTCGGCGAGTCCCTGCCGCGCCGGAACCAGCGTGGCCGGCTTGCTGCCGGCTGAGGCGCCGTCCTGGCCGCTGGCTGGCTGCTTCTGTCCGCCGGCTGGGTGAGCAACAGCACTCTGCTGCTGACCAGTGCTCGGCTGCGCAGCATGGGGTGCTTGCATGCTGCTTGATGCCGGGACACTCATCGACTGGGGAGGCGGCAGCGTCGTGAGCACCTGCGCGGAAGCTGCAGGCGTAGGCATGAGCAGCTGGAAGGGGATGGAGAGCTGCGGGGCAGCCGCGCTGAAGGGCTGCACGGCGCTGAGGGAAGTCGGCGACCGGTGCTGCTGCTGCGAGGGCGGCCAGCTGCTGCCAATGATCTTCCCCGGCTGCGGAGCCGTTGCAGCGGCCGCCGGGGCTGACGCGACCGCCCTCACAGGAGCCGCAGCTGATGGATGTAGCGCCATCAGAGGCCGGGGGTCCAGCGGCCGCGGCGCAGCGGGGAAGGGGCCGGTGGGGGGAGCAGGTGCCGGCACATGCCGCACGGCTGCGGACGGCTGCTGTTGCTCGGGCCGGGACTGCGCAGCGATCTGGGCCTTCAGGGCGGCAATCTCGGCCTCCATGTCGGACAGCCGGGCGGGCATCTGCGCCGTCTGCAGGCTGCCGAGCTCATTCTGCATGCTCTGCACGCTCTGCGCGCTCTGCTTCTGCTCGCGCCGCAGCGCTGTCATGTTCGCATCCACTCGCTGCGTGGCCGCCCTGCTGGCTGCGGCTCGCGCCTGGCCCTCCGCCTCCTCCTTGGCCATGCGCTCCTGTGGCAGATTCATGCTCAACAATCAGCCAGAAGAAGCTTCTGTCGGCTACTGACTGTTCTACATTCTTCGACAGAGCTGACGCGATGGGTGATGTGGCATCATTCATGCTGGTGGGGCGAAGGGAGACAGTGAGTCAATCAGTCCAGCCTCACCTGCAGTTGCGACACGGTCTTCCTATTCTGGTCGATGATGTCACTGCCCACTGCCACCATCCTGCTGACCGTGCGCAGCTCCTCCTGCGACACCAGAGATTGCCATTTGTTGTGATCACCAGTCATCAGTTACTCCTCGGATTTTTAAAACTAGGAGCTTTCCCACTAATCAATCATGTTGTAATTACAGCCTGCTTCATTTTGAAGCCATTCCTGGGGGTAACAACTCCTGTCCAAACCTAGAATTGTCAAAAAGGTAGTCAATCGGTGACAGTTGGAGGCATTAGGCCTCTCCAAAATTTCAACAGGCTTGCAGGGCTAGGATGAGCACGTGGGCCAACAAACAACAGCACACCTTGTTTTGGGCGGTCATCTGCAGAGCGCGCGAGGCATTCTCCTGGATCCTGGGCAGTGAGTCGAGGGCGCTGAGGGCCGTGGGCAGTCGTCCCAGCAGAGGCAGCAGCGCCCGGAGCGGCTCCAGCTCATCCAATACCCGACTGAGGGTGCCTGCCAGCTCGCGGGCTTCCATTTCAGATCCGAATCGCTGCATGTCGTCGGGATGCATCAGTTCAGAGGTGTTCCTGCCTGATGCCGGGCCCAGCAGGGCCAGCATCTGCCCTGGGTCTGCGCTGCTGCGGTAGTTCTGAGACCTGCCAGCCTCCTGTGGTCTTCCCAATGGCGAACTCGTCCTGCAGCCAGATGAAATTGATCAGTGCAAGCTTGCACTCTAGAAATTTACGAGCAAGACATCCAGTCTAGTGCACGGCATAAGCAGCTTTGCAAGCAGGAACCACCCACATGACGAAGTCATTAACATCAGGGAAGACTTCTGTATTTGGGTGGTCGCCATTGAAGAGCTGCTACACATTGACTACTTTCCGTCACAATAGGTCAAAAGAAATATAAGCGGCTCGCACAGCATCCCATGAGGAAGAGGCAACACCTGAGATTGGAGTAGCCGCCCTGCCCCAGAGCAGCAGGACTGCTGTGCCGGCCGATCTGCGAAGCTTCCCGGGACGCCGGCAGCGTCGGCTGGTCGGCCCCGCTCACGCTGGGAGACTGCCACCGGCCTGAGCCGCGCGCGCGGCCTGGCAGCGGCAGCGATGTGGCGCCGTCGCCGTTGGCAAGCGCGCCGAGCTCTGCCGGCCGCCCTGAAGGCCCTGGATTATTGCTTGGCGGCCGCCCCTGGCTGCTGGCATCAGCTCTGAGGGGGCTGTGATCCCTAGAGCTAGGTTGCTGCACAGCTGCGACAGCGCGCGTGGGACTGTGCCCTGCTGCAGGTCTGTCAGGGGCATCAATGCCGGCATTGCCGTATGCAAATGCCCCTGAGGGAGCTGTGTTGGGGTGTTCCCCGTGGCCGGGGCTCTCTGACACACCGGCGGAGTGCGCGGGGCTGCTGCTGCGAGCTGGCGACTCGAGGCTGGAGGAATGGCTGCGTGAGGGCCTTGCGCCATTTTGCCTATTTGCGGCTTTGAGCCTCTCGTTCTCCTTGACTGCAAGCATCAGTCAGGTTGTCCTCAGGGAGGCTGATATGCATACCTGCTCAGGGGTACATCAGACTGAAGCAAGGCGTGCGAAGCAGTCGCTGAGGAATCATGGAAATATTTTGGAGGGAACAGAGACTTCATATTTATATTCATTGGCGAGTATGGCTCATGAAGTCGACTTCTTTACCTAGTCTGTCAAAGTATGCCTCGTCTGCTTTGAGTTTTGCCGTGGCCTCCTCGAGAGCCACCCTGAGACGATGTTTCTCGACATTGTCGGCTTTGCTCTTGTCTTCTATTTGCTTCTTGAGTATCCCAATCTCTCGTTGGAGATCCATCCCTTCAGGCAGGCATAACGCATTAGTGCATGCCTGGGAACAAAAGGAGCGACGATTTCACGACGTGAAATGCATTGTTAATCATTTACTTTGAGACCCACATTCGTCACGCACCAGCATAGCCGCCCTGAAGAAGTACCACCCAGTTGCAGTACCAAGTTGGCTGGTCCTGCGTATCACTTGAGCAGACCTCTCCCACTCCCTGTCAACGGATGAGGCAAAAAGTCTGATTGATGCTCAGACGATCTTGAGAGCTGCGGGGGATCTGTGTCCTGAAAGATTCCAACCTTGGATGGCTTGGCGCCCCCTCGTATTGATGCTGCTGGGGATCCCACAAGCAATCGGATCCCTTTGATCCTTCTAAAAACTATGTTATTCTACGGGCTCCCGGTGCCAAGTACTTCTGTTGCCAACATTTTTCATTGACCATCATGACATGAGCTCATGGGTCCCCCCGGAGCTCGAGGAAGGCTGCAGCTGGGCCCCCCGGTGCTTTGGAAGGCATCCGAGATCATTCAGATTATGCAGAGAGGATATGCCATTCACCATTGCTGATTGAAATCGCGCTAGCCTTGCAGAGCGTGTGCATATTCGCTACTGGACAGGGATTCTGTCTATGACCGCTGTCAGATGAGCACCAAGTTCTGCAAGGTCAAAGTTGAGGAGACTACGGCCAGCGAGCCTTCTTCTGTTGCCGATGCGATAGAAGCCTTCCTCGTGAATGTAAGCTTCTGATCTCTGGTACTCCCTTTTACAGCCCCACTTTGCCATTTGGAACTGTCAGCGCGATTTCCCAAGCACTTGGATGTCGCAATCAGGGCATGTGATCTGACCGAACAAAAAGCTCTGGAAAGTCCTTTTTAGTCCTCTCATATTACGCTGTGTTGCTTTACAGGATCCAGATATTGGGCAGGATGTAGTGGACAATTTGAGGGCTGCAGCATCCACCCTGCGCTCATTGCAAGGTCTTTCACCTCTCATCTTCTCCTTGTTTCATCTGAAACGAAGTGGAAGTAATGCGGCATTGCATTTCAGAGTGTTGCAATTGCTGAAACTATTGCATTCTGCACAAACGTCCCTCGCCCTAATGAGGACGTGTTGTACAGGGGAGAATTTTGTGCTGGACGCAAAGTCGTCAAAGAGCAAGCTGAAGCTGAAGGCCAAGGGGGCAAGGATGCAGAGCGCATAGTCCTCAACGCAGTACCAGCCAAAATTTTGGGGAAGGTAGAGGGGATGTGATCGGGTAATCCTTGATCTGCTGCGGGATCAGGACAATATTGACATGCATCCACTGCTCTTGTGTGAGATTGGAATGTTGCATCTTGAGATGCTTGACAGGACTGGATAATGTAGGGAAGTTAGCCTAAGTAGAGGGAGGTATAGGCTACCTGGGGTATACAGATAACGTGACCCGAAGACATCTGTGATTTTTTCTTATGTTGCGTGCCCGTCGGACATGTCATGACTTGATGCTATGACTTTATATTTGTTAGGACCAGCTGTGACAGCATCTGTGTGGTCACCACCGTGGTCGTGAGCTTTCTGCATGGTTGATCCGATCACTCTAGCTAGGATGATAATTTAATACCGTAATAGGAATTCCTATCTTCGAAGACAAGAATGACTTGCAGGGATCCCTCCGGAGTCAACTGCTGATCTGTGACATAATGTAATATATTCCAAGTTGAATAGCATGTGAAGTGCTGCTTGAGGGGCCAGCTTGAATGACATGGGATTCACCTTTTGTCGCAAAGGGGCCCGGGGCCGTGGCCATGCCATATTCCACAACTGCAAATATCAAATGCCTGATCATGTGACATTGCAGTGAAAGCTTATAAAGGCCTCAAGAGCTCGAAAATAGGGTCAAGATTTCTTAAAGCTTCAAAGCTTATAAGAGCGTTGCCTACCCTGTAGAAGCCTCTTAAGAACGTGACCAACAAGACCGGTCTAAGCATGAGACTGGTCCTAGCCTGCGGGCTTGCCAAACACTGTCTCTTCTCCGCGTTGCGCTCCCAGCAATGTGCTGACACTAGACATGCACGCCAGCACAGACTCTCACTGAAGGCAAATCTGCAGCTCGGTTGCAATTGCCTTCCCCGACCTAAAATTCATCTCTTGGGCTCTCAACTCTAGTTTTGCGGTCTCATACGTGCGCACTCCAGGGGACCACTCTCTCAATTCCCGGTACTTGATTCTTGATGTACATGGCCTCCTGGTAGGAAGGCATGGCATTCATTCACAGCCACCGCTGCACAACAGATCGGATCATGGCAATTAGTGGGTTTGCAGCGCGGGCAGATCTTGCCACGCTTCGCCTCTGCTGTGGTTGCTAGACTGTCACGGGGGTCTTTGCCGGCTCCGCTGCAAAGGCAACCTGGAAAGCAACACACGCTATCTCAGATGTGGCACGCACACATTGCAAGTTTCCTGCACAATGAGAATCATGCACGGACTGCTCTAGTCTGTAGCTTGCTTGATGCTGTCAAAACTCTTACGGCCGGCCACTTGTGCAGGCATCACTCTTGTGAAGCCCAGAACCAGCCACACAGCCTGACAGCTATTTGCATGAGCACTCTCACGAGCCAACGCATCATGCCATATCAGTCTGCAGAAGAACATCTGGACAGCATAGGTGCAACAGGCGTGACAAAAGCAAGGCAGGGCCAATTCTTGTGTTTGTAGGGGGTATCAGGGGCACACCTTGGATGGGGCTGAGTCCACGTGCGCGCCCTTGAAAAGCTCATCGAGCACCTCTGACAGCGTTGGGTGCGCGTGCACGTTGAACTTGATGTCCTGTACACACACCCACAGAAACTTTACATTATCACATCGTTACAAAAGTAGAATATATCTAAATACCTGCATCCCCATTGTTGAATATCCCAGTGGCACTACCGTATTCCACTCTTAACAATCCCAATCAGAACAGGTGCAGTGCAGCCAGGCCTTCTGAAGATGAGTCATTAGTTTATTGCATTTCAGGCTAGAGGTGTCTTTCAAGCCGACCACATTGCCAGACAACCTCGCACATGACAAAAAGTTCTGCTGAGAGCAAACATCGTAGAGCTGAAGCAACAAGGACTGACCTGGACTCTCTGCTTGGTGGCGACAGCGTTGGAGGCTTCGTGGATGAGGTCGGCTGCGTGCAGGCCCAGGATGTGGACTCCCAAGATCTCTCCGGTGTCCTTGCGGTAGATCATCTTTGCCATGCCATCTCCCTCCTTCTCTGCCAGCGCCTGCGGACAGCATGTCATTGCACATGTCAGCTTGGACATGCCTGGGCACCTGATAGGAACCTTTCAGAAAAATGAGAATGAGAGGTGTACCCCAGAAACTTACTTGCTCCTGGCATCACTCCTGCGGCTTGCAGTCCAGCCAATTAATATTCTAAGAGATGCTTTGGCAGCCATGCAGGCATGCTGAGCAGCAGCAACGCCAGCGAATCCAAATTTGCATGAAGAACACTTCATCCTGGTATTTACGAGTCAGCAATGCATTGGGCCTAAGAGGTGAAAGGCAAGGTTTGTAATGTAATCTGTATAAAAGAAACGCGGTGCATGCCTTGGAGTTGGCCTTGAAGGATGTCTTGACAACGGCAACCTTATCGCCATAGCCGTCCTTGGCTGCTTGCTCGCGCGCAGCCTCCTCTGTCAGGCCCACAAAGGACACCTGATGGCCACATGAATGCATCTGTCAGATTTACTGATCTTTGACATCGTGCACATGACCTTTTGAGCATGGTGATCTCCAGATCGTGTTGCTTGGAAGTCCTACCACCATGCCAGCTGTATCTCAAAACGCCATCCCCACCCAGATAAGCCCATCCCGCATGCACTAGTCACGTTTGGGCCCAACAATGTAAAGTACTGTATCTTCCTCAAAAATTAGGGAGATCAGATTTGAAGATCTTGGGGCTTAGTTGTCTCACGCTGACACAAAATAGAGAGATGTTTGGCTGCTGGCCCACCTCGGGGTGTGTGAAGCAGGCAGCGGGCACACTGAGGTGGTTGAGCACGTGGGGTCGGCCGCACATGTTCTCCACGGCACTGATGCCCTGCGCGCTCGCCGCATGTGCCAGCATGTACTTGCCTGCACAGCAGTCTCAAAGTTTAGAATCCTTGCCCCATCATCTCACCATAAGGACAATTACTTAATCATGAGATATGGGCCGCTGTCAGGCTGCCTCCATCGTTTCAGCACCAGTGCATGCTCGCTGCATGTACTGCCGCTCCCTCCGTGTGTTCAAGCAAGTGTGATAACACTGTCCCACGATACGCTAGGCTGCAGTGTTAATGGCCGACCAAAAAAGACCTTGAAAGCCCTTGATACATTGCTTGTGGCAATGGCGGATTTCTTGTGTTAGCTTACCGTTGGCATCACCGATGCAGAACACGTTGGTGACGGGCTTGCCGCTCTTGTCAAGCACTTCCATCTTCTCGCTGACCGGCACAAAGCCTCGCCTGTCCACCTCCGCATTGATGGCTGGCAGGTTCAGCCCCTGCCGCACCACGACCGCCCTCAGATGCCCATACCAATGCAAGATCACAGGCATTGGCAGGGAAGAAAAACCTGTGCAGGGCTCAGAGTAGCATCCCAGTGAACCTGCACCACTGCTGGAGGTTTTGAAATCGACTGAGGCTGACAGAGACCAACAGGGGATTTCATTCCTTACCTATGGATGTTGCACAGAATTTACGGGCCACTCAACACTCCATTGAATTTGCCAGATACACTTCTTGTGTGAGCAAGGGAAATGTGTGGCGACTGTGGCTCACCTGGGTGTAGGGTGCGCGCCCAGTGGCCACCAGGACAGCATCCACCTCCAGCTCATCAACCTTCTCCTTTGTCTTGAAGTCCGTCAACTCCACTATCACCGGCTTTACCCCTGGCACGCCTGCACACACACGACTCCACATCAGCAGCAGGTCATGCATGACCAAGTCATGCATGACAGCTTCCTTGCCTTTAAGCGGTAGTGAGGCCTCCGGAATTGAGCCAACACAAGTTGCCTCATTTCCCTCCTGTGGATGAAGGTGAGCGCTTAGTGATGAGTGCACACTAGGGTAAGCGCGCATCCGGAGATGTACGGGCGCATATGATCCTATTCTGCCGGGAGAATGTGGTAGGTTGTGCCCTGCCGGGTGGTCGCATTTCAGCCAATCACAGCGCAGCATTCCAGTTACCCTCCCCAGATAGCAATTATCAATGATCATGAAGGAACAAGAGCGTGGGGCAGAGAGGGTGCGCGGATGAATCGTATGGGTCAACAGCAAGAATGGGCTAAAGAGGGTGCGTGCCTGGAATGACCTTGGTGGCCAGGACTCCGGTGTGGTAGTCAATCTTCCTGGGGTTGATCAGAAGCCGCTGCGCCAGCCTGGCAATCTCCTTGTCAAAGCCGGGCATGAGCGAGTCCATGGCCTGTCAAATAATTACATAACCCTTAGCTCATGCCAACGACTAGCATTTCCAATACCCATGCATTGATGGACATCGTGCATGCATGCCCGAGACCTCTGTACGCATAAGCCTCCATCTACTCTCACACCTGAGCTGAACACCATTTGGCTGCACAAATTGAGCCCATCACTGCAAGATGGGTTGCAGGATTTTTGCTGTTTATGGGTCATGTAAATGCTATCCTCTGGCGTCACGAGGCAGTGCAAGGAGGAGCCTCACACCTCAATGAAGGTGACCTCAGAGCCGAGGGCGGTGTAGACATCTGAGAACTCGAGGCCGATGTAGCCCGAGCCGATGATGGCAATCCAGTTGGGCACCCACTCCAGCTTCAGCGCATGGTCGCTGGTGAACACCTGCACCAAGAGAGGATTCTCATTAGTCATCCTCAAAGCAGCTACCAAACACCTTAGCTTGCGAGAAGCACAAGGCTGACAGATCCAAGCGCCTCGCTAAAGCAGCCACATTTCAGTGCTGCAGTAGCACAGATCTGAAGTTTGACACTTTGCACTGTTGAATCGGTGAATCTGAAGGGCAGCTCCGTTGCTACACGGGTCACTTTGAAGACCCCAGAGGCTGATTGAGGCTCCTAAAGCCAGCTGATGTCCACAGAAAGCAAGTTATTGGAGCGCTCAGATTTGCTGGAGCATGCCCTCACCGTCTTGCCATCAATGGGGATGCCGGGAGGCACAAAGGGCACGGAGCCAGTCGCAATGATGATGTTGCGCGCTGTTACACTGCCGCCAACGTCCACACGGCCTGGACCATGCACATCTAATTTTAGTATCAAGAGCGTAGGAACCCTTGTTTCAGCCCTTTGTCGACGGTCGGCAGTGCCAACATTTGTGACACAATGACCGCCATGGTGTGGCATGACATGATAATATATCACATTGATAATAAAAAGATGATGTCATCACTGACGTGAGCGATGGTACCAGCCCGGGCCTCATTCGCAATCATCACAGCTTCCAAGACTCACTGTGGTGCTCCTTGCTTTGCACAGATCGCCAATGACGTACTGACAATGCAGTCTTGATACTTCGGAATCAAGAGTGCCACACATCAGGCTTGTTAAGGGTTGGTTCAGTGTGAATCACCTGGCAGACTGTACTTGACAGTGTGGTTGTCCACGAGCTTTCCAGCGCCTATAAGGATGTCCTGGGAATCACATGGGGTACACATTAGACAGGGGCTGCTGACAATAACGGCAGCTGTTTGGAGTGTGGCGACAAAAAATTGACATGGCACTGCTTACAAAGGACTATGGACATGGCAGTAAATTGGACAGAGAGTATAATAGAGGCCCACCACTCCAATGGTCTCGAGAGAGCGCTTCAGGTTGCCCTGGATTGTACTTGCCAGGTTAGTGGCGTGATCTGCAATTGGCTGGCGCTCATAAGTCACACTCCCCACCTGCACACATCCATACTATTAAAATCACTTCGAGAAATCTGAAGAGTATTGAAAGTGAACTTCCTCCTATCCAAGCACAGAGCCCAGTACCATTGTTCCCTCAATTGAAGGTTTACCAGGCTGCTCTGTGAGCTGTGCATCACATGGCTTTCATATGCAAGGGCCCAAGCCAGGCCTCTCATTGCGACCATAAATCTCCTATCAGATGCCTTCATATGTAGCAGCCCAAGCTGGCACCTCCGGGACCTTTAACAAGCTGTGGATGCGGGAGGAGCATCGGATTTCGTTACAGGTACGCGATCCGGAAGGAGTGAGGGGAATTGACCTGGATACCCAGGGCCTTCATGTGCATGGTGTTCTGCAGCTCCCGGACGCGCCCGGAGGCGGCCAGCAGCGCCTTGGAGGGGACGCAGCCGCGGTTGACGCATGTGCCGCCGATGTCATGCCCCTCCACTACTGCCGTCTTCATCCCCTGTGTTTGCAAACCTCCCCAAGCTATGCCCTCTCCCCAAAATGGCGTTTTGCTTTGGACAGACTCTGTTTCCAGTATCTTTTCCAGTTTACAACCTCTCTCCAAGCATTGTGCTGCTTGCACGGAACCTTACAGAAACCCAGGTTCCAGTTATGCTCAAGACATTACAACCTCTCTCCAAATGCTGAGTTGCTGTGGACAGACTCCCCAGAATATGTGTCTGCCCTGCTGAGCTACAGCAGGTTGGTAGGTTCCAGGAGGGTGGAGTGGGCACTCACGCATTCAACCGCATGCAAGGCTGCACCGTGGCCGCCCACGCCGCAGCCAATGATGACCAGATCGTAGTCATACTCCTTCTTGGCCTGGGCCACAGTCAATGCTCTGCAGACTCGCCTCTGTGACTGCCTGTGGGCAATGATGATAAAACCTTACTGGCATACAGGACTGAAAAACTTCATTACAGGAGAAGACAAGGCAGGGGGCTTTTATTTGTCTTTTGTTTTCAGAGTTGCAGTGCTCATGTCTCGATGGAGTCAGCACTTCAAAAGAGCAACAAGGCTCGAGATAATGATACTTAAAAGTTATCGAAGCAAAATCCAATGTCCTTCAAAGATTAATGGTCTAGAATTTGCAACGACTCAATAAGACGCACTGAAGTCTCGCCAAGATCACAAGATCTGTCCAAGAAACGCCTTGGACAGGACCTGAAAGATTGTATAGTTGCCGGCTGAACCCACCTGAATGGTCTCACCAATTGATGAATCCTGATTGGGGCATTGCTTGGTTGAATCACAAGGGCATGGCGCTGCAATCCCTGGAACCGTCCAATCCGCACGGGCGCAGCTGCTGACTGAGGCGTCCTTTGTCCATGTGCGCACAAGAAAGTGCTGCACGAAGCCATGCTTGCCGCCATGACTGAGACTGGTTTGAGGAATCAATGAATTCTCAAGAAAGCAGGGCTAGTGGTGCAAAAGCACTGCCGCGTCAAACCCTATTCAAGCCCCCTGAATTAAAAAGGTTCTGAGTTCAATTCGCACGGCAACAGCTGGCTCCAAACAGAACCCTGACATCCACTTTGGAAGGGGCTGCCAGCATGCCGCATTGCAATCGGACATCAGATCTTCAGCTGAGCATGAAGACATGAAACGTGTTACATGCGCACGGCAGGAGAAAAATTCCTGAAAAGTTGCAACTCAATTGAGACCTCAGCCCAAAGCGCTCATGAGCTGAGCTCCTCCGCTGATCGGCTCCGCATTACATTTCTGCATGCTTTGCACAGGTAAGGGCCCGGTGCGGGCCGGCTGCCACCACCAGTCGTGATCCTACATGCATTGCGGCGCGTACCGACACTGTCATGATCATCAACCCATGATGATGACCATTGGTGGTCATGTATGTAGATGGTCATTGATCAAGCTTCCAAAACTTGCGATTACATCGAGGGATGATTACATTTACAGTGTAAATTTTACACAGTCCTTACACACTCCACACATATGGCTTCAATTGCGCGAAAGTGCGGGGCGCCCCAGTTTGTTCATTGCAACTTTGAAGGCAGCTTGCAAGTTCCCTTATTCTACACACAGGCCCATGCCATTTGCGATGTACAAGCTTTAAGTGACTCAAGTACCGAAAGTAGTAGTTACTGATTGTTGTATGAATCAGCATTTAGATCCAAAGTGGGCCACAATTGCTCATCCCTCAATCTCTACAAGTACCTTATTAGAAAAGAAACCACTCGGCAGGCCAATGTTCCCTCATCTCTCAGACATGCGTTTGCACACATCTGTGCATCCATTACTTTGTCACACAACTCATTCCTGCATTTGCCCAACAGCTGCAGATATCAAGCCTTGCAGTAATACATTCCATATAATACGAGGTCCATGTCACGGACAATATTACCTCTTAGTGTATCCTGTGGATAGTTCTTGGTACACGGCACCATTTGCAATTCAAATCCTCTCGGCGATTCATCCTCCATCGGGGCTCTCATGCACCATACTTATCTTCTCTCCCCTCTGTTGACTGGTCAAATAGAGCTTCAAAATGGTGTAGGGAAGTCCATTGCCACCATCAGCTGCTCGCTCGCTCAAAACCAAAATTCCCTGCGCATGGCAAGGCCTGCAGCCAGTGGGAGACCATGCGGGTGTCTGAGATGTGGTCCTCTTCAGGTTGCCAGGGCCGTCAGCAGAAGTCCCAGGCCAATAGGCGCCATTGACCCATCGATTGCACTCTTCACAACTTCTTTGTGATAGCCGCTGCGTGGGATCCTGCCGGCTGCCCTCAGAAGGGTCACGCCATTCAGCAGGATGGCACCTGCCCACATGCCTCTCACCCATGGCTGCAGCGATGGTGCCAAGCCCCACTGCGTGCACAGAACTGTTCAGTCCTTGCATGAGAAGCTTTCTTGACCGTCACCAGTGTGTCCAAGGCATGCGAGCATTGTCCTTGTATAGCAGGCCTGCTCCACACAATGCTGGTTTAGGCACATCGGATTCTTGTGACGCTGATGAACGCAATTACTAGCTGTCACTGGCAGTCAGAATCTCATGTGCACATCGTGGCCTCTCCGTTGGGCGCCGAAAGTCACAGACCACTCAGCTGAGAAGTAGCTCCTCAAGTCACACATTAAGCCCCTCCTTGTACCCTTCATTGAGGTTCATAGATGGTCCATCTTGATTCCAGGGTCCTGTGATACTTCATATTCAGGTCTGTGAGAGAACAGGGCTTGGTGACAGAGCAATGTCACGCACCAGCCAGGAGAGTCCGCCGCCCAAAAGAGCGCTGCGCAGGGAGACTGCAACAGCCGCAACGGCCAGAACAACAGCCGCTGCAAGCGCGGGCCCCCGGCCCAGAACCACCGGGAGGGTGTTTATGCCGGAGCCTCGGTCCCCTTCAGTGTCGTTCAGGTCCATGAGGATCTCGCGGTGCATGATGCAGCCGAAGAGGTACGCGCACGGCCCGGCCACAGCGGCCAGCCCGGCCGACGCCTGAGTCACACCAAAGAAATCATCGGCCATTCGTGAATAGCGCGCATTGCGGCTTCTCCGCTGTGCTAAGAGACTCTTGCACACGAGCAAGCAAGCAACCACTGCAGTGCAATATATAGAGCCCCATGGCCAACAGGATCAATGGTTACTCGACCTTGATGTCACAAGACACATCACTTGAATGCCAGTGTGAATTGAGCACAGCATGCCTGTACCACCTGGCAGCCCGGGGTCCCCCCAAGCCATCTTGTGACAGGGTTTCGAGTGTTCTTCGTCCCTTAAAGATCCTTTTGTAGTGCGCACCCCTCCGGCAGCGAGAGCGCCTGCGATGGGTGAGAGTGCGATGACGGCTGCCACGGCGATGTTTTTGACGGCGGTCATGCGCTTGAGGATGGGCGTGTACAGCAGCGTGGCTCCCGCTGAGAATGCTATGATGAACCGCAGCATCGGCGGCTCCTGCACACAAGACAGACCTCTCTTCAGTGATCACATCTCTTCCCTCCTGGCAGGAAGAGCGTGCCACAATAATGAAGGACATGTCTTTCCACGAACCCACAACTGTTGTTCTTTGCATAATCTGTGAGCCCTCCTGCTAGCTTTAAGACTGGTACTGTCGCCACAAATCCCATGCCAAGGATCCCACGAGCACACACTGCTCCACAGAAGGAGCATCTTGAAGTGCTAAACAACTGATGCATGGTGGCGCTAGATTTGCATGTGCTTGAAGCTCGATGCCATAGCGCACCTGATTAACAGGGCAAGCTGTTGCATTCTCAGCAGATTTAGTCATTATGCAAATGAGGCAATGCTCGTGTACAAATTTTACTAAAACTTCATTTCAAGAGATCAGGAAGGAGGGTTGGTACCAGGATGCAAGCGGAGATCAGTACAGCGCTGTACAGGCAGAAGCTGAGCAAGAGGGCGCCGTCCAGGGGCACCGAACCGCGCGGCAGGGGCTGCAAAGCGCACCAGCAGCAACTTTTGAATCAGGCATCATTAATTCCTGCTAATCCTCAATAAGATTTAATGTCCTCAATATTGCAATTCCACCCATTGATCTATCATGCAATACCCACGACTGATTGGCTGCTTCACTGGAGCGGGCTGCAACCAGTGGCAAGAAGAAAATGAGTCAACACCTCCCAAAGCCAGAAGGAAACAGAAAGTGAAATTAAATTAATTTGAAGCAGAGCTGGCAGACCTTATTGGGCTCGTTAATGACGTCGACAGTGTAGTCGAAGAAGTCATTCAAGACGCAGGACGCCACCGCAATGCTGCCGGATATGGCAGACATCATCCACGTCCGGCCCAGGATCAGCGCATGGAGATTTCTTCCTGTACCCACCTACACACCAGGATCTGTCAGCCTCTAATTCCTGAGTGGACCTTGTAGCATCAGGTGCAAATGATGAACAGTCATTGTTGTTACTTTCACTGCATGAAGTTTTTGCCAGTGTGCAAGGTGCGTCTTTAGACAAGCTGCAACTAAAGCGAAAATCCCACCCCTTGTCAGATCCATGATTCAGCCTGGTGTCTAGTATTGACAAAGCCTCTGGCCAGGTGGGCTGTTTTGAGTAGGCTGAGATGGCTATTACAGCGAGTGCGAGGCAGGCAATGAAAGCGGCTCACCCAGGCTCCCAGAAACACCAGCAGACATGACGGCACCAGGTTGACCAAGCGTGCCATTTCAACATAGGCAGCTGCCTCCTGGAAGAGGGATCAAGAAATGTCAGTGGCAGTGAATGAAGCAAACAACGCAGTAGTGGCAGCGCATGCATGGCAGAAGGTGAATTGACACTTAAAGCACGGAGTAGACTGTTGAAATATATGGACAAAGACAAATGCAGGCAACATGACAACGCAGAACGAGACTTGCCTCCCTTTCGAGCAAGCGTCGCTCTGGGTACAGCATCGTCAGAGCCACCTCCGCGATAGGATCGGTGAGCGGTTGAACGTGACCAGTGTTGGCTTGGACCCTCGTTGGCCTCTGTGCTGGGGAGGACCTCGGTGAGAGTCCTGCGGTGTTGTTGGGCCTTTATCAGTTCGCGTCAGCTCACTTACATGTTGTGAGCGTCTAGCCTTAATCTAAATTTACTATGTCTTCGCTCCCATGATGCAGACACCTGCGATTTGTCATTGGCACAACAATATGCGTGGCAGTGCATGCCGACCGACTCACCAGTTGACTCTGCACGACAACGTTTGGAGACTGTAATGCATCGTATCGCACACTGTGCAGGACGGAAAATCTGCTTTAAATAAGTTATTGACTTTATTCCTGGCGCCTGGGCACCGGTCACAGTGTTGGGCAATGCCATCATTCAACGCCTTGGCTTGGTCGTTGCGGGCTCGGTCATACTTCAAACATATTCAGGTATACATTTTGCTTGCATCTGCCTCACACTTTTGTTTTGTGAATGACTGTCGTGATGTTGCTGACTGGCAAAGGAAGAAATGGGCGCGTCCCCGTCAGAGGTGCAGACGTCAGCTCAGCTTCCTGTAGCTACCGCAGGAAAGCCTCATTCCTGAATCTATAGCAGGAAATTTTCACAATGTTATCGCCGTGTAGGTCCTCAGAGCACAAGTGAACTTACTCTGCAATTTCTCTCACATCAGGATCTCACCGATCAGCTGAAGTCAACAGCTGTAGCTGTCCCGGACAGCTGCAGGGCCTGCCAGGGCCTCCTCATGAGGATCTGTGAGGACAGCCTGGCACCGCTGCATGCATACATATGTAAGCTGATCACCCATGCTTCTTTAAGGAGTATTCCAATCTGCAAGTGTGAGTAGATATTCCCAATGCCTCCAATTTGTCCAGCAGATCATTTGAAGATATTAGTCACAGACCGAAAAGCAGCCGCCGCGAAAAGCAGCGCGGCGCTCCTTCTTTTTCTCCACATGGGACGTGATTGTTGTGGCGGTCTTGAGCGCTCACCATCACAATCAGTACTGAAAGAGTTCAACTAAAAAAGTCCAAACCTAGTCCTATACCAACATTTGCCAAACACTAACTGGGCGGGCCCGGGTCTTCAATCGGCGCAACAAGTCAACACACTTCTGGCCTATGGGCAACAGCCAGTGCACCATATTTTCCAGCATTTCTGGGTCACTTTGAAATGGAGCTGCCTGCTGCGCTTGGCTCTGGGGGCGTCAGTGCAGCTAGCAGCTCTTTGTCCGGGAAGGTGTTATCGTCCAAATAGAAGAATTTGCCATTTACCTGCACAGAACAGGCAACCTTCAGTTCAAGATGTCAATAACTGCACCTGGTGTAACCTTGAATAGGAGAGATTTACGTACCATGCATGCATGTGTAGTCTGGCCACCCTCTTTGATGGTCCACGTCCCCATGCATTGTGACCACAGTGGCAACTTATGCATGTTGTCCAAAATTGCTTGAGAGAGCCCACAAAGGATGCAAGATGCAGCCAGTGGCTCACCGCGAATGTGACCTGCGGCCTGATGGTGTCAGGATAGCTGATCTCTGCCAGATGCGCGCGAGTTATTTGCGGCCGCGCAAACACCGACAGAGTCTCAATCTCCATCGTGTTTGACTTTTTGTCAAACACCAGCTGTCGCACATATGGCGAGGTGAACCAGTGCAGCAGCCCTGCGCAGGCAGGCACATGCATTCTCCCATCAAAGTTGCCTTGTCTTCGGGGCTACAACCTGCCTTCCAGGATTGCATCTCCGTCCTGAATGTAGCTGCCTAGCACTCACGTTGAGAGCAATAGGATGGGTGAAAGCACCTGTTGTGAAGATCCCAAAACTGCACAGTGTGACAGCAATGCTGGCCTTGGCCCCGAGGGATGTCGCTGATGTGTCGAAGACCAGCATGACAGGGCTCATGGCAAAGGTTGCAGCGCAGCTGAAGAGGCTAAGTCTCTGCGTATCACGACATCCACTTTCAGATCTCAGCTCATATGTGGTAAACTTGAATGTCAAACGAGCAAGGGATGCACACAACGCTGGTGAGGGGACACGGTACAGGTGGGCCTGGCCCTAACCTTCAAGCTATGCACAGCCTTTTTCAGAGGTCCTTCGTACACTACGATGTCATCTGATCTGACTTCTGGCTGATCTGAATAACATCTAGTGGAAGTAGCTGGGGACCATCTCAACTGCTCGGTCGCACTGGGCGTTTCAGACCTCACTCTAGTTTGATCGAATCCTGAGAGATCTTTCGCGATTAGTGGTATTTGGCATGTGTAATGGACTGAGTTCGTTTGACCACAGTAAACTACGTTGTTGGGATGCACAAGTCTTTGTAATGGATCACAAAGTAACTCGAGGGCAGCAGGTGCAACTGATCCTGATTTGTGCAGAATAGAGGAAATAGGCAAGCTGCGCAACGCTGTCGGTAGCATGCTGCTCCCAGTGAGAAGTTTCCTATATAATAGACGACCTGTCCACCCCTCGATCTGGACAGACAGTGCCCGGAGTCGTGCATGTAGCCTACATCGCATAGTAAGAGTTAGTAACCTTGCTCAAATTGCCCTTCAACAGCTGACCTGAAGGCGCCCTGGCTAAGCCCAGGCTGGCTTCACTCCTACAGCCTCACTGCGATCAACACCAGAGGGACGCATGGATTACAGAAGGCGTGGTGAGGATCAGCGCATGCAGGCGCGGTGCTCTGTGGCAAGACAGCAGTAGCCAACGAAAGTGACCGTTGAGTGTGCCAGGGCATCTCCGCTCGGAGACGTGCAGGTTCTACTCAAAGTGAGAGCAATATCAACGCAAATTATACAACTGGTGGCCTGTATTTTTCTTACGCCCTGTGACAGTACTTTTCCGCTTGCGTTTGCTGTGGAATCTCCTGATCCCTGTGAAGCACCCCAATCATGCGCTCACCTTTTCGCGAACTAAGTTGTTTTCAATTCTCATGTATTTTTGTTTCGCATGCCGGAACATAAGATAACCAGCGTTTAAAGCTGAACAATGTCATTGTTGCAGGCAGGATTTCACACGTGGCCAACAATGTCAAGCAAAGCTCGACGCGTCCCACTAGCTCACCTGAAGAACGGTGTAAATACAGCAGAAGATGGCATTGCGGTACCTCAGGTAATTCCCGCTGTGTTTCGCAGTTTCACCCATTCATGTGAAATCCTCCTTTATGCATGTCTCATATATTTTGGTGTCATGCAGGGCAAGCTGAAGGGTCCAAAAGGAAGGTTGGCACTACTGAGGGAAGAGAACGCTCGCTTTTGCGCGCCAAAGACTCGCATCCCCACACCAGCACCCAAGAAGAAGCCCTCGCAGGAGGCCCCCAGCCGCGGCAACTTTGTCAGCAAGATACCCTCTCCCACGACGACCTCATCCACCCTCGAGGGGCCCGCGACCAGCCAGAACAAGGATGAAGACGCCTCTTCTGGCATTGTCAAGGACAAAAGACAGCAGCAGGGCAGCCCGCATGCCCAGGAGCCGGCCTTTGGGAACAGTGACAGGGACAGAGAGGCTGTTACACCTGAAGCTCAGGTGCAGGGCCATACAGAGCTGGAGGGCATCAACTCAGAGGCTCTGCAGCTGTCCGAGGATATAGCCACTCAGCTGGCATCCACACCCGCAGCCCATGCCCCCATGAGCCCAGAAGAGGATGCCTCTGTGAGCGGCCAGCAAGCGAGCATGTCCAGCCCACAGGCTCTGGCAGCCTCCTCTCCCCAGGTGGCTGGCATGGGCACGCCCCTGGATTTCACCAGCGCCTTGAACTTGGAGGAATTTGACGGCTCCACACTCGCCGTTGCTGTGACGGCTGAAGAAGCCACCTTTGGTATGCAGCTGCCCCTCCCTCAAACTATAATCTTGCATCTGTATATTGCCTTGTCTGCCCTAACAGAAAGACAAGGCCATTGCTGAGTCTCCTTGCTCATCTCTAACGCAACAAGCATGCCAAATTACTCCAAAGAACAGCTACCAAATAGCTCTGGGATGCTGCTGATGTACCTTTCACTTCTGGCACTGCAAGCAAACAAGCAGGGCTCCTTGCGCTACGATGAATGTGCAAAAGCTGATTATGTTTGGTCGTGTGTGGCTCGGCAGGATCAATTGTGGGCGGGGCAGAATGCACGCCGGCGGCAGAGAAGGCGTTGAAGGCGTGGCTGGCAGCCAACACACCCAGTCAGCCTGGCAGAGGCAGCGCCTACACAGGCAACCAGACCCCTGGCCGTCTGCTGGCCACACCTGCTTTGCAGGGCCTGCTGCAGCAGCTCAGGATCAGCACTCCCGCTCTCGGCGCACAGGTATATCAATACACAGCCCCCACCATTGCATATTTCTACCAGCATTATGTCCAAATTAGCATGCAGAGAGAGCTGAATTTCGTATGTGGGAACCCTGCCTGCAAGCTATTATATTCTGGGCAACCCTGCATGTCAGATAGCAAGCCTGGCTGGATTTGCAATTTTTTGCAGAGATGTGTGTTGACATCCCCAACATCTTATAATGATTGACGCAGGGCATCGCTTCAACTCCCTTCCTGGCGGGTCTGGCACGAACCCTGCCAGAGCTCACCCCGGGCCTCACCCCTGACTCAGCGGCGGCAGCTTTCTGGGGGCCCCAAGGCTCTGACACTTCCCCCACTTCAGCCGAAGCCGCCGCAGAGAATCCTGCAAATGCGTTAACGGCCCAGCAGACAGAGCAGGATGAAGGCCTGCTGGAGTCGCCAGTTCAGGCGCAGAGCCCAGGAACGCCGTCGGACGCCTGGGCAGAGCTGGTGGACCTCACCCCGGGGCCGCGAGACCATTCGGACATCTCCCTCTGGGTCTCGCCCATGGAAAGGTCCCCCGGCAGCTGCCGCGCAGCCGCCATCAGCAGCCCCTCCTTCGCGGACGGCTGCCCGGCAGTATCCAACGCTGCACAGGCACGCTGCTCCACGGCAGCCACGCACAAGAAGCATGTCAGCTGGGGCTCAGACACCGAGCACAGCATCGTGCAGCAGGAGTCCACACAGGGTGAGCAGATTGGGGAAGCTGACAAGCAGCTGGACACAGAGTCTGTCGGCAGCGCATCACCATTCGAGATCGTCAAGGTGCACGATGCCTCAGAGGCCGGCGCGAACAACAAGATGGCCATACCGCATGAGGCAGCCTCGGCAGGATCCACTGCCAAGGTGACCAGATACAACTTACTAATCCAGAATTCTCAGTGGAACTTGCTTTTTTAGGATGCTGATGGCTGGTGATAAGGAGTCTAAATTTGTGCCTGCGTCCGTACACAGGCAAAGAAGCATGTAAATGGCAAAGCCTGTTGGTGTATCATAGCTGCAAGCAAGCCGCTGGTCTTGCATGCACGCAGGCTGATTCGGAGCCGAAACAACTGCGCGTGGCGACCCCGGTCAACCCGGCCCCGGGCATCGGCCGCGGCTGTGCCGGCATCCCGCGCGCAGTCGAGAGCTGCCAAGTCATCCACCCGCCGCCCGTGCCATCCACCCCAGACTGCGCCATTGCAGGTCAGCCCCGGTCATCTGCTTCTTGCATCTGGCCCTTGCTTGGACCTGTGAACAGCAAGGGGAGTAGAAGAAGGAAGAAATAGACGAAGGAAGGAACCTCTTTCTACGCTCCTTATAGGATAGTGACTGCTACTCAAAATTTGTCTTGGGTGTTTGATGAAGGCCGTCTTGTCTTCACTTTGGCTGTCTTGGAGCCCGCATGCAGGGATTGAACGCATGAAAATGTGCCTTGATTTCAATATATGTTGGCAGATGAGCGTGTGGAGGGAACGCTGGCGCCAGCCAACACGCCGATCGATCCAGAGCACGCTGCGCGCTCTGCGCCGCTGACCACATACCAGCTGATGCTCGCACACATCGTGGGCGGCTCCTATACATCGCCCACTGTCGGGCGGCCGGGCAGCCCGGTGCCTGCCCGACCGGGCAGCCCGGCCACGCCCCGTGGGCAGCGCGCTCGCAGCTACACTCCCTGCCTCCTGGCCACTCCTGCAGCAGGTATGCACATGACGGATATCTCTTACTGATGCAACGGGATCAATGATGAAACGGCAAATCTTGTGCCCGTATCATGAACAAAATTGCGTGAGCAACATGGCAGGCATACTCGTCACACCCATGATGCAAAAAGGACATCGTCTATTACAGCAGAAAGGTAGGTAATTGCTCTGCTCAAGAAGTGATATGCTCAAGAAGGGAAAGGACTATAGTCAAAATGGCTCTGGGACTCTGCAGGCACGGTGCTGCGCACGCGCAGCCGCCTCGGCCCGGGCGGCTTGGCCGGCGCCATAGCGGCCGCACGCACGCCCGCGACACTGCAGCGCCGGCCGCCGCGTACGCCGGCCACGGCGCGAGGCTTCCTTGTGACGCCCATCCAGCTGCGCGGCGGCTTTGGCGCGGCCGCGCGCGGCGGCACGCCTGGCACAGCGCTCAGCGTTGGCCGCGGCAGCCTCGAGTCCTGGCTCGCCCGCACCGGACTCAACGAGAAGGTGCGCATTCCCTTTCCAGCCTCTGTGCCAATCCAGCAACCCCAGCCATGTCTCAAATAAGATGTCTAGATCTTTGCATCCTGTGCTTCTTCAGAATCCCATCTCAGACAAGCAGATTGTAATGATTCTCCTTTTCCATGGGACGGTATATCAACTCGAATGTGCTTGCCGTAGATGTGCAGGCATGCTGCTTGCAATCTCCCACCTGACAATTCTCACGTACCGAGAAGCTTTCCCATCTTACGCTTGGCGGGACAGGGCCCTAGATCCTAATGCAGGCATCTCTAAAACCAGCAAATGCGCGCAGGTGGATTCGCCGGCGCGGGCTAGCTTGGAGGCGCTGTGGATGCGCGCGGGGCAGGCCGGGTCGCTGCGGCTGGAGGTGGAGACCGTGCGCGTGGCCGAGCAGGAGAAGGCGC